GACAACTTCCATGATATGAAGTGGTCTGGGTGCCTATAGTGTCCCTTCAAAAAATATTTTTAAATTCTGTATATTAATTATTTTGAGAACATTTCGCATTTTTTTATCTGACTGAGCAGCCATGTTTGGTCTGGTTCTCACATTATCACATTTATCACATTTATAAATAAATAAATGCATTGCAGCTGGCCTATGCTAAGGTGGCCCTGGCCCTCGGCTATTGCCTGAGTGCACGAATGGTGACCTCCCCTTGTTCAAAGGTTGCCATAGACTTCATTATTTCCTTATGTTGACTTGTTAAAGATCCTCTATACTATAGCCATATTGTTAAGGCGCACATACACGTTTTTACCTTAATGTAACCATACATGTATTATACAAATATTGACACTTATATTGCATACATGCATCTTTACACACTCACCCTCATACATAACCACACAATGACTCTACACCATACTACACCACAAATGTTTGTTTCTAATAATGCATGAAACCCAGATAATACATATAAACATACATCATTTACTGCAGTATAACATCTATAAATTGTGCTTAAAATGAATGGAATTCAAATATACTGACATTTCTCTACAATTCCCATGTGAACAAAGCTGACCTAATATGAATTGTAGATGCAGATCTTCCTGGAATTCTCTACTATACTCAGATTATGCCAGCAGTTTATGCCAATGGATCTGTAAATCAGTCACTGTTCAATTTCCGTCTTTCTTAATGAGTTTTCTTTAAACCTCAACAGTGATGCCTTGGCAGGTACTTCTGGTTTTTATGGGAACGAATATGGTGAAACATATTTCTGTATAAATTGGATGGAGAGATGTACATTCTCAATGTAGTCAAAACGTTATTCGTGAATGTTCTCTTTATAGAGAGAAACTAATTGACTTTAAACGGGCAGTTAAATGCTTATTGCTTTTGTACAGTGCCCAGTCCTTTTACATTCTAAGTACCTATTAAAACACCTACCTCGCCATGCCATTCTGATGTCACAGGTTCAATAAATAATAGCTGCCAGTACCGAGGAAAAGGTGAAATCGCATAATTCGGTGCGTAGGGTCATTACCAGGGTATTTCCAGTAACAGTTTATGTTATAAATATACACAGTCAGAGTCATTCATGGAGGTCTTATCCCAGTGTTACATTTGCCAAACTATTTATTTATTATTTTATTTAATTCATTTTTTTTTTATTTTTGCTGTGCAAAAAAACGACAAATATGCATACAATGCCACAATAGCATGCATAAGCATTTCAACATAATAGGATGGCATTCGTTCGAACTGCACATTTTTAGTATATGAAACATGCTCAGACATATCACGTGGTAGGTATATCAAGTTATGTATACTGACAGTATAGTGAATCATAATAATAAGGTATGATATAGGAACATGCTTGGTCTATATATGATAGATACTTAGTAAAATAATGTAAGGATAGAACCACTGGGAAGGAGTACTAAATGAAAAAAAAAAAGATTTAGCCAATTCAGAGAATATAGGCTGAAATGGTTTCTTTGGCCCAGACCCTCGTGATATTTCATCAGGGCAATTCACTCTATACCACAGGAAGGCCAGCATAGAAAGTCCACTTCCACCCTAAGACCGATGCCTCCACACTTCGTTATCATGCTTGGCAGGGGTCAGTTGGGGATCCAGCTGCTGATGAGGATGATCAGTGAGTGCAATATGAAAAGACCCTGATCCTTCGGCCCCAAGCCTTGGTGAGGCAAATGCCTCCAGTCCATAGAGCTACCGTATCCCATAAGTAAGACCATAGGGCCCCAGGTTCTCCTTGTCACGAGTGTCTCTGTTGGTGTATGGACGGCTGCTCGGAGATAACTCTGCTTGGGCCCCTGACCTCGAAGAGCTGCTGCACTATTTATTATTATTATCATCATCATTATTTATAAACCACCAACAAATTCTGCAGCACTATACAATAGGTGCTACATGAAGTGTTATTGAGGGCCCTGCTCAGATAAGCTTACAATAGAAAGCCTTTAATGGATTTCCCTGTTTTGTTAAACCAGAGTACCCATTTAGGTTTAAAACAATGCAATAAGCACTCTAACAACTGCTGTGAAAACGTAAACAAATCTTGCTCTTGTGCTATTGAAAACTCTGTTTTCTGAGCAATGCAACATATTTGCTTTAAAGGACCACTATAGGCACCCAGACCACTTCAGCTTAATGAAGTGGTCTGGGTGCCAGGTCCAGCTAGGGTTAACCCTTTTTTTTTGCATGCGCATTCAGACGAAGAGGAGGAGAGGAGGCGGAGAGGAGGAGGAGAGCTCCCCGCCCGGCGCTGGAAAAAGAGGTAAGTTTAACCCCTTCCTTTCCCCAGAGCCCGGCGGGAGGGGGACCCTGAGGGTGGGGGCACCCTCAGAGCACTATAGTGCCAGGAAAACGAGTATGTTTCCCTGGCACTATAGTGGTCCTTTAATCAGCAGAGTGTAAAAATAAACATTATTTATCTTTAACAGCAGTGGTTCAACAGCTTTTAAAAAAAATTTTTAATATAGATTTCAGCCAGTCATTTACAAGAAATATTGTGCAATGGGAATGTTTGATACTTTTTGAAAACTTCCTATTTCCTGCAGTATTTGTAAAACATTATATGTAAAAGTTTTTTTCAGGAAACAGAGAACATGAGAACTGTGAGAACAGACAAGGAGGCGGAGCATGTCTCTCTGTCATGCTCCCTGCGGTTCCCACAATTCCCAGCACAGGATGTGGGAACCGCAAAGGAGCATGACAGAGAGACATGCTCCTCCTCCTTCAGCGTTAGTGAGAGGAATGCCGCCGGACCGGCGAGGCTGCCACCCGACCGCTGCTTTGCATGAACGCGGACGGCCCCCTCACAGTGTGCCACCGGACCGGCCACCCGGTGGCACCTTCCACTGAAGTCCCCAGATGCCGCCTACAATCCAGCCCTGCCGCCAGGCCCCCTGAAGGCGGCCCTGGCGGCGGGCCCCCCTCCCGGCCGGGCCCTCGGACCATGTCCGAAGTGCCCGACCGGTCAGTCCGCCCCTGGTCGGGAGGGTAAGAAAGATCACTAAAGGACGGGGGGCAGGGGAGATCACTAAGGGACATGGTGGCAGGGGAGATAACTATGGAACAGAAGGGAAGAGCTCTAAGGGTCAGGTGAAGAAGGGTTAGCACTAAGAGACAGGAGGGCAGAGCACTAAAGGACAGGGGGAAAGAGGAGACCACTAAGAGACAGGGGGGAGTGAAATAGATCATTAAGGGACAGGGGGAGTGGAAAAGACACACAGAGAGGCTGAGGAAGGGGCAAAAGAGAAGCACTGGGATTGGTAGGGGAGAAAGAGACACACAGAGGGACTCAGGATGGAGACACACCAGAGGACCTGGGGAGGAGACAGACACACAGAGGGGCCTGGGGGTGAAAGAGACACACACAAAGGAGCTATGAAGAATAAAAGAAACAAAGGGGCTGGGGGGAGTAAGACACGCAAAGAGGTTGTGAGGATGTAGGAGACATACACAGAAACACACAGGGGGCTTGTAAGAGATACACTAAAGGGGGGTGTAAGACACAAAACTTAAAAAAAAAAATACAAAAATTATATTAACAAAATAAACATAATAATACAAATAAAGAGCTGCTCCCCTCTCAGCCCTGGCAAGACTCGGCCCCTATCCTACCCTACAAACTCTCTCTTTCACACTACACACACATATACACAATGCATCCACACACACATAGAGAAACAGACAATGCATCCCTACACACAGAGATGCACACACATGCACAGAAACATACAATGCATCTCTACACACACACACAGAAAAATACCATGCTTCCCTTATACACACAGAAACACACAATACATCCCTTACACACACAAACACAATGCATCCCTTGCATACATACACAGAAACACACAATGCATCGCTTACACACAGATACACACAATGCAAATTCCCATCTCAATTCCCTGTAATTCTCTCTTTATTGAGTAGATCCTATAATCTGCACTATGATAAGTAGGCAGAGATTAATTATGTGGGTTGGGCATAGTGGGCGGAGCTTTGGGGGCAGTGGGTGTGGTAAATCTTCAAGTACGTAATTGATAGCTGTGGTGCAAAGTGTCCCTGGAAATTTTATTCAAATGTTGGCAACTGCTCAGCCTTACCTCACTGACAAAGCCTAACAAGGCTGAAATGATCGTCTCTCGTACAGAGAGAGCCGGCCTGCAGTTCGGATTTGGACCGCCCTTTTGGGTGGGATCAGTTTTATATGCAAATGACCCTTGTTCTTTTTGTAATAGCACAATATGAGTTAAGAGAGGGGAGACGAGCTTGGGGGCTGCATCTGCAAGGGAGAAGCAGTTATGTATGTCAGCAGCATGCAGTGTGAGTTCTTGGCTGCCTAAGTCACATGTGTTAGGGGTGCAACTTCCCCCCGGCATATAAGTGCAAATTACTCTGCACTTCCATTCAGAAAAGCATTAGTGGTCATGGTGGTTGCGGTAACCCTTTCATTTTAGGGGTGTGTCTCTTCTGAGAAATTTTAAGTGACTTACTAATAGCAATTTATGCAACTAAAATATAACAAGAACAATGTATCATAATTACACGGACTGATTTCTAAACAATTTTATTGTAGTATAAACACACATTACTGTGAGTATTATTGATGTGAAGCTCTACACTCACACTCACACACCAACAATAGAGACCTCCTACAAAAGAGGGACATTAGGATAGAAAAGAGCAACCGAGGGATGTGGGCCCAAAATAGGGACTGTTCTCCTAAGTAGGGACATTTGGGAGGTATTGTGTAATCCTGCCATTACACTTTTTACCTTGTTGTAACATCACACTGTCTAGGGCTAATTCTGGATTTTTGTCTTAAAAAAAACTGTCCACATTAAAGGGACATTTGTATTATCAAAACAACTCTGACTTAACAAAGTGGTTTGGGTATTGACCATGCCCCTGCAATCTAACTGCTCAATTCTCTGCCATTTGTGAGTTATTTCACTTTGGTTATACAGCCCTAGCAACACAGTCTCAATACACATTTCCTAAAAACTTTTTTTTTAACTTCCCTTAAAGGACCACTCTAGGCACCCAGACCACTTCAGCTTAATGAAGTGGTCTGGGTGCCAGGTCCAGCTAGGGTTAACCCATTTTTTCATAAGCATAGCAGTTTCAGAGAAACTGCTATGTTTATGAATGGGTTAAGCCTTCCCCCTAATCCTCTAGTGGCTGTCTCATTGACAGCCACTAGAGGCGCTTGCGTGCTTCTCACTGTGATTTTCACAGTGAGAGCACGCCAGCGTCCATAGGAAAGCATTATGAATGCTTTCCTATGTGACCGGCTGAATGCGCGCGCAACTCTTGCCGCGCGTGCGCATTCAGCCGACGGGGAGGAGAAGAGGAGGATCGGAGGAGGAGAGCTCTCCGCCCAGCGCTGGAAAAAGGTAAGTTTTAACCCCTTTCCCCCTTCCAGAGCCGGGCGGGAGGGGGACCCTGAGGGTGGGGGCACCCTCAGGGCACTATAGTGCCAGGAAAACAAGTGTTTTCCTGGCACTATAGTGGTCCTTAAATGTACAATGTGTTTAAATTTAGATTATCCTATCTTCAGTTCTGTTATTTGCCTGCTGGAGCCTCCAACAAAGACAATTAACAGAACAGGAGATTACCAATGTCTAAAGTAAACACACTATGCTGTAAAAATGAAACCTACATGTCAGAGGATTTAGCAGTGAGACTGCAGGGGAATGATCTATACACCAAAACGGTTTCATTAAGTAGTTTTGGTGTTTAGGGTGTCCATTTAATGAGCCATTAAAACCCTGTCACTTAATCCAAGTTAAAATTAACTTAAAAGCGTAACATTTTTCACAACTGTCATACTCGTTCTCACAGTGTGTCATATAACCTCTGGGCTTCTAACGCCCCTGTTGTCGCTTTCCACAATAACTTTAAAAAGCCCTGTTATTACCTTCAATGCACCCTATTAATTCCACTCTATATTCCATCTTTAATGAGAGTATTGAATCTGCCATATACCTGGTGTCTACACCAGGTTTCTTGTGGTTCCAGTAACTTCTACTGCTGTAATAGACTAAAAGCATGCTCCCTTGTTGACCTTTTTAGTGAGAATTTCATGAACATCTGCATTTTTAGGTCAGGGCACTTCATAGATTTAACTTATACTATACCTGCTTATTTCAAATAAATTACTGCATTAAAGTGTAAACTTTAAAAACTGAACCTTTGTAAACGAAAATAATTCCTTTTCCTATTTGTGACAGTATGCTTTTTAGTGGCACAAATACTTTCAGCTACACTGGAACATCCTATACTTATCTCATGATTAGCTCAAAGGGACACTCTAGTCACCAAAACATCTTTAGCCTAATAAATCCGTTTCAATAATAGTTTTAATAATTTTAAAATCTTCATGTGCATTCAAGGGGTAGCTAAAGGTGTCAACTCAAGTTTGGCTTGTTCCTTTAAAAATAATTTCAGGAAGTATTACTTTACTGAGAGGGTACTGGATTCATGGAATAGCCTTCCAGCTGAAGTGGTAGAGGTTAACACAGTAAAGGAGTTTTAAGCATGCGTGGGATAGGCATAAGGCTATCCTAAACTTAAGATAAGGCCGGGGACTAATTAAAAGTATTTCGAAATATTGGACAGACTAGATGGGCCGAATGGTTCTTATCTGCCGTCACATTCTATGTTTCTATGTTTCACATAACAGAATATATATATAGATATATATATACAGGGCTCAAAACGTCCACTGGTGACTGAGAATTCAGACCTGGCAAGTTAAAATTTACAACATAAATCAACTGCACACCTAATGTTAGGTATGTAAAAATGACAATCATTGTTTAATGACAAAAAAGGAATAAACTCACATTTCATCTATATACACCCAAAAATTTACAAATCATAATGGAAAACGCATAATTGCAATTCATCTATATACATAATAGTATAAAAAACTATATCAATGCTGGCATTTCATACAAATGAAATACTGAGAAAATTAAGTAATCCTTCAATACTGTGGTCATTTATAGTGATTTATATACCGTAGATTACCATAGCATAATTTGATTTGAAATTTAATTTGGACCACCAACATCTTATCTACATTTTAGTTTATTTGCAGTTCAAGCTAAGGCCACAATAGGAATGTAAAATGAGCAAAAACCTCAATTATAAGAAAAAAAAAATGACGGCTGTTGGATGAAATAAGGAACCTGTAGTAGTACAGACCTTCCACTAGGTGGTATCATACATAGATATAATACATTTTTCTTCTATAGACAAAGATACAAAGACATAAAACATCTTGACAAATTTAGCTAAACCACCTTTGTGAGTATTCTCACTATAAATGGCTCTAGATTTTTTTAAATTAACATAACTGAATATTCCTATTTTGTTATTTTGGCCTAAAATTTTAATTTCACTTTGGATTCACTCTGAATTCTGGACAAGTCAGAATTTATTGAATAGCCCTGAACAGAATTCGACTGTACATAAGCCACCAGAGCAGCATGGGAGCTATAGTTCAACATCTGTAGAACTGCTTGCCATTTAATCATACTTTACATTGATTGATGATTAAAGGGACACTCCAGGTACCAAAGCAACTTCATCTAAATTAACCAAATGGTTAAACCCCAAAGTTGATTCCAGGGGCGATGTCCACTCCTCCCCTGACAGCATCCAGTTTCTGAATTTTTAGATTCAGGAAGCGTGGAGTGCTGCTGGACAGGGGTGTGCATAATTAGCTGAGAGCGGTCAGCTGACACTCTCAGCCATTCAGTGACCTCCTATTCACTAAACTGGCTTGGAAAGAAACATAACTTTCCCAAGCCCCTGCTCGGCGGCTCTCTGTGCTTCCTGAATCTGAAAATTCAGAAGCCAGATGCTGCCAGGGGAGGAATGGACATTGCTGCTAGAGGCAGCTTTAGGGTTATAGGAACACTGTAGGCACCCAGACCACTTCAGCTCATTGAAGTGGTCTGGGTACAGTGTCCCTTTTGCACTTAGTGCTGCAATGTAAAACATTGCAGTTCCAGAGAAACGGACAGCCACTAGACTAGAGGGCTTTCTGAATTGAAACAGACCTTGAGGACCTCCAGTGTTAAATTTTTCCCTAAAGGAAAATATTAATTTAATGCTTTCTTATGGGGAGGTCTAGTGCGTGCACGGCATTTGCCACCCATGCGCTTTAGAGCCTGCTTGTCGCAGGATATCGGAGGGGGCGGAGTGTAGACCCAGCGCCGAGGGACATTAGCGCTGGGATCAGGTAAGTAAATTAAGGGTTTTTAACCCTTTATTTACTGGGTAGGCAAAGGAGGCAATAGTGCCGGGAATACAGCTTTGTATTCCTGGCACTATAGTATCCCTTTAAGTCACTCTTACTGCAGTCATCCCGTATATGAAACCCTCGCTGTTTAAAGCGGCACTGTCATGCCGAACTTACCTTTCTTTAATCGATTCCTCTCACTTTCTCAGGATATGTTCTAAATTTCTTCCTGTCTGCTCTAGTGGGGGCCCTCAATAACAATATTGTCCTCCCCCCTGGCCCCCACCCCTGAGCGGCGGGTGGGGACCCTAAATTACAAAAAGGGGGGGACCTATTGTTCTGGTCCCCACCCCTGAGCGGCGGGTGGGGGTCCTAAATAACAATAAGGGGGGGGACCTATTGTCCTCCCCCTGACCCCCACCCATGAGCGGCGGACGGGGGCCCTAAATTACAATGGGGGGGACCTATTGTCCTCCCCCCGGCCCTCAGCCATGAGCGGCAGGTGAGGGCCCCAGGTAGGTCTCCCCCCTTATTGTACTTCATAAACAAAGAGTGCAGTACTGCAGCCAAAATGTGTGTAATTGTGCATTATATTGTAAGGTAAACCACTCACATTTGTAGGAACCTTATTATTATCATTGGCTCTAATCTTTTTGGCTCCTGTGCCTTTACGGTAGCACGTCACCTTTTTCATGAATACAACACCACAGACTCTTTCCAAGAGCCTAAACTTAGCCCGGCTCTATGATAAATCAGCACATGGCCAGTGTAGGGTCTTCTAATTACTCCACGTTCACCTGGGTGTAATATGATAAGATTCCGCCAGACCTCAAAGCTCAAGAGGCATTTATTAGATAAAGCAAAATATATGTAAAATAACAAACTATTATAAAAGCAGTGATCCTTGCAACAAAGGGCTTCTATTAGTTTTAGATTTAGAACCTCTACAGTAAATCCCCACATATAACCCATGTGATGTAATATAAAAGAGCTGAATAAAAAAAAATATATATATAAACCTGAAAATACATCCCTGCTTGTTACTAGTTTAGATCCTTCTTAAAACAATAATTGGTTTTATGTAGTTAATTTGTCATAAAACAAATCATTTTTGTAATTTTTACTTTTCCTGTTTTTTTAGGAGAAGAACGGTGTACAGAAGATCATAACTATTGGCCCTCATGGGACAGTTAAAGAGGACTCAGAACTGAAAGAACGAGTCAATTTGGAAAATGTTACTTTGATAATTAGTGGAGTACGTGTTCAAGATGAGAGGACATATATATGTCAGGTGGAGAAGTCAAGTGTGGATATTACAGAAAGCAAAGTTCACTTGCGTGTTTACAGTGAGTATAGCCAATATTTTATTATTATTATCAGATAGAACTTGGCCGTGCTCAGGTTTATCATTCCTTGGGTTACATATGGTTTTATCTCTTTATTTATTTACAGTTATAACAGACCTTGCGTGATGTGCTTTTCACGATGCCAATTTATAAACGGAGAGATGATTGTTGAATTAAAGTGCATTATATAACAATTTTTTTAAGTAATAGGCAAGCCCAATTTTTTTTTTTTTAACGGAATGAGGAAGATATTTTCATTTTTAACCTTTATTATTCTTCCATATTGCCAAATGTGTATGAATAAGTGCTTGTATAGTACAAAACATGCACATCACGATGAGTATAGGGCCAGGGTGATTGTTTTTTTCATTTTTTCATTTTTTTTTTATATCTGTTGCAGTATTGTGCTTCTTGTTTGTTAAATTGATTTTTTTTACATTGCTACAATAAAAGAAGATTTTTACTTATGCCCTGAGAGTGTCAGCATTGTTGAAAGTTAGAACAACATTTTTAACCTAAACCAACTGTTTTGCGTTTGTGCAGAACTATAAAAATTTCCTTAGCAAAATCAAAGTAGATCACATCCACTGTAACACCCTGATCTATATTTTTACTAATGTAGAAAGTAATTAGGTTAGTTTGGCAATGGCCTGTTTTTCATAAAACCGTGTTGATTCCTACAAATGATATTTTTTATTATTACTGACATTTATAGAGCGCCAACAGATTCCATAATTATAAAATACATGCAATAACTTAAATGCACAATAGTTTTGATCTAACACCTGTGTAGGATTACCTTGCACCACACTATAAAACATACACAGAAAAAAACATGGGTAAAGGTGGAGCATATACATAAACATAAAAAGTAAAAATGCAATATATATAAATATAGTTCCAATAGTGTTGATAAAGGTGCTAAATAATACCGGACGATGTAGAAATAGTAAATACAGTTCTGTATTCCTTTTATAGAATCCTTTCTTGAGAGATACTAAAGAGAATAGAAAAATCACATAGTATAATATTGTACAGGTAGTCCTCACTTTGCGACTTACCTGCATAACGACGGCTCGGACTTACGACCAGCTCTGTAGTGTGGGGATTCGATCGATTCCCCATGTTAGAGAGCTGGTCTATGTTCTAGGAATTTTCCCCAAACATAGATTTGTGGAGTTCCCTGCGCTAGTGAGCTGGTCTATGTTCAGGGGAATTCCTCCGAACATAGACATGCTCTCTAGCGCAATTAGTTTAGTCGTAAGATCGGAATCCGGTCGGTAAGTGAGGATCATCTGTATTATAAAGTAATAAATGATGAGTGACTGGATCTGCTCACATAACAGATATATCATACCAGTCCTTAAGTACCCTTAAGAATTCCAGTGAAGGATAATATTGATTATTGGTGGTGAAATAAACAATTTATTGGTACTTAACACACAACTTAGAGTAAAAAAATGTTTTTTTTTAAATATGCTAGTAATATGCTAGTAAAGTTAAAAAATATAACTACTATAGTTCAATACGCGATTCGCCCGATGGCTTCCTCAGTTACAGATAATTGAGAAGCATCAGAAGGACATGATTGTGTGTGCTGCACACTCCAACACAGACTGAAAGCATATGATAATCATTAATTAAAGTTATGCAATAGATGAAATGAAATCAAAATATGTTAGTATGACTAGATATTGTATATCAGTAAGCCTCAGACAATATTCAAATAGTGATCTCCAATTGCTTGGGACCTTTAAGTAAGCATACGGCCCCTGGAGGTATGGCTTGTAGGTGAGATTTTCCCAGTATAGAAATACAGTATATCTGTGCATATTACTGGGCAAATATTGCAAGAAGTGAAACTTGCGCATTAAGCGTTGTGATTACAGTGCAGTGACTGAAAATTCAAAACAAGAGAGGCCTTTCCAAACAGTTTAAGGTGAAGATGAATTTTTTTTTTTTTTAATTTATTAGCTGTTTTTATCTATTTTTTTTTTTTTTTAGCAGTTTTCTTTCCATTTGGTGGTGTCTTTTTAAAAAAATAAATTAAAAAAAATTAGTTTTATCAGGTCATGTTCGTATATGACATGTATATGACTACAAGATATTGCTCTCTCCTGGTGCTCCTCCTACCTCTCCCAGCGCTCTTTCAGTGTTTCTTTCTCTGGCTCTGCTTCTTCTCCCCAACTCCTCTCTGTTGGTGTCCCCCAAGATTCAGTCCTTGGTCCTACTGTTCTACTGTAAACTCATTAGCTCCTTTGGCTTCCAATATCATTTCTATACAGATGACATGCAAATCTACCTGTCCTCTCCTGATCTCTCCCCGTCCCTCTTGACTAGTGTATCTGACTGCCTCTCTGCTATTTCTAACTGGATGGCTGCCCACTTCCTTAAACTAAACTTGACCAAAACTGAAATTCTGGTCTTTCCTCCCTCAAGTGTTGTTACTCCTGTGTCTCCCTCCCTCCAAGTCAACGGTGCTACCATCAGCTCCACCACGCAGGCTCGCTGCCTAGGTGTTCTCTTTGACTCCGACCTCTCCTTCAAGCCTCATGTTCAATCTATCGCCAAATCCTGTCATTTCCATCTCAAAAACATTGCGCGCATCCGCCCCTACTTAACGCCAGATGCGACTAAGGTGTTGGTCCATTCCACTGTCCTTTCTCGCCTTGACTACTGTAATCCGCTTCTCAGTGGTCTTACGTGCTCTCAACTTGCGCCGTTACAGTCCATAATGAATGCGGCGGCGAGGCTCATCTTCCTGTCCGCCCGCACCTCCCATGCCTCACCCTTCTGTCAGTCCCTACATTGGCTTCCTATAAAATATAGAGCTCAATTTAAAATTCTGGTTCTTGCTTTCAAATCTCTACATAATGCTGCTCCCACCTATTTATCCTCCCTTATACACAAGTATGTCCCGTCTAGGCCCTTACGATCTGCTGAAGACTTACATCTATCTTCTGTCCATACTCCCCCCTCTGATGCTCGCCTTCAAGATTTCTCGAGGGCTGCACCATTCCTGTGGAACTCGCTTCCCTCCTCCGTTAGATGCTCACCCAGTCTCCACTTCTTCATAAAAGCGTATCAATGAAACTGTTAATAGCTCCCGACTGATTCCTCTTCTGCAACTGTCACTAGTCTAATACAATCCTTACCTTTTTGTGTCATTTTACCCCACTCTCTCTAGCATGTAAGCTCATTGAGCAGGGCCCTCAACCCCTCTGTTCCTGTGTGTCCAACTTGTCTGGTTACAACTACATGTCTGTTCGTCCACCCATTGTAAAGCACTGCGGAATTTGATGGCGCTGTATAAATATCATAATAATAATAATAATAATGACATGATTAGTTTTGATCAAAAAAAGAAGATTGAAGAAAAGATCGTCAATAAAGACTTCACAGTCCTTGTGCTGTTGTTGCTTCCTAAGCCAGTTTGGAACTTTTGTAGAGGGTGACGCAACAGATGATAGGCGATATTTACCTGCTTTGTGCTTTACCATTCAATGCCCTCGCTGAGTATTCATGTGCCACCACTTTGTGGCTGAGCTTTTGTTGCGTTTACACACTTTCACTAAACAATAATAGCACTTACAGTTAACCAGGGTAGAATTAGTAAGGCCGACATTTTACAAACTGATGATACTCTTCGGTACTACCCATTGTACTGGCAATGTCTGTGGAGATTGACTTGCTATGTGCTTAATTTAATGCACCTGTTAACTATCGTTCACTTGCTAAGGCCAATCACATAGTGAAACAGAGATGTTCAGTGGGTTAGCCATTTTTACGGGCATTTTATGGTTGCTGTGGTGACAACTTACATAGCACATATTCCTGCTATAGTGCATATTTCAATATAATACATACACTTAAATGTATCTATGGCTAATGGTTTATGTTGTAAAAGTAGATATTTGTGAGTCTGATTATCACCATTTGTTTACATAGAGGCTCCTGAGTTTCCAGAAATCAAACTGCCTACAGCGGGATTACCTGTGAATGAAAAAGCTGAGGTAAAGCTCTTGTCCTCATCAAAATATCTACCTTCACTCTTCCTTCAAATGTGTTTACTCGTGTGGCCAAAGAGCAAGGAAATTGTCTGGTTATCACTAAATAACAAATGTTGAAATTTTGTGCCTCATTTTTTTCTAATGTTTCTATTTATTCGTTTATTAAATTATTTATTCAATATTTTATTGTATTTTTAAACATTAATGATTTAGTTTGATAAGTAAAAATAAAAGTTCCTTTATGATTAACGTATAATTAAGTGTTCAAAAATTTTAAATAAATGAATTTATATATTTGGTATGTTGAGGCAATATCAGATTACAGAAACTATCTTTTTTTTAAAATAAACATTTTTGAAAAGGTACATACCCAATCACTGCCCCTTTTAATAGTGAACACTCCATGATAAACTTATTTTTTTAAGTCCTAGTGATTGTAGTATAAATAATTAAAGATTCCACCCATTATTATGTGAAAAGATTACAGGTACCTTCGGTTAAAGTGTGAGTCCATATGAGTATGTCCCTACCCCAGCACATGTTAGACAACTAAAATGTTGTATGTGTTGTGTCTTATTATTGTTAAATCATTTCCAATGGATGCTGAAAATTCTCCTTGTTTCAGGTTGCAACTTGTGAAAGCAAGAATGGCTTCCCAGCTCCAAACATTGCCTGGTATAAGAATGGTTTTCCTCTTCAACGTGATCATGACGGTATGTTAAACTCAGTTATAGATTAAATGCTGCTGCTGTAACAGCATTTGATTGGTGTAGCATTTTGCCCCACATGCACACTAGTCTCCCAATGTGTCCCTATGGGTAAGCTTTGGATTGGCTGAGGTCATTAGTCTTAATTATCTCAGCCATGGAGGCAGAACTGCATTGTGGAGTTCGGTGCAATGAGGGCCGAAAGGCAAGTAAATCTTACCTTTCAAACCTTCACAATATATATTTCTCACTACAGTTGTAATCAAAGTTATTCAGCCCCCATTAAGAGATTGGAGAAATCATTATAAGTTGCATTTTCAGTTGAATTTGGGGAAACCACTTGAAACATTTGTTGTGTTTAGCTATTTCAATTGTTTTGTTTGATTTTTTCATTGCAATTTTGAAAATAAACCTAATTTTTAATGGGGGTTAAATAATTTTGATTACAACTATATAGTGTTTCTTTAAAGCCAAAGAGGTTGAACTGGAAGCCTAGCTGAGTTAGATAATTTTTCCAGTTAGCTACCTTGGGTTTAAATTGGACACAAAATGAATTCACTTTGAATTCTCTACAAGTCTTATTTTTGTAAATAACCCTGCTAAAATTAGAATTCTGCCATTAGGGTCTTTTGCTATCATGTCCTTATTCTACTATTCTACTGACTTTCTAATCTTAAAGAGATATCCTAAGCACAAAAACAATGTTATCTTAATGAAGCAGTTTTGTTGTAGAGATCTTGCCCTCTCACTGCTTAAAGGGACACTCCAGGTACCCCAGACAACTTCTGCCCATTGGAGTGGTCTGGGTGCAAACTCCCACTACCCTTAACCCTGTAAGTGTAATTATTGCAGTTTTCATAAACTGCAATATTTACCTTGCAGGGTTAAAGGACCACTATAGTGCCAGGAAAACATACTCGTTTTCCTGGCACTATAGTGCCCTGAGGGTGCCCCCACCCTCAGGATCCCCCTCCCAAACTTACCTTTTTCCAGCGCTGGGCGGAGAGCTCTCCTCCTCCGATCCTCCTCTTCTCCTCCCCGTCGGCTGAATACGCACGCGCGGCAAGAGCTGCGCGCGCATTCAGCCGGCATTCATAATGCTTTCCTATGGACGCTGGCGTGCTCTCACTGTGAAAATTACAGTGTCTCATTGACAGCCGCTAGTTTCTCTGAAACTGCTATGTTTATGAAAAAATGGGTTAAGCCTAGCTGGACCAGGCACCCAGACCACCTCATTAAGCTGAAGTGGTCTGGGTGCCTAGAGTGGTCCTTTAAGTCCTCCTCTAGTGGCTGTCTACTAGACAGCCATTAGAGGACACTTCCGTGTGCATAGAACACAAAAAGTGTTATAACGACGCTGAACGTCCTCACGCACAATACATCACAAATAGAGATATGCACATACATACCTACACATAAAGCTTTGCAGTTGTCAATGTCAATTAATTAATTCAATAAACTCACTGTATTTGGAGAAGGAGTGTGCAGTTAGACTGCAGGGGCATGATCTAAACACAAAGACACTTTATTAAGTTAAAGTTGTTTTGGTGTTTAGCGTATTCCTTTAATTATTGCCCCCCTTAACCCTAACCCCATTAATATTCTAAAATTACATTATTTTCTGCTCATACATTTTTTTTTTTTTTTGCCCAATATCAAAATGAATTATTGTCTTCATTGAAAATTCTCTTCTCTTCGACAGGTGTGGAAGTGTCATATCAGCATACTCAAGAGTCCAGCGGTCTTTTCACAGTAATGAGCATTCTCAATATGCAAGTTGTTCAGTCTGATAACGACGCTGTGCTTTACTGTGAGGTCTCGTACCATGTTCCAGGAGGTGACTTTATGATGGAGTCGAAAAAAGAAAACCTCACAGTGTATTGTAAGCACCAGCAATGGTTTTTTTGTGAATCACTGTAAAAAGTAATCCTGACCTTATTACACGTCTGAAACTGTAGATTTTCAATGCTGATTGTTCTGATCTTATATAGTCATTGCGTGTAATTGTGATTGTCTGTATTTGTCATGTCTTACATGTCTTGTCTTTATGTGGAGTTTCTGACATCAATTTCCCTTTAGACCCCAATACTAAAGTAACGTTATATAAGGAGAAACCATCAGGATCAGTGAAGGAAGGAGATACTGTGGAACTGAGATGTGTAGGTGATGGAAACCCACAACCGGAAATAACCATCTCCAAGGTAAGTTCTTGGGGTGCTTTTACAGGCATATCATTTTGTCCCACAAGTATCACAGTATCCTATCAATTGATATGTTTACCACTTCATAATATTAATGACATATTATTCACATTTCCTCTCCTTAAAATGGAAAAATCTCTTATGAGTTATTTTCTTTGAAGTGATTATGGTGGTTGTTGAACGCCGGCGATGTCCCTCAGCTCACTGTTTAACAAGTTACTTCCAACAATCTCAGCCTATCACTGCGACCTGCTGCTAATAAGGATTGGTATAGTTGTATGACCAAAGGGTTGGTGTGCTAAATTGAGAGTGGTCATGTGAAGCTCTCAGACCATCACTTGCACCCAATGCGTTTTAGGTTAACATGGACATGTTAGCCAGAGATAGAAGCTGTAAGGAGGTGCCATTGGTGGCCGAGGACTCTAGTTCACCATTGAACTGTAAGTAAATGTTTTAACAGTGAAGCGGACATTGTTGCCTGTGCACGCCTCTCCTACTATTATAACCACTTCACAGAGATTAAAGGGATTATATAGTGTAAGGGATACAAAGTTGTATTTCTTACACTATAGTTCCCTCTGCTCCCCACCCCCTTCTAACACTCACCTGATTCCAGCGGCAATGTCCCTGGGTTGGCACTCTTTCTCCACTGACGTCCTCCGATGGGGATGACTAACACGTATGCAAGTGCATTAGCCCTCGCCATAGGAAAGATTGCTTCAATACTTTCCTATGGGGATTTAACAAACGCTGGATGTCCTCTTGAAGGGCATCAGTTATGCGGCCAAAAGTCGCTTAACCACCAGGAAGTGCTTCTAGTAGCCACTGCAGGCAGTCTTTCTGAAAAACCGCAATGATTTACGTTGCATAACTAAGGGGGACAGGGACAGTGCACTCAGACCACTTTAATGAGCTGAAATAGTCTGGGTGACTAAAGTGTGCCTTTAAGATAATATGATGCCTGGAGTGATGCTTTGTTTCTTTAAAATATGTATGAAAGAGTTAGCTACCACCATTACAATATAATTATATCCAAGCACAACCACAAGCAGAGCAGAAACATCTCTCACTGACAGGCGCAAAGAGCAGAGCTCATAACAGTGATTGACAAGGAGCCAACATGTAAGCACTCATATATAGAACAAAATATATTTAAACATTGAGAATAGTAAACGTCATATTACAAATCCTGAGAGCTGACAGTTCACCTTTATGAAATCTCTTACTATGTTGCTAATTTACCAACCCAAAGTTCATTTAACAAACCTTCCGAAATACTATCTCATTCTATTTCTGGTCTAATACTATTTGAACATGTTTTTTATGCAGAATCAAAGGAGTTACCATCCTCAGACTGCTCAGTGTTTGCAAGTTAAATTAACAAAGCAAATTTTGCTATTCTATCTCACTGTTAAAATACACCTACCATTAAAATTATAGACTGATCATTTCTTTGTCAGTGGGCAAACGTTCAAAATCAGCAGGGGATAAAATACTTTTTCCCCTCACTGTATAATTTACACACCTGCAAATTTTGCTGTACACTTTAAATACGGGGATATTAATTTTTGTCTTGTCCTTTTTTGCCTCTGCTTTATACCATGGCCTCTTTTGCAATTAACCGCGTGTATCTAATTGCCATTTTAAGGAACACTCCAAGCACCATAACCACTACCCCTGGCGCCATCCCACAATAAAATGCCAAGCTTATAACACGGTTTTACAACTTATCTGGTTCTGGCTCCCATACTACCTCTACCACATCCAGTCTTCTCCATCAGCAGAAGCTAAATGTCTCTGTAGAGCCAGGAACTGATTTATATGACATGTGCCCATAGGCATTTTAAAGCATCCTCTGCTTCTGAAGGTGCTTTCGCAGAAATAAAGGAGTAAAATTTCACCATTTCAAATTTAAGGGAGAAAAGGTAAGTAAACTCACTCTTCTGACCTTGCAGCAGAGGCCTGGTCAGCTAAAAGGTGACTAGAGCACTATAGCCTGAGGAATAAACTTTTGTATGCATAATGCTATCATTTTCATTTAAATTTAGCATTGGAGTACATAGTGTGTTTAATTATTAATAGTAGTTAAACTAGGTTTAAGGTATGGGGTTTTGTTTCAAGTTTAGGCTTTGAGTACTTCAATTTTGGATAAGGAAAGAGTTTGTTTGGGTTTTGGGAGAGGTCAAATGTAGGGTTAGAACAAAAAGGGGTTTTTAGAGTACAAGCCTGTGTAGTCTGTAGGCCTATTTGCAAAGTACCTACCTATGGTTATAGTACCACTGCAGGAACTGATATACAGTGTGCACGACTCACTGCTGTGTCTACTCCTTCAGCAAGGCACTTCCTATGTTTGAGGCTTTTAGTAGGTAAAAATCCCTTCCCCTTTTTGTACAGCTTCACATGCAGACACTGGGCGAGCTGGGACAGCACTAAGTTTACACCTTCTATAACTGTTCCTGCACCTCTGATATCAAGCAGAGAAAGCTAACTGGACTACAGAGGACTCTGGCTGAGGGTCCTGGTACTTATATCCCCTCACCAGCCCACCTAAGCTCCAAAATACATATTATAAGTGCTGTAAATAAGCACCCCATAAGGAGAGGTGCCTAGTCAGCCTAATGGGAAATTCAGCCCTGTGTAGAGTAAGACGCGTTTGCCCTGTGAGTTTGAACCTGCCTGGTCCTGCTTTGTTCTGTAGAACAATCTGCTGTCTCCTGCTTGAGAAAACTGGATGTGAGAGATGTATAGTGGACACTCGGGTACGAGGTAAGTTGTCAAACCTTGGTTTGACATCTTACAATGGGACAGCACCAGGGCACCTCTGCTGCCAAAACCACTACAGCAGTCTACCGCGATTACAGGACAAAAGCACTATGACTGAGTACCTCAAGAAATAAAATGAAGTAATTTGCCTTACCCTTCTAGCCCAATTAGTAGTACATAAATCTAATTGTATTGTTGGTGTATTTGTTTGAAATGTATGTGAGTTAATGACACTGATTATTAATGTGAGAATTAAAATTACGACTCTCCAATACAAACAAACTGATAAATCATTGACATGAGATATATAGCTGATAGTAAACATTACAAAACACCTGCACACAAAGCTAGTATACCAGAGTGGGACCCTGCAAAGTGGGTCCGCTCTGGAACCATTCTCATCTGGGCCACAATGATAATGCATTATTAACACTTAAAATGGTTAATTTCGGCCAACTTGAACGTCATTGATTGGCTGGTTTTGACAGTGCCGTTTTTTTTTGCCTTCATGTGGATCAGTTACAAAAACAGACATGTGATTAAACTTTATTGCTCTTGAGTAATTTTTCAACTTAGATTATTATGTACTGTCATCTTTACATAGTTTCTTTGTTTCACTAATAATGTGGTCCTTTAAGAAAAGTATTTATGGGGATATTAAAAAACAACTATCCTACACTTTTACTCATCTTCACCTCAACCATTTTTCATGTTTCATGTAGATCGAGTTGTTTTCCTTTTCTTTTTGTTTATGTCTTTCTTCCATTTTCTTGTTTGGCATCCATTTTTTTCTTTCCCGTTTCATTTAGAAAGATACTGATGGGTCTTCATTGGTAGAACAGCCATCACTGATCCTGGAGAACGTTCAGCGTGGAGCCTCTGGTGGCTACGTATGTACTGGAATAGATTATAGTGATGGTTATCATGAAGCAAGTGCTGAGATAGAGCTCCATGTACATTGTGAGTCTTCCCTTTTAACGTCCTAACATGTTTAAACTACAAGTCATCATTTTCTATTTTATTCTTTTTTTATCTAAAATTTTAAATTTCTATAATTTACCCATCACAATTTAGATTTATTTTTTCAATCCTTTTTGAATTTCCCTTTTACTAGATTTGGATCCACCCATATTTTCTGAAAAGTCTCCCCTTCTGGTAAATCTAGGAGATCATTTGAGTGTCTCCTGTGAAGTCAATGGGTCAAGCAAAGCAGAGATCGTGTGGCAGAAAGTAAGTCCTCATTCATGAAGTACAAACCGTGGAGATAGTTGGTGGTTCTTCTTACTTTAAATATTCCCTCTTATACAATCTCATTCTCTAGGTTTTTCCGTGCTTTTTGGTTCTTGTGCATCTCTCTGAAAAAAAGCAATGATGATATTTGATGACATCATATTAGTTTAATTAAACTAGTTTCTCAAGCTATATGTGATTTCTTGTGTTATACTTCTTACACCACAATCTGTACTTTCTTATGTTTCTTTTACCAAAACTCAAGGTGCGGTGTTTAACAAAAAATGTTCACCTCTAATTTGTGGTTTGCTTTTTTTTTGGGGGGGGGGAGGGATTCAAATATTATTTACTCTTATTTCTGGATCCTTGTGCCATTCCTTCTTTTATTTTGGCCTTTTGACTTCTACAGAATGGAAAGGACTATTTTCATGGGACTTTACTGAATCTGGATGAAGTAGGTTATGACATATCTGGAAATTACACCTGTTTCGTACACTTAATTGATGTACCAGAGCTGAATGTCACCAACAATTTGGAAATTGTAGTTGCAGGTATTTAAGTATAGGCTCTCTTGTTGATGGATCTAATTAGTATTCATAAATTGTTATAAATTACTGGAAATATACTTTTGCAGGAAAACCTGATGTGTCTGTGAGCTCTAAGGTCCTGAGTGTAAAAGAGAACGAACTGGTGACTGTGACGTGCACAGCGATTGGTTATCCAGCAGCGGACATCACCTGGTCAATCAATGGCTCAGTGGTAACAACATAGAAAAATTAAAAATTATAAATATCGCCCTTATCAACTCTTAGATGTTCACACCAATGAATTAGTTCTCTAAATTCCTTTTTTACACTACTTTACCTCATGTATTTTAGCCCCTGTTTTTACATTCTTAAAGGAACACTATAGCATTAGGAATACAAACATTTATTCCTAACAGTATAGTTTTCTGCTCAATTCCCCCTTTTTACTTACCTTATATCCAGCAGGGCACCTGTCCCCATTTCCTTGACCTCAGATGATCAGCCTAAATGGTCTCAGTCCATCCAGTGCTTCCCAAAAATCACTGTGCTAAGCTAATTAGAATCTCATCATAGAGGTGCATTACATGAGTTTATGGGTGGAATTCATGCAGAGCATGGAGACATTGAACATAGGTCCTACAAAGATTGCTGGTCCAGTCCAGGAAGTCCCTCTGTTGGCTGCCTGAGTGACAGTCACTATAGGTAGCAGTGCCTATTCTCAGAAAATGCAGAGTGTACACTGCTAATACTGCTAGGGCAGGCTATAAGCCCCAGAACCACTACATTAAGCTGCAGTGGTTTTGGTAACTATGGTTGTTTAATTTGCCTTTAATCTTGAGTCTCCTGTCCTCCTTCTCTTAAATTTATCTTCTCTGTTTGCAGCTTTTCAGTCATAGTGTTATTGTATGGTGTCCTTGTACTGTCCTCATGCCTCTGTAATGTTGCAGGATGGAAATATTGATGAACTTGAAGTAACCAGTGAGTTGACATTCAGAGTAACTCAAGACCTTGTCAACACAAGCATTAGCTGTGTGGCTACTAACTTGTATGGCAGCAGTGAAGAAGAGATCCAACTGGAGCAAAGTATGTTACACATTAAACAGTTTTTAATCCTATATTATGTTTATTTTGTAAATATATATTTTTCTATATGTCTTCAACTGAGTCACAACCCCACTTGTTGCTGTGTGCCATAAACATTACAGACAGAAGGATTATTCAGTAAAATGGAAATTATAGAGAGCTGAGAAGAAAATTGTAAATTCTAACCTAAAATAGCCAAATAGGAAAAATATTCTAATGCTTTTATTTTCACAGCTTGACTCTTTTGGCTTAACAATTTGCTATTCATTTTCCGATTCTCCACATTCCTCATTTATTTAAATTAACAAATAATTATTTATTAATTATAAAATATTTTACCAGGAAGGATACATTGAGATTTCTCTTGTTTTCTAATAGGTCCACTAACACTGCATCGTTACAGTAGGGTACAGTACAATATTAGATAGCTCTAGTAAATGTGAGTGATATTATATTAAATTACCTTAACACTCACCCACTGGACATACCATATTTCACTATTATTTCTTTTTGTTCCTTTTGTTTTTGAGGTCTGCTGTATATACTACTTTGAATACAATTTGTGTACGTTTATAATTTTTATACTTTACTATTTGGGGCGCGGTTTCCTTCCACCCTTTTCTATACAATATAATAATAAAAATACAAAATAATATTAATACATAACACATATAAATTGAACACAAAATGGGTAAGAAGTATAATCAACCAACGTGCATTCTGTTATGAGATATGTTAAGAGGGACCTCTTAAAGGATTTTAGACTTGAGGAAAATTTGAAAGTGTCTGGGAGGTTATTCCATAATTGCTCTATAGGAAAATAAGTATTGAGCAGCTTTATTTTTGGCTTAATAAAGTGCTGGTACAGAATCGGAGGTTATAGGAGATAGAAACAGTCAGGAGAACATCCTGCTCAGCTGGGATGGGAGCTTCCTAGAAAAGCTTTTAAACACAAGGCTGGAAAGATGAAGATGAAGTCTGGATTCCTGCGATAGCCAGAATAACCCCTAAAGTTGAAAATGGCAGTCCTTATATAGTATGGAGATTCGCAGGCATAATGTGACAAAGCACTGTCCAGCCTTGCATGAGAGTAATAGGCAGAGAGAGCTGGGCTAGCTTGTCCCCAACACTGTCCGCTTATCATTGCTGTGCAGTATGGAAAGTATCACTTTTTTTTTTTATTATTTATTTTTGTAGTGCTCAGTTAAGTTAACAAGCTTGTAACGACATTTAGTAAGAAAAGCAGAATACAATGAGGTTATTAGCAGGATTATCAACAAAGTCAGAAATGCAGCTCTTTTTTTGTTTATAGTATGAGAGACATTGGGTCAACTGTACATTGCATAGGAGTGCTGGTGAGTGAAATCATAGTAAAGTATTTACATATTTACATATCCAAATCAACTATGTTGACGAACTTAGGTAGGGTGAGTGGCCTGAATATGATAGGCAAACTAGAAATCATCACAAGATTTACATGTGTAAGTGTACCCCCTAGTGTAAGCCACAAGCTTATCTGTCACACGGGAAGGGACAATCGGCTGAGCTGCCCTATAATAGTTTTGCTGATGAGCCATGCCGAGGCATGGAGGTTTGTGCTTAGTGGCAGGTGGGTGATACTGAAGATTGGAGTCTAGGGTGGAAGATATCACTTTTGATAACAAAGAAGCATACACTGATCAACCACAACATTAAAATCATCTGACTAAAATTGTGTAGGTACCTTTTGTCCTGCAAAAACAGCTGTGATACATCGGGTCATGGACTCCACAAGACCTCTAAAGGTGTCCTGTGATATCTGGCACCAAGACATTAGCAGCAGATCTCTTAAGTCCTACAAATTGCGAGGGGTGGAGCCTCCATGTGTGGTGACATTCTGTCATCAAACTAATATGGCGACCAGGGATCATGTGACCTAGCTCATGTATGCCTTTCTTACAGTGGGATAAGCTTTACCTTTTGATATGGTAATTCAATACCTTTACAAGTCAGGAAAGAGGTAACCACTTTCCCCTATCTCCATTCTTCTCTGTTCCTTCTTGTCTGTGCTACTGAGCAGACCCTTAAGCAGACATGGCCTAATTTCTATCATGGTGAACTGTGAGTGGGATTTTATAAGATGTAGTTGTTATTGTTAGTTAGGTTGTTGTTGCTGTTGTTGTTTTTGGTGGTATAGTTAGTTAGATTGTGTGTCATTATTTGTATGTTGTTGTTGTTTTGTCTCTGAATAAATATTTGTTAAAGTAGACGGACCAGAGTTTATACGTGTATGCGTACATAATAATTTATAGAGTTTGGTAATACACCACACCATGGATCGGATTTGTTATTCCTGCACATCCCACAGATGCTCAATCAGATTGAGATATATGGAATTTGGAGGCCAAGGCAAAACCTTATTTATTTATTACTGGTATTTATAGAGCGTCAACAGATTCTGCAGCGCTGTACAATTAGTGGAGAACGTACAACATACACATACAAATACAAGAGGTAGAAAGAGCCCTAAATGTAAGCTGATAGTGCATTGATAGATGGCCCGTGAGCTTACAATCTAAAGGATACAATTGGGATTTGAGACAAGAGGTTGCAGGGGAAATTAGGAGGTGATGGCTAAAAGAGTTAACAGAGAAGCAGCTATTGGTAAAATACAAAGGGAATGAAGAGGTAATTGAGTGAGAATCTCAAACAGCTGGAGGAGCAGGCTATATAATTAGGGGGAACCTGGATGGGAGGGAGGAGGGTAGGGTTGGTGGGAAGTGGTGAGAAAGAAATGCAGAGCTTTACTGAGTTTGAAGTGAGGCCTGAAGAACAGCTATGGAGATAGAACAGTTATATGAAGGTATTTACAGCCAGGGTGAGCATTGGGGGAGAGGAGGGGAGGGGTCGAGTAGCAATGTGTTGAAAAGTTTAGCAACCAAATTCTGTCACCCAAAATATTAATAAATGTGTGCATGAAATATTGGTCAGAAACATTAAATGACAATAATCCAAACTGCATGCACAGAAAATTACAGTGGCAAACTACAGGTATACATGGTAACAATTCTATAGCAACATGATAATATGGTAGCAATGTAAGAATAAATGAGGTGGAGTATCTTCCAAGATTCAGTCCGTACCTGAGAGTGGCAGGATTTTGTGCAGGATGTTAAATGCAGAGCTTCACTGAGTTTGAGTGTGATGTGAGGCCTGAGAGTAGTAGGACCTTGGACTTTTTGTTATGTTCCTCAAACTACAAATGTTGTGGCTGATCGGTGTAGTTTTTGCATTATCAGAGCGGCCAAACAACATGTAGGCTATTAATTCCTGTTGTTTGTCAAGCTACTTAAAAACAGTTTGGCAAAAAAAGATAGAATTATTGAAAAATGAAATAAAAATTTCATGCAGACTGTGTCCGTCACAGCCAGGGGAGGTGTGGCTAAGGCTACATAAACAGAAACAAAAGTGATTCAACTCCTAAATGGCAGAGAATTGAGCAGTGAGACTGCCGGGGCATGATCTATAAATCAAAACTGCTTCATTAAGCCAAAGTTGTTATTATGCCTTTAAGGCCAAAGTAGCCGAACCAGAAGCACAGCTGACTAGAAGAATTTTACCAGTGCAGCTATTTCAGCCTTAAATTTAAAATTCACTTTGAATTCCTAACAATCCTCACTTTAGTAAATAACCCTGTGAGTCTATTGAGGTTAATATCTACCAGCTCTTCACATTTTCTGGTGTCTGCTCTGAGTAATTTCTCTCCATTCTTGCCTAATTTGCTCCAGGTGGTTAAGGTTGGTTCGGTAGTGCTTGTCAACTGCATTCTTTACACAATTCCACTGGTTCTCAATAGGACTGAGATCAGGACGTTGCCACTATAGGATATTCACATATTTGTTATTGAGTTATTGCAAAGTTGCTTTTCCGTTGTGCTTGGGATAATGGTCTTGCTGAAAGGTGAAATTTCTCCCAAACTTCAGCTTTTTAGCAGAATGAAAATGGTCCTCTTGCAGTATTGCTCCATCAATTCTTTAATTCTCACAAGACTCCCAGACTCTACTGATGTAAAGCATTCTCATATCACAGCATGATGATGCCACCACCACACATCACTGTGTGGAGAGCGCATCTTGACCATGGGCAGTGTTTTGTTTGAATTGTTGCCAAATTCAATTTTTTATCTTCTTTTTGTGACTATTCGATCTCTAATTGCTGTAGAATGATGTTTAGTTTTAATTGACTCAACTTTCATTAAAATCTGCAGCCTAGCTAATAATCATTATCCAGAAAGCAACTTTATTCCAAAGTAAATCGCTTTTCACGTTCATGGGTCACATGTAGAGGTCAATTGATAGATAATAATATTACCGTAAGGGTATTTCTTGCCTTTGCATAGACGTGAAGCTTTCGGCATAGAGAGGTTGAATATATTTACAAACTACATTTTTTTTTCTTCAAATATTTTTTAACACGAAACCAATTTCACCTTAAAATAATCCATATTCAAAAAAAGAATGGATCAGTGGAGTGCTACATCGACCGCCAGCATCGTCATACCAGTAATAAATACCAAACAAAAAGAATGGCCCAGCACTCTACAAATAATGTTGTGTTGTTTTATTTAGTACATATCACGAAGCATACAAACAACATTTCGGCTAACACAAAAGCCTTTTTTAAGCTTTTTGAAAAAAGTTCCTGTGCGAGTTGAAACATCGCTGTTTGTATGCTCCCTGCTATGTACTAAGTAAAATAACACAACAAATATTTTTGTAGGATGCTGGACTGTTCATCTAAAAATAACGATTTTTACATTTAAATATTTTCAGTTCACACAAGTATCACACAGAGCAGAAAATCAATATATAGACTGTTGTTTTCAGTGAATATTCAGAAAAGAGAGGGAGAGGGAAGGCGTGTGTATGTATAGAGATGTAAATGGATAGAACATTAAATAAATTTTGGAGTAAATTACTATTCTGTTTTTTTTTTCCATACCCAGGTGCTGAAATGACTGATTCCACAGTAATACCTGTGATAGGTATGTACATGGTAATAATGGTATGAATTCTTATATGTTGGCAACAACTGTCTTTGTCATGTTTCACATCATGGTTATTTCCAAGTACTCTTCTTGGTTGACTCTCTGAAAACCCTGGACCGAGTACGTAGACTCTTCTTGGGCCTCTAGTTTTATAGTTGTAATTCTGCTTAAAAACTCATCACATTTAAGGTACAGCCAGGGGCATTGTATGACTAATCCTTTCTACCGATTCTCTCAATTATATAATAACAAAAATATATAATTATGTAATGATTTAACATAGAAAAAGTCAGTTTTGATTAGCAGACAAATATAGAGGGAAATGAGCCATGAAATACATGCTTGGGCTAAAGCCTCTAGTCTTTTTGCCAACACCAGCAACCCCTCTGGTGACACCCCAAGATGAAGATAATCTTTTTGATAATCTTTATCTATTAAAGAATCTCCACAGAGAATAAAGAAATAGTCATGAGAAAATAAACCCCCAAGACACAGAACAGACTTGAGGTAAAAGCGTGGAAGAACCACCAATTCTAAGAACATACCCTCAAAAGACGGGACAAAGGGTATGCCTCAGTGTTTGGCCGATAAACTAATAATAACTATAGCAGGTTTAGGAGACTCCCACCCCTTACACAACAACATTGGGGAGACCTCCTTAGGTAAAAAGGAGGCATATTTCCATAAGGACAAATAAGAAAAACAGAAATTAGGAAACAAATAAAGAAAAGAAAGTGAGGTGATTGGGGGAAGGAGGAGAAGGAATGGATCCAGGGAAGACCCAGTAGGCAATAATGAGTGAAGCAAACTAAAAAAAATGTACCCTGTAGATTGTAGCTTGATACAAACCCCATGCCAGCCTGAAACATAAGAAATAATAAGTACATGACATACTTGAGCCAAATCCTTGGGTAGATTTAGATAATATTTTTCACTCTGGGACAGCGATCCTGCCATACAAATATAAAATGAAAAGAAAGGTCAAGGTATTTTAACCAGAGTTTGAAATAAATACAAAACCCTGGGCAACACTTTAATTTTGATCGTGTTGACTCTTCCAAACCAGGAGATGTACAATGATCTCCAGTTCTGTAGAATGTTCCCAGAAGATTAGGAAAATTTGCTGTTTAGCCTGTGAAACATTATTTGGCATTCAAATGCCAAATATATTTTATTGTCCGCAAACACCACCAAAAAAAAGTCCATGTACACAATATAGTCTCGCACCCTCCCCCTCGGAGAACAACTATTAAGAATATCTGACTTATCCACGTTCAATTTAAGACTGAATAGGGAGCCAAATGAACAAAATTCATGCAGAATGTTAGGAAGGGACTGCATTTGTTGCTCCACAATGAAACAACAACAATAAGTTGTCCTCATATGCGGCCATTGTGCTCATTCAGGCCACATTGAAGCCCTTGGATACCACCATTTTGCCAAATTAATTCAACAAAATGACTCCAGCAAAAGAATGAACAGAAAGGAGAAGAGGGGACAATCTGGCCAGGTTCTGTTGACTATCCATACCTACATCGGCTAAACACCAATAATTTAGAAACTGTCATTTAGAGTCGTGTATAAGGAACCAATTTGACCATCTGAGTGCCAAAACCTATGTGCTGTTAATGTATCCCTGGTCCACTAGGTTGAACTCCGTTGCAGCGTTGGTAGCGTGGAGGAGGAATGATCTACCCTGTTTACAGGCAGAGTGCACAATATCAAAAGCTCTAGTTGTGTTGTCCTTTGCCTTTCTGCTAGGGAAAAAGCCAACTTGGTCCGAATGGTCTAGGGAGAGGACCAGCTGACGCAATCTCAGGGCGATCAGTTTCGAAAGGTTTTTTTTTTTTCCTTCCAAATTTAAAAGGTAAATGGGATGAAAACAAGGTCATTGCTTTGTGTCCTTACAGTCTTTGGGAACTATAGTGATAAGAGCAGTCAGAGAACCTCCTGGGAAGGCACACCCTCAATGATGGAGCTAAAACCCTGTAGCATGTGCTGCAAGAGAATCTAACCAAAACTTTTGTAATAGCACCACAGGAAACCATCAAGATGCCTTATTAACCTGTATCAACTTGAGTGCGTCTTGCAATTCTTCCATGGTGAGCAGAAAGTCTAGGAACTCAGTGTCTTCCTGGAATAACGTCTAGTGACATTATCATAGATAGAAAGTGAACTATCTCAGGGCTGAGCTGCTGGTGCTAGGACTGAGGTAGCTTTGTATATTAAATTAAAGCAATGAGTAATAGGAATGAAATTCCTTTGCAATGTAATCTGGGTTAGCGGATTGTTCATTTTGTGAATATGACCTTGTGTTCGCTTCTTCTGGGTAATTCTGGCTAGTAATCTGCCACATTTATTACAGTGCATGTAGAAAAAGCAAATAGATTTGTGGAGAGCAGGTACTTCTGAGAGAGAAGATTATGTAGATTCCCAGGTATGAATAAGAGTTTCCAGTAGGTTGCATCAGCAAGAGTAGACGTGTGAGATTGTTCAGCTTTAGCTATTTTCACAGCCAATGTTGCCATCAATTTAGAGAATTTTCTTAAAAGGTATTTCTGAATAAATCGACCTCTGACATTACATTTGTATTTCTCCCAAGGTGTGAGCCGGGAGATATTTCTCTAATCATTGTACTGGAAGTACTGATTAAGGGAACCACCAATCACTGACGCAGGCTTTGCAGACTCAGACAGTCATGGTCCTTATAGTCTTTTCTGTAGGTGTACTGTGGATACATCGCATAAGTCTGTTCAACAACGGTTTACGGAATGTGTTCAGCACTCGTTAGTACTTTCATTCATAAAATTACATGAAAGATGCTACTGTACAAGCTAACAGAAGCAGCAAAACCAGAGCAATGAGCCTAGGTGCTCATAGTTCTAAAAATTACCCTCTAATGTAAATGTACTTTTAGACAAGGTTTCAACCACAATTTAAATTCTATTGTAAGAACAAAATATGCAGGTTGACTTACTAGAGGCCCAGGCGATATGTTTTTGGTGTTAGGGCAAAGTTACTCCAAAATGCTATTTGCTAATTGCCATAATTCATTAAAAAAAAAAAAAGGTTGAAAGCAATTTGTTGCTAAGATAAGGATGCAATTCCATAGATAAGTACCATTTTATTCTTTGCTTGATGTGCCATTCTACACTGTGAGACTTGCATGCTGTATGGGTCCCCAGTAGTCACTCCTGCAAGCTGCATGGAGTTATATATATATAGGATTGATGGAAGGGGCCCCTGTACATATTGCAATCAAAACAAGGGTCTCTCGTTGCAAAAATATGACAAACCATCAACATAGCAACAGCTGTCTCACGTATGGCTGTCACTGACTGGTGCTGGCACACCATACTTCCTGCTTCAGCAGTTGTCAGTTTGATTGTGAACGGGATGAAAGTAATTATCGTGTATATCGGCAGAGATACGCACCTGCATTATAACTTTTACTTCCATCAAAAAAAGAAAAATTTGAAATAGAAATTTTAAAAATATAGGTACAAACTACAGGTGCAGAATAGAGAGCAAGAGTGATGTTCATTGGGGTTCATTGCATATTGTCTGGCAAATTAACGGAGTTTGAAAAATTCTCAGCTATAGTCACAGCTTGTTATAATAACCACAGCTGGTTATTTTTAACAAGTTTGGTTTTCGGTTTTCAATTTTCAATTCCCTTGTTGTTTAGTGAAAACATGGTTTTCAAAGCTCAGAGGATCTGTTTGTCCAACTTCGGCAGCTATAACAAATATAACTTGGCACAGGATATATAGCAGTACTCTTCCGTGTTACTTTGGAGTGTTTATTCGTAAATAAAACCCTAAAAAGTTGCCAGACAAATAAAAACCTCTACAGATATGAAAGAGAGAAACTGTGTCTCAGTATACAAAATATATTTTTTACACATTATTTTACTTTAACTTTTACTTTTAACTTTATTGTCTTGTCTTTTATTCTGTGTTTTTATGGTTGGATATTATTTAATTACATATATTATTTTTAACAGTACCATTTAGTAACTCAGTTGTATAACTTCATTGACATTTGGGAGTTAAATCACATTGTGTATGCGCCCATAGCCACACCTCCTTGCATGGGACTTGCACAGTATTCCTAAACACTTCCTGTAAAGAGACATCTAATGTTTATACTTCCTTTATTACAAATTCTGCTTAATTTATAATTTCTTATCTCCGACACTGTTAATAGCTTGCTAGACCTGGCAGGAGCCTCCTGTATGTGATTAAAGTTGAATTTACAGAGCAGGAGATAAAAACTAGTAAAGTAAGTTAACATGTGATTGAAAATTAAACCATTGTTTACTTGATATAAAAACTTTTAACCCTTTTCCTTAAGGGGTTAAAGAAAGTTAACATGTGATTGAATATTAGACCATTTTTCCATGCAGGCTGTGTCAGTTACAACCAGGGGAGGTGTGGTTAGGGCTGCATAAACAGAAACAAAAGTGATTTAACTCCTAAATGGCAGAAAATTGAGCACTGAGGCTTCAGGGGCATGATCTATACACCAAAACTGATTAGTTAAACTTAAGTTGATGAAAACAAGAGGGAATCTGAGAATATAGTATTAATCTAGTATCTGAATAAGGGAAAGGGAGCTATTGCTATGCTGCTGATATATAGAAGGTACATGTAAGTTTCTATGCTGCACTAAGTGGGTTATTCACTAAGTACCAAATTCAGTCCGAATGGGGAAAATTGGCTTTAAAAAAAAAAGGTAACTGAATTAGCAACTCTCATATTTATTAATTGCACATTTGACTTGATTCTACTTAAAGGCAAAATCGAAAATAAAATAAATTCACCTAAATCTATTTAAATAAGAAATATCTATTTACTGATAGGGCAAGAAGGCAGCTTCAAATAGTTAAAATCGTCTGCAGTGCCAGGGTTAAGTGTGTGACAGCTTTAAAAATAAATAAATGATAAAAGCGTATGGGGACCCCTACATAACTGTTGGGGAAATTTAAACCCCCCCTCCCAGCCATGACTTTTAGTTGAGCTATTTTCTTATAGCTCAACCGTTAATATTCCACCCCCTGAGCAGTTGGATGAAGTATATATATCATAGGAAATATGGGTCACGGGTTATTGGTCATCCTTATTCTTTCCCACTTCCCAGAATAACTGTTTGGCAGCTATGGATGCTAAGCCACTAACCCATCCCATAAGCAGTAGGATGGGGCTTGAAAAAATACTCTGAGATATCCTGTGCTGCCCCGCCCTCATATTGGGTGGGGGCACATTAAATAGTCCGGAGAGTAGACATGCCATCATTTACCCAATACACAAGATCTAGCGCACTCACTCATCCACTAAACAGCAACTTCAAAGCTCACATATTTAATAGTTTGCCATCATTTACCCTCCTTGCATCTTGGGCAGCAGTTGGAGGCTAAGTAATAATAGGAGATGGATAAACCAATTGCCCAGCCATGGAGGGGTGGAGAACTGACATATTCACCACACTAGGAAAGCCCCCACCTACTGCTAATGCAAAGGCTTGACCACCCTGTCCCACCTCCCACCCCCCCCACCAGTCTAGTCAATGTGCTTCCATCTGATGCCAAAGATAGGGACATGTGGGGACCAGTAGCATTCTCTGACACTCCAAGATGGAATGAGGCCTGTAGTGACTTAGGCCTTGATTTAATAAGTTTTCCAAATAATTCAAGACTGTTAAAAAAAAACTTTGCAAATAATTTAGCTACAGAAGTTACTATTAAAATATATAGAAATGTCGGTAGATTACTAATTTGGAAAGTTTTTCTAATAGTATTGAGTAATTTGGAAAGCTTATTAAATCAATGCCTTAGTTAACCATAGCTGCCCAACTACTCCCCCTAATTAAGGGATTAAGGTAGGATTGGGGAGAGGTTTTCCTTATTCCAATTTGAATAATAACCCATACCATACCAAGTGGGGATTAAAGACAGATGTGACCCCCATAGGCTTTTATCTTTTTTGGGTTTTTTCAAATTTTTTGTTGTCGGCTGGCTAGAGAGAGCTGGCTAGTCTCTACGTACTTAACCTTTGTACAGTCAAGGATTCATAAGATATATGCCCACAGACTTTTAGTGCTGCCAGTGAGCAAACTGATTTTAACAATCTGATCCTGAATTTAAACCAGTCTGAATGCCCCCTGAACTGAGCTGGTGTATTTTTAGTAATGCAAATTGGGGTCTTTTGGACATTGGTCAATACACCACTAGAGGTGTCTTGGCTGAATATAGAGATGATCATCTGTACAATTTGTTTTTTCTTGTCTTTTGTTTTTTAAATTTATTTATTCTTTGTTTTCAATGTTGGATATTATTTGATACTACTACTAATAATTTTTTTTATTTTTTTTATTTTTTTTAAAACACACAGACCTTGTTACCACAGCAGTACCAGATAGCGACTCAGGTGTGTTCCCTTATTGACTACATGGCACCTTATTTTGAAAAAGTGTCAAATAAGTTATGTATGAAATGGAAAGAGGGAAACAGCCTATTTCCACCTTTTCTACATTTCTTTCTCTGTTGTTCTTTTAAACATACACTGTTCAGCCACAACATTAAAACCACCTGCCTAATATCATGTAGGTCCTAATAGTGTTGCCAAAACAGTTTTGATGCATCAAGGCATGGACTCAACAAAACCTCTGAAGGTGTGCACCAAGTATCTGGCACCAAGACATTAGCAGCAGATCCTTTAAGTCCTGCAGGTTTCAAGGTGGATCAGATTAGTTGCTCTAGCACATCACAGAGATGCTCAATCAAATTTAGGCAACACCTTGAACTGTAGCAAAGCGCTAATCCTGACAAGGACCATACCTCCGCTGGATCTGTGAAGACAGGAACTTTGGAACGACACAAAGTTCTGGGAGTACAACTGATTTATTCAGCACAAACTCAACCTTTTATGCACAGAACCCCAGCATGTGCATCCACTCAAAATATACACAAACCCCTCCCAGGTGTCCCTGTGTCTGTGAGATAATTAAGTCTAAACTGAGTAACTCCATTATCTCTCAGATACAGGGAAATACATGAAACATACATAAAACACCCCAAAAACATAGTCATATTTTACAGGAACCCCACAAGTCTAATATCCGAATAGCCCAGATCTGAGCGCCCAAGCTGTTCAAATATCGTTCAGATCTGTTCGGTAGAACGGAATCGCCATTCGGGTAAAGTTCTTACTGGCCGACCACGAGGTGATAGTCCAAAACAGTTCCAGGGAATTGAGGCAGGGCCGTCTTTAAAGGGGGGCAAACAGGGGTGACAGCCCCGGTGGCCAGTTATTCCTGGGGGACTCAAGGTTGCTGCCCTGTGTGCCCCCTGCCGGCATCCAAACCCTGTGGGCTGCGGCACCTGATGTAATCAGGGGCTCCCAGCCCTTTAACAATGCTCCGGACCGGGACCTTTTCATGTTGCCTGCTGGGAGGAAGTGAGGTGAGATCACTTCCTCCCAAGTAACAGAGTGCCACTGGTGAGGTGGAGGAGGCATACACAAGATGAGAAGAGGGACTAAGGTAGTCAGACTCCCATCAGACTTGGCCATCCAGCTCCGACTGGACCTCAGGGAGGGTGGCTAAAATAGGATGTAATTTGATATGTGTGTGTGTACCTGGGTCTGAGTCAGTGTATCTGGCTATATCTGTGTGTGTCTGACTATGTGTATGTGTACCTGACTGTGTGTGTGTGAATCTGGCTGTGTGTGTGTGTGTGTGTGTATATGGCTGTGAGTATGTCAGTGTGTGTGTGTGTGTGTGTGTGTAACTGGCTGTGTATGTATCTGGCTGTGGTGTGTGTATGTGTCAGTGTGTACCTGGCTTTTTTTGTGTATCTGGCTGTGTATCTAGCTATGTGTGTATCTGGCTGTGTGCCATTGTGTGTATCTGGCTATATGTATCTGTGTGTATCTCTGTGTGTATGTGTATCTATGTGAATGGGGGGCAGGATTCAGCGGGTCCGAGCAAATGCTTGCCCAGGATCCAATCGATATTAAAGACGGCCCTGAATTGAGGGAAACAGCTACTGTCTACTTTCAGGGGTTCCTGTGCGAACACCGACGAACGCTCACCCTGGCTTTTAGGGAGCGAATGCTCCCCCCAGTCAGTAGTTTTTATCTCCCGAACGTCGTTCATCTAGCTGGTCAGGAAGTGGGACAGGCAGCGGTACAATCTTTGCCCAGGTTCGTGGACTAGTGTGGCCAAAAATAGTTCCAGGTGTTCGACGACCATGTACCACTTACCTGTGTTCAGGAGACAAAATGACTGCCATTCACTGGAGCACATGCGTTTGGTTATATGAATGACGGCCACCCAGGAAAAGCAGTCGAGTTAATTACTTAATTGCGGTTAACAGCCAGGGATGGTTGGTGTTCAGGGAGGTATAAAAAGGGGAACCACACACCATCCATTTGGGAGACGAACAAGGGGGTATGGACAACCAAACAAAAAGGAAAGGAGTCTGCTACATGAACTCTTAGTCATGTTCCTCAAACCATTCCTTAACATTTATTGCAGTGTGGTAAGGTACATTATCCTGCCATCAAGGAACACCAATGCTATGAAGGGATGTACTTGGTCTGCAACAATCTCTAGGTAGGTGGTACGTGTCAAAGTAACATTCACATGAATGTCACAACCCAAGGTTTCCAAGCAGAACATTGCCCAGAGCATGACACTGCCTTCGTTGGCCTGCCTTCTTTCCATAGTGCATTATCTTGCCATCTCTTCCCCAGATAAACTATGCACATGGTCATCCACCAGATCTAAAAGAAAATGTGATTCATCAGACCAGGCAACCTTCTTCCATTGCTCCAAGGTTCAGTTCTGACGCTCACTTCCCCATTGAAGGCACTTTTGACAGTGGACAGAAGTGACAGAAGTCATCATTGCATGTGAGGCTACGCAGCCTCACATGCAACAAATTGTGATGCACTGTGTGTCCTGACACTTTTCATGGTCAGCATTAAGTTTTTCAGCAATTTGAGTTACAGTAGTTCTTCTGTGTGATCCGACCAGACATTCTAGTCTTCCCTCCCCACAGGCATAAGTGAGTTTTGTGCTGCCCTAGGCAACCCCCTCCTTACCTTTGGGAATGCTGGGGGGGGTTCTCCCTTTCCCTGGAGTCCAGTGGCTGCTGGGCTGCTGGACGGGCGGTGCTGGCGAGGGAGCACTGATTAGTGAGCTCTCTGCTGAGTGATGCAGAGTGATGCTGGGAGCCGGATAATGACGTCATATTCCGGCTCCCGGTATCACTCTGTGGCCTTCGAGGGTGAAAAGTGCTCCCTCGCCAGCGCCGACCGCCCGACCGGCTTGTCAGTTAGCCACAAGGCTAACAAGACATTTGCCCTGGGTATTTGGGGGCGGCTTTTTTGCTGCCCCCTGGAAAATGCCGCCCAAGGCAAATGTCTTGTTTGCCTCGCGGCTAATACGTCCCTGCCTTAAACGCCCATGACCCTGACACCGGTTCACCGGTTGTCCTTCCTTGCGCCACTTTTAGTAGATACCAGGAACACCCCACAAACACCCCACAATACTTGACGTTTTGGAAATGTTCTGACCCTGTCCTTCAGCCATCACTATTTGGCCCGTCACTCATATTTTTTCATTTGTCCATTTTCCCCGCTTCCAACACATGTGATTCAAGAACAGACTGTTCACTTGCTGCCTAATATATCCCACCCCTGGACAGGTGCCATTGTAGCAACATAATCAATATTACTCCCTTCACCTGTCACTGGTTTTATTGTTGTAGTTGATCAGTGTATACATAAAGATAGATAGGTAGATAGATAGATGCATGTTCTGACGACATCATAGACCACTATAACAGTAAACCTAGAAAATCAAATGGTTTGAAGAACAAGTCCTAAACATATTTATAAAGATGATAGGCTTGTATGTTTTCGTGTTTTTTCCCACATTTTTAGTGGCAGCTAGCTAGCAAGAGCTGGCCAAAGTCTACCCACTTATACCTTGTACAGTCAACCATGTCCCCAAAGACTTCAAACTGGCTTTAACAATCTGAATTCCAACCAGTCTAAATGCCCCTGGATTTATTATTTTTGGTAATAGACTTTAGTCAAAACCCCTAAATGTAAATGTCTTGGTTAAACCATTTGTATGATTTTTGTGTCCTTGTCTTTTTTTCTTTTTTTCTTTCATTCATTCTTTGTTTATTTTATGTTTTCAATGTTGGATATTGTTTAATACTACTAATAATATTATTTTATTTTTTTAAACACACAGACCTTGTTCCTACAGCAGTACCAGATAGTGTCTCAGGTGTGTTCCATAACTGACTGCATGGCACCTTATTTTGCAGAGTGGCAAATAAATTATGTATGAAATGGAAAGAGGGAAACAAATATAAACAGGCTATTTCCACATTTTCATAATTTGTATGAAGATGATAGATGAATCGATTGATAGTGCTGCTCTGTTGACATCATAGATTACTAGAACGGTAAACCAAGAAAGATCGAGTTGATTGCAGAACATGTGTCAAACACATGTATAAAGGTGATTTTTATCTTTTCATTTTTCCCCACTTTTTTGGTAGCAGGTGGCTAGCAAAAGGTTCTGCACCCCTGATGTGAAGTTGTGTGTTCACACCTAGACACTCATCAGGCTTGTTCTTTTTCATTGTAATTGAACACTTTTCTTACACTCACATGGTTAGCACTGTTTGGGATCACCTTTTATATTTTTCTTCTATTGAGCCCTATTCACCTTTTATGCTCTACCTCTGGTTATGCGTAGTTACATTCCTACTTAGTGTGTGCTAAGGTTGTCATGGGGATAAGTTCTGTAATTTGGTTATATGTAGGCACACCCCATCCTAGTGTGTGCTGAGGTAGTCATAGGGTTCCATTCCATTTGTTTTAAATCTAGTAAGGCACTCTATTTAACTGACTATCTAATGTGACTTCATTTTTTATGTACAGGCAACTATTTGGACATTATACTATGTATACCATTTTTGGGAATTATTTGTCTTAGCTACATTTGTTTATGTATGTTTAGGTATGTGTTCCCTTGGAAAACTTTTCATATATTTAAGAGTGTTTTTGTTTCTCTTTAGCGCGCTTTATCTGCCCTCTAATAAAGATAATTAATAGTTTTTAGCCTTACCTGTGTAACCATTCAGACCTTTTCTTGCTTATGTATTATTTTTTTTAAACTATTTTCCCACAGGCTTCTAATGCTCCCAGGGAGCAAATGGATTTTAACAATCTGATGCTGAATTTTAAACATCTGAATTTCAAACAGTCCAAATGCCCCTTGTTTGAATTGGATTTATTTTGGTAATGCAGACCAGGGGCTTTCGGACTTTGATTACTTAACTCCCAAATGTAAAAGAGAGATGTCTTGGGTGAACATACATAAGATCATTTGTACATTTTATTTCTCCTTTGTTTAATTTGTGTTTGTACTGATGGATATTGTTTAATTCATTTTTTTTTAAACACACAGACCTTGTTACCACAGCAGTAGCAGTAAGTGGCTCAGGTATGTAGCCTTATTGACTGCATGGCACCTTATTTTGAAGAGTGGCAAATAAATTATGTACAAAATGGAATAAGGGAAACAGATATGACCAGGTTATTTTCACATTTTCCTCATTTCTGTCTCTGCCTGCTAATTATATGTATAAAGATGTAGGATGAACTGATCGATAGTGGTGCTCTGGCAACGTCATAGGCCACTAGAATGGTAAACCTAGAAAGATTAGGCGGTTTATAAATATATCCAGAACTCTGAGATATTATTTTTGCTTAGTTTTTATTTAGAAAAAGTTTCACTACACAGCTACTGGAATTCCATAAATCGAGTGTTCCACTGTGATTGCTAATTACCACATAGACCGTGCATATATACCTGTAGCAGGATTAATGTTTAAGAGTATTTACTCAACAGTCCTACAAACTTCCCAGTGCCCCCTAACAATCTATAGCAGGGGTATAAAAGTCAGTTTACCTGGGGGTCTTTGCCAAGTCGTAATCTTCCTTGGGGTCTGCAGATCCATACTGCCAGATATGTGCCCATACATAAACATTAATACTCGCAGACGCACACCCAAACACACACGCAATTTACAATGCCCCTTTTTTAGCACCTGTATCATGTCTGAACTCTCAATGAAGGCTACTTCCATGCACTGTGTGCACCAACAGGCCTTGTTAATGAAGTTCTGGTTACCTGTTGAATGCTAGCCCTTTACTAATGATGTTGGGAGCACACAATACATGCAAACACTGCTCACTAGCTGGCCAACCTCCTCAACCACAGCAAAGAAGAGTTTGATCACAGACCTGGTGCTGACCAGTTTATCTAGATATGCAGGGCTCGGACATACCTCTTTGTTCCAGGATGGATGAACCTGGATCACTTTCATGTATTTTAGTGCGGGAAATGGTATCTGAATGACTACTACGAGACCCCTGGACTGTATAGTAAATTGCAGGTGCCTCCTGTCTGAGCTACCCCCTTCAGGATATATATAAATATAGACAAAAAACATCTAGCTGTGTAGCACCTGAATTCCATAACTATAAAATAATTGACACACTAAAGTAATATAAATAATATTTTATTTGTGCTGCATAATTATATATTTGCTAAAATATAGCTCTCACTGTAGGTATTTTCCCTGTGATAAATTATATCAAATACCATATGAAATCAGGAAGGTGTTTACAAGTATTTTGGATACAACTTGGAATAACTAGCAGCTGATATAGAACTATTGGCTACACACTAATCATTATCAGGATCGTTCGCTGAATTGTGCATTGCTCGGAATTCAAAGCGAATTTAGGCCAAAAATACCCAAATTGGAAAAAGCTTTTTAAATTCACTTTAAATTCTCTGCTATTAACCCTGTATGTATTCTCTTTAGGAATATTTGTCTAGTCAAATTAATGTTAGCAGCTGATACATTTTAAAGAAAATGTTAGATATAGACAATTAAAAAAAATAGTAAACTGTGTCATTTTGCATAAGAAAGCCCACATAATATAATTTCTATATCACAAGTCAGTTTACAAATGATCTGATCTCATAAATGCATTGTGGTCAAATAAATCCTCAGTCGTATGTTGCGACAAACACTATATCTGTTATGCTATGTCTGGCACTGTCCATTTATTTAAAAAAAAAAAAAATGTCCAAGCTCACTGTAGTGGTTATGGTGTCAGGAGTGCACTGGTGCCCCCTCCAGTGTAAGTACTGATACAATTTGACAGCTACCTACCATAAGAACTGAAAACTGTCTGCGTAGAGGTAAGTCCAGTGCAATCAGCTGGCACTCTCAACCAGTGAGCTGCTCCTGCATGGCAGCGTTTATCTCGGGAAGCTAATGTAAGATCCTAGCTAGAGCTTCTGGCTCTCAATGGTGGAAGTGACCGGTGCCCTGCAGACACCAATTAAGCTGACAAACCGTTAGTAAACAGTTTAACTACTTACATTAGGGGCGCACCAGAGCAATCCTGGCACCATTACAACTACAGAGTGCTGCAGTGGTTATGGTGCTTCAAGTGTTCCTATAAGTTCTCTTTATTGTAGAGATAATGCAGTTAACTCATTGGATTGGCCTAAATATATCTGGGACTATTTTTTACATTGAACAATATATGACTGTGCACTTATAGGGTTATTTAATAACTGAATTGTTGGGAACCCCAAGCGAATTTCACATTTTAGATCAAAATACCTAAATTGAAAATATCGCAGAATATTTCCATTTCACTTACCTTGAGCTGCATTTTGAAGCACATTTCTAACAATTCCTAATTTAATTACTAAAATAATATAGTTTGTGTGTTCTGTTCCCTTTGTGTATTTAAAGTAAAATAGACGCAACTACTTTTGGGAATAATGAGTATAATTTTCTTTAGTAGAAGCTTAAACATTGACATTAAAACAGGAAAACAAGGTAGAAAAAGTGATGAAAGGAAAAAATATGTACAAGAGAAAAACACATTATCTGTGCTAGTTGGGTGTCTATTTGGAATGTGACCCTCATTTGTCTGTTTGTTCTCTTTCCTCATTAGAAGAAAACGTCATACAAGGTCAGTGTTTTCTTAATACTTTCATGACACCTGCTAGTTCTCTCTATCTACATGACAGGCTACCCTTCATTAAACAAGTGCTAACACTCATGTATGAATAATCCTTGCCATTACAGGGACACCATAAGCACCAAAACAACCTTAGCGTAATTAAGTTGTTTTTGTGTGTAGAGCCATGCCTCTGCAGCCTAATTGCTCAAATCTCTGACATTTAGGAGTTACACCACTGTGTATAGGTATGACTATGGCTACATAAACAGTCTCCCTACACATTTCATGTACAGAGCCTTTATTGAGAGTCCTTTATTGCACAGTCTGTTTCATTTCTTATCTCCTGCTTTGTTTACAGTTCAATTAACAAAGTGTGAGATATAAACCTCTAAAGTAAACACTTTGCTGTCAGATCGGATTGAAAATAAAACAATTGATATGTAGGCCCTGCACATCACATGCAAGGGGTGTGACTAGAGATGCATAAACAAAGTGATTTAAAGGGACACTATAATCACCAGAACAACTAGAGCTTATTGTATTTGTTCTGGTGAATAGAATCATTACCTTCGGGCTTTTTTTTGTAAACACTGTTTTTTTCACAGCAAATGCCATGTTTACATTACAGCCTAGTGATAACTTCACTGGCCACTCCTCAGATGGCAACTAGAGGTACAGCCAGTGGCATACATACCGGGGTCACGGCTGCGACCGAGCCTGGCCCACCAGAGAGCCAAGCCGCCCTGCGACCCAGTATGTACACCAGTGTGGCCAGCCTCTTCTCCTGGGGGGCCCAGGAGCTGGCCATCTCATGGCCCCCCAAGGCTGGTGTTACCAGGATGCCGGTCCTGCGGTCGCGCGAGGGAGCATCCTCTCCTGAGCGCTCTCTGCCCAGCTCCCTCGCGCACACTTCACTGATGTTGGAGCCGGAATATGACAGATCAATTTTCGCACCAGGGCCCCATGGGTTGTGTGTACACCACTGGATGATGGCGCTACATAAACAAAAAAACATTAATAATAATAATAATAATAGAGGTGCTTCCTGGGCCAGTGCAGCACTGCCATCCAGTGTCTCCACCCTCTGAATGGAGACACTTAATTTTTCCTCATAGAGATGCACTGATTCAATGCATCTCTATGAGTATATGCTGATTGGCAAGGGCTGGGTTTGGCTTGTGCTGGCTCTGCCCCTGATATACCTCATTGACAGTCTCAGACAATCCTATGGGCAAGCATTGTGATTGGCTGAGAGAATCACTTCTGATGATGTAAGCCAAGGAAACAGATCAGGGGCAGCAGCTGCAGACTTGAATACAAGCAAGATTTTACTATATTTAGGGAGGCCAGATGCTGGTTTTAACACTACAGGATCAGGAATACATGTTTGTGTTATTGACCCTCTAGTGTTCCTTTAACTCCTAAATGACAGAGAATTAAGCAGTTATTATCATTATGCTAAATTTATTTTGGTATCCCTTTAAAGTGATGCACTCATTGTGAGATATATATATACAGGGTTGTCCACTAAAGTGAATTCATATAGAATTTTACATTTAAGATGAAAGTAGTTAAAATGGAAGCATAGCAAACAAATATTTTTTCATAACTCAGCTATTTGGCCTTACAGTGAGGGAAAAAAGTATTTGATCCCCCACTTATTTTGAACATTTGCCCACGGACAAAGAAATGATCAGTCTATAATTTTAATGGTAGGTGTATTTTAACAGTGAGAGACAGAATAACAAAAAAAATCCAGAAAAACACATGTCAAAAAAGTTATAAATTGATTTGCATGTCAATGAGTGAAATAAGTATTTGACACCTTCGACTTGGCAAAACCCTTGTTGGCAATCACAGAGGTCAGGCGTTTCTTGTAGTTGGCCACTAGGTTTGCGCACAACTCAGGAGGGCTTTTGTCCCACTCCTCTTTGCAGATCCTCTCCAAATCGTTAAGGTTTCGAGGCTGACGTTTGGCAACTCGAGCATTCAGCTCCCTCCACAGGTTTTCTATGGGATTAAGGTCTGGAGACTGGCTAGGCCACTCCAGAACCTTAATGTGCTTCTTCTTGAGCCACTCCTTTGTTTTGGGTCATTGTCATGCTGGAATATCCATCCACAACCCATTTTCAATGCCCTGACTGAGTAAAAGAGGTACTCACCCAAGATTTGACGGTACATCCATCTTCCCTTTGATGTGGTGCAATTGTCCTGTCCCCTTAGCAGAAAAGCACCCGCAAAGCATAATGTTTACACCTCCATGTTTGATGGTGGGGGTGGTGTTCTTGGGGTCATAGGCAGCATTCCTCCTCCTTTAAACACAGTGGGTTGAGGTGATGCCAAAGAGCTTGATTTTGGTCTCATCTGACCACAACACTTTCACCCAGTTCTCCTCTGAATCATTCAGATGTTCATTGGCAGATTTAAGACGGGCCTGTACATGTGCTTTCTTGAGCAGGGGGACCTTGTGGGCGCTGCAAGATTTCAGTCCTTCATGGCGTAGTGTGTTACCAATTGTTTTCTGTGTGACTATGGTCCCAGCTGCCTTGAGATCATTAACAAGATCCTCCAGTGTAGTTCTGGCCTGATTTCTTACCATTCTCAGGATCATTGAAACTCCATGAGGTGAGATCTTGCATGGAGCACCAGACCAAGGGAGGCTGACAGTTATTTTGTGTTTCTTCCATTTATGAATAATCGCACCAACTTTTGTCACCTTCTCACCAAGCTGCTTGGCGATGGTCTTGTAGCCCATTCCAGCCTTGTGTATGTCTACAATCTTGTCCCTAGCATCCTTGGACAGCTCTTTGGTCTTGGCCATGGTGGAGAGTTTGGAATCTGATTGATTGCTTGCTCCCTTTAAGAGAGTGCTCCTAATCTCAGCTCGTTACCTGTATAAAAGACACCTGGGAGCCAGAAATCTTGCTGATTGATAGGGGATCAAATACTTATTTCACTCATTGACATGCAAATCAATTCATAACTTTTTTGACATGCGTTTTTCTGGATTTTGTTGTTGTTATTATTATTGTGTCTCTCACTGTTAAAATTATAGACTGATTATTTCCTTGTCAGTGGGCAAAAGTTCAAAATCAGCAGGGGATCAAATACTTTTTCCCCTGACTGCACATTTGAAATTATCTTTGAATTCTCATTTTAATGAATAACCTTGATATTGTTAACGAAGATATGCTGTAGTGGTCTTAAGGGACACTCCAGGCACCCAGACCACTTCTGCCCATTGGAGTGGTCTGGGTGCCAACTCCCACTACCCTTAACCCTGCAAGTGTAATTATTGCAGTTTTCATAAACTGCAATATTTACCTTGCAGGGTTAAGTCCTCCTTTAGTGGCTGTCTACTAGACAGCCACTAGAGGGCACTTCCGTGATTATAGTACGTGAAAAGTGTGCTATAGCGTCGCTGGACGTCCTCACGCTATGTGTGGACCTCTAGCGTAGCTGAAATTCCCATAGGAAAGCATTAAAAGCATTTTTCAATGCTTTCTTATGGGGAGGTCAAATGCGCAATGTGCAATAGGTCTCCCTTACCAGTTGACGTCGGCGGAGGCAGACCCTGACCCAGCACCGAGGGACATCGCCGCTGGAAACAGGTAAGTCACTGAAGGGGTTTTAACCCCTTCAGCAACTTGGGATGGGGGGGTGGAAGGGAGAGGAGACCTGCAGTGGAGAGTCCCTTTAATACTAAGCATGAAAACGCTAACAAACACCTTGTAATATGACACACTAATGGAACTGAAAGATTAATCACATATACTAATCGTATTGTGAATTTACATTGACATTACTCATTAAAGTTTTATATAATGTACCTATCTATCAATAGGGGTAAATGTTATTTTCTGTGTTACCTGATGCATTCTGATGTGGCTGAAAAAAATATTTCAGTAGTGGTGACGCATATTCTGTCCTGCAGAAACCACACGTGCCGGCAGTCATGGTGTGATCATCGTCGTCGTCATCGTGTGTATCCTTTTGCTGGCAATCCTTGGAGCAGTGTTATACTTCCTGTATAAAAAGGGGCGCATTTCATGTGGGCGCTCTGGGAAACAGGACATGTGAGTCTGAACAAGGAATAGTAAATGTGTACCCTAAAACTTACAGTGCTTTTACCATATGGGTTTTGTGACTTCTGCTCTATTCTTACAATACAGTTGATTTCCTAACAACTTCAATTTTTGTTTTCTTTACTACATGATTCTACTTAAATCTCCTCCTTTTATAGCTTTAATCCCCCATATTTGCGCAATCTAGTGAAGTAAAATCTGAATGGCTTTTCTTATAAAGGTGAACGAAATAAGCCAACAATTTGTATATTAAACAAAGAGCTTACATTGTATAAAATCTGGCATTTTGTACTACTCTCTTACTTTACAGTTATTGGCTGTAAAAATATTCACTAATTTTATTTAACTTCTAACATAACATTTTTCATCATTTGCTTTTTTCTCTCAGTACAAAGCCAGGTGAGAAGGAACATATTGTTGTCGAAATGAAACCGGATTCACCAGCTGAAGAATCGGTGCTTCTTCCTGGATCACAAGAAAAGAAGCCTCCAGGGGACCAGGTGAGAAGCATACAAGTCAAATCCATTCAGATACCTGAAAAGTGTATTCCCAGTGATGTTTCACAAAAATGTTATTCACGAAAATCTGTTATAGGCAGGTGAAATACATATCCTTTAATGCTACCCCAGCCGTATGTGACATGAACAGTGTGGCGAAACCGGCCTCGCCACGTGTCCTTGGAGGGGGCTGCTTGCCCGCCTCTTGCCTTTGGACTATGGACCAGACTTTATGTGAATGTGTTATACCCCAGATAGGAATCCCATGGAGCCCATTCGTATGAAACTGACTGCAAAGACTTTGGCTCCATGGCGATTAAACTGTATTCGTGTGGTCTGAGCGCCATTCACTTAATAATGTGCGCTCAGACCTGAGCTATCTGGGGATATGTGAAATGTCTGTGTGTTATGTGTAAAATGTGACTTTATGTATTTTAAAGTGTTTTGTGTCTTTTGCAACCATGTGCTTAATGGAGTCTTGTGTCTGTCCTGGGAGATAATTGAATTACTTATCTCCAGGATAGAAGACTGAAACTGGTTTGGGCCAGAAAGCCATGCTTCATTTAGTCACAAAGGACTTTTTACTAACTTTTGAACCCCTTGTCTGATTTGTGCCATTTTTGAATATGTTGTTCCCCTGAATGGATTGATTGTGAATATGTAATTTTATGTGAATGTGATGTATGGTTTTGGAGTTATGAAAGTTGGGTAGAAAGTATATTTTAACTGTATGTATAATTGAGTTTCCTCTCAGGATAAGGGGAGGGAATATGTGGGATGTAACTGATATGTGATTGGTTGTTTTGTAACGCCCTGTGGGCTGTACTATGTTTGTGATTGGGAATAAAAGAGACTGTATGTGACAGTACAGGGAGTTCCTGTTTAACCCTCAAAGTGAAGTGTCGTCTCATTATTGGGGGAAGGATTTATTGTATGCTGTTCCAGTTTGACTGCTAGGAGAGTAAACCTATTCGTATGGTTCCTATTCAACTGTCTACAGCATTCATATGCTTGAGAGGATTCATATGCTTCTCCGGTTCGGTGGTTGTGGTGTCTGCTGCAGTGCTTGGAGTCCTCAGGAAGCGCTAGGAGCATCCTTCAACGGAGGTACCCAGTCGGGGGTGCCAGGCGATCCGTTACATTGGTGGCAGCGGTGGGATGGCGTCCTAGTGCGAGGTAAAGCAGCTCAGAGACACAGTCGTTTGGATTTACAAATTGAAGGCGACGCTAGTGTTTATACAGCGTCCCTGTCTACATAAAGATTTGGGAAAATGGGGTTTGTGGATCCTTGGGCACCTCGCACACCTGAGGAAGAGGGTGAATTGGACTGGAGAGATATTGCCCGGCAAGAACTATGGTACAATGCCCTGGAGGAAGTCCAGTATCAACGGCAGCAGCGCCTTCCTGGTGTCGCATACCGGTTGGAGGAACAAATGGCCTGGCGGATGCCGCTTCTGGGAGACCAACCCGGAGGGCAGCAGGTCAGACAACTTGAGTACCTTGTGGAAAGGGAACTGAGCCTTGACGCCTCATACCGGGCACTGTGGTGGTGCACTGTCCAGCCAGAGACATGGAGGGCAGAGGGCATCCAGCCGGAGGGGGAGAACTACACTAGCCCTGGCCTGTTGTGGAAGGCCTTAGCAGAAGACGTCGACTTTGGCAGTCCAGCAGAGTCACGGTACTGGGCTATTTTTTATTACCGGGGTGAGATGGTACAGGGCCCGAGATCTATGGGACTGGGACAAGACCTCCACCGTTTGGCTGCCATGGAACGACAGCTAGAGATGGACTATGTGGAACTACTAAACTCATGTCAGCCACAGGGCATAGACACAGAACAGGAAAACTGGCTGGGAGACCCAGACCTGCCAACCTACAGCTGGGAAAACGCAGCCGAGGTACCCCCTGCTTCACTACCAGCGGCAGAAGTAGGGGACCTCATAGACTGGTCCTGGGAAGACCCACAGATGGCAGGTGGAGATGGGATGGCGGTCTCTCTACCGGCCCTACAGGGATGCTGGGCGGTCGGCCCAGATCTCCAGCGGCAGTGTGTACCCCAGGGAGCAGAAGGTGCAGTCCTTCCTCCCCAGCGGCAGTGTGTACCCCAGGGAGCAGAAGGTGCAGTCCTTCCTCCCCAGCGGCAGTGTGTCCTGCAGGAAGCGGAGACAGTCGGTCTCGCTCCCCAGCAGCAGGGCAATATATTAAAAGGGGAGACAGTTGGTCCCCCTCTCCAACAGCAGAGAGAGTGTCAGGGAGAGGAGCTTGTTATCCCCTCTCCCCAGCGGCTGAAAGTATGTATGGGAGAGGAGCTTGTTACCCCCCCTCCCCAGCGGCAGCGTGTACCCCAGGGAGATGAAGGTGCCGTCCTTCATCCCCAGCGGCAGTGTGTACCCCAGGAAGCAGAGACCATCTGTCTCGCACCCCAGCCGCAGGACAAAATATTGAAAGGGGAGACAGTTGGTCCCCCTCTCCACCAGCAAAGAGAGTGTCAGGGAGAGGAGCAGGTTACCCCCTCTCCCCAGCGGCAGTCTACAGTTCAGAGAGAGGAGCTTGTTACACCCTCTCTCCAGCGGCAACCTAACCCACCAAGGGGAGATGTTAAGCCCCACAACTATGCAGATGGGACTGTAGTCTCTGCACTTGCAGCACCAGGGGTAGGGGCGGTCGGTCCTGTCCCCCAGCCACAGAGCAGTGTATCCAGAGGGGAGACAGTCGGTCTCCCCCTCCCACAACCAGGCTCCAACCAGGCTACTTCAGTGGTAGCGCTGGCACCCGGGCAGAGTACCGCTGGTCTCTGCCCACTCAGCAACCCACCAAGGCAGTCTACCAGCCCCCCGCACAGCCGTGGTGAGGCACCTGGACATGGACAAGTTGCTATTTTATCCAGGTGTAGTAACCAGTTATTGTGGGTGGGCTGTATTGCTGTTTGTGCTTCGTGGGTGGGTTGCTGGACTAACCAGGGCACTGACCGGCAGGAGGTCAGATACCCTGTTAGTTTGGATGGTAAAGGGGAGAAATGTGGCGAAACCGGCCTCGCCATGTGTCCTTGGAGGGGGCTGCTTGCCCGCCTCTTGCCTTTGGACTATGGACCAGACTTTATGTGAATGTGTTATACCCCAGATAGGAATCCCATGGAGCCCATTCGTATGAAACTGACTGTAAAGACTTTGGCTCCATGGTGATTAAACTGTATTCGTGTGGTCTGAGCGCCATTCGCTTAATAATGTGCGCTCGGACCTGAGCTATCTGGGGATATGTTAAATGTCTGTGTGTTATGTAACAAATGTGACTTTATGTATTTTAAAGTGTTTTGTGTCTTTTTTGCAACCATGTGCTTAATGGAGTCTTGTGTCTGTCCTGGGAGATAATTGAATTACTCTCCAGGATAGAAGACTCTGAAACTGGTTTGGGCCAGAAAGCCATGCTTCATTTAGTCACAAAGGACTTTTACTAACTTTTGAACCCCTTGTCTGATTTGTGCCATTTTTGAATATGTTGTTCCCCTGAATGGATTGATTGTGAATATGTAATTTTATGTGAATGTGATGTATGGTTTTGGAGTTATGAAAGTTGGGTAGAAAGTATGTTTTATGTTTTAACTGTATGTATAATTGAGTTTCCTCTCAGGATAAGGGGAGGGAATATGTGGGATGTAACTGATATGTGATTGGTTGTTTTGTAACGCCCTGTGGGCTGTACTATGTTTGTGATTTGGGAATAAAAGACTGTATGTGACGGTACAGGAAGTTCCTGCTTAACCCTCAAAGTGAAGTGTCGTCTCATTATTGGGGGAAGGATTTATTGTATGCTGTTCCAGTTTGACTGCTAGGAGAGTAAACCTATTCGTATGGTTCCTATTCAACTGTCTACAGCATTCATATGCTTGAGAGGATTCATATGTTTCTCCGGTTCGGTGGTTGTGGTGTCTGCTGCAGTGCTTGGAGTCCTCAGGAAGCGCTAGGAGCATCCTTCAACGGAGGTACCCAGTCGGGGTGCCAGGCGATCCGTTACAAACAGTCTGGGAAATATTAAGGTATTGGGTGACAATGTTAGCCATCTTTGATCTTGTAGCACAATTTCTTTCTGATCTGAGTTTGTAAACTAGGAAGAGTCAGAATTACAAAGGGCTTCTATCATTCATCTTTGTAGAAGATAGAGCAGGTACATATTTTTGCTTGTTTTGAAAAGGTGAGTGTACACCATCAAGTTCGCTTAAAAGTTACAAAATATTTCCTTTTACATTCACAGTTCCTAGTTTAAATCATACACATTTTTTGTGTATGTCATAAAATACAAAGACTGATAAGAGGGACATAGTTTGGATTAATTAATCTTCATTGTGACTAAGTGAGCCTCGAAACGTGTTCTTGGAGGGGCCTGCTGTCCAGCCTCTTACCAAAAGACTATGGGCCCTTTAAAAACCTATGTGAACAGACTTAGTTCGTGGGATTTTATATTTGGTTCGGGAACCGAACAGCCGCACGAACCGGAGACCACCCTGGAGCTTGTTAAGCCTTGTTAAGCCTAATTGCTACTTTGTAGCAATTTCCACCGCAGTGTTCTAAGTGTTCGTCTGGGTGGCCGCAATTCCTATGCAATTCTTTTGGATCAACAGCAAAAATCAAATGTAAGGAAGGCTGAACTTGATGGACGCAAGTCTCTTTTCAGCTATGTAAATATGTAACACTTAGAAAGGCGCTGTTCGGTGGAAACGTTCCCACAAGGGGAACAAGCTCCAGGGTAAGAACACTGACTCTGTTTGGTAGTTTGTTCGGTTTTTAAACTACCGGACTAGACCGACCGCAAGCCCTGATTCTCTGGAACTGTTTTGGGCATGGGACCATGCGTGCCGTCGGTCAAATTATGACTTCCAGGCAATTTCTGAACCCCTGAGCCGATCAGGGTGATTTTTAGATATGTTGGTCACCCACATCATGGCTATCAGGGGATGTAACGTTTGTGGGCATTTTGTGTGTTTTAAGGTATTTTGGGGGTTTTGTTAAAATGTATGTTTTCTGTCCCCGGAGATAATTGAGTTTAGTACAGTGCTGACTCAATTATCTCCCAGGCATAGGGGAGGGGTTGACCTATTTGTATGGGAGTGTCATGGACCTGAGAGCCAATGTAATCGTGTATATGTTCTTACTGTAGTCTACTCTCCGGTCCTGGGAGGAGTGCCCCTAGCATGGGGACATGCATATAAAGCCAGTTGTGGTTGCCAGTAAACAGATTTGTTTTACCCTTCATGAAGTCTAGGCTCATGTTTGGGATTTTGAGAGCTATATTCACTCTGGGGATTGCTATAATGACTATACTCCCTTGGATCACAACGATTGCTCTTGTAAGAGCAGCCTGCTTTGCTCTCTGGACTAGGAGAGGTCTACCCACTGGAAGCTGGATCTTGGTCTTGAATGCAGGGTGGAGGACAGCAATACCCCAACCAAGCTGCGGCGATTTGTGGGGTATACGATGGTTATGGTGTCCGGTGCTGTACTTATGGTACTCCAGGATTACTAGGAAGCAGCGATTGACGGAGGTACCCGGTCGGGGTGCGAGGTGGTCCGTCACATTCATAAACATTCTAAATTGTACCTGTTAGTGATTAATGTATACTATGCAGCAGGGAGACCAAAGCATAATGCACATTTTCAGATATGTGGGGTTGTTTACTGAACCCCTGATAATCTGGGTATTAAAAACTACTGATCAGACTAGCCAATGTGGGAAAAAAAAAGGTGTTGGCATTTTTTTCTTACCTGGCTTTCTGGACCTAAAATTTTAATTTCCCTCCCTTTCTGTAAAATCCTGTAAATGGCATTTCAAAGGTTAGGAGGAAAGCAAATTGAATCGGATCTGATTTATTCAGACAAATTCCATAGGCAGAAGCTTTAAATAATCATTTGGATTTTAAATGTTACAGTATTTGACACAATTAATTAAAATTATATGACCTACTTGACAAACTCAAGATGTAAATTAATTTCAAAGAACTAAGCCATAAACACAATGCATGCAGGGAATTCTAGACCAAAGTATGTGGTGCTTCAGTGTGATGAAGTAGTAAGATGTCTCTCCCATAAATGCCACACTGTGGTAGTGATTGCAGGTAGCTCTGAAGTCATATAAAGTTACATTTTATTCTCCTGGGAACTGGAGAGCAGGAAATCCACGTTCCCAGCATTAGACCACCTGGATCTGTACATACTGAAGCCTATTGGCTGCACACATGAAAACGGGAAGAACTAAAAACATTTTTTCTTCTCTAAGATCCATGGCTTAGCCTCTTCCATTGTATTATAAAAAATAAGCAGTTCACAAAATGTCTCAACGTTTCCCCCCATGTATGGGTATTTAAAATCTTCAGTAGTGATGTCCCGAACGGTTCGCCGCCTATGACATCATTCTTAGTGAGCTGTCCAGGAGGTGGGAGGGTCTGGGAGGGAGGGTCTGCTGCTGATTGGCTGGAATGTGTCTGCTGACTGTGAGGTATAGGGTCAAAGTTTATGTTTATTTTCGCCATCCGTGGCGAACCGTTCGGCGAACCGTTCGGGATATGACTAATCTTCAGTATTAACGTCTGCCATCCTTGTTCTACTTGGTCTAGTGTGAGAGAGCAGAGACCACTCTTGGGCTGCGCCATCATTGGCTTCAAGTGCCCTAGTGAATAGATGTGATTTGAACAGCGATGTGTCAGTAAACAGTGGATGTGATGTCATATTGTGCACGTTTAGCTATAACTATGAAAAACAGCGTTTAAGAAAAATGAAACACTAATAACTACACTCATATGATATACACTAATAACTACACTCCATATTCCCTGGCTTGAACAAATCTGAAAAATAAGAGGGTAATATTTGAAAAAAAATTTAAAATGTTGTGAAAAGGTTTCATTATGGCGACATCACCCCTATGTCCTTCTCTTTTAATGCCATCATCCCTAAATTTCCCTAAACATCCCCCAGTTACACGGCATAGAAAAAAAATCTAATAAAAAAAGAAATGATTAGTTTTGGTTTTATAGAAGTGTATGCTCCTGACTACTACAACAACTAGATGAGAATACTCTAGATACACAGTATCTCACAAAAGTGAGTACACCCCTCACATTTTTGTAAATACTTTATTATATCTTTTCATGTGACAACACTGAAGAAATGACACTCTGCTACAATATAAAGTAGTAAGTGTACAGCCTGTATAACAGTGTAAATTTGCTGTTCCTCAAAATAACTCAACACCAAGTCATTAATGTCTAAACCGTTGGCAACAAGAGTGAGTACACCCCTAAGTGGAAGTGTCCAAATTGGGCCCAAAGTTTCAATATTTTGTGTGGCCACCATTATTTTCCAGCACTGCTTTAACCTTCATGGACATGGAGTTCACCAGAGCTTCACAGGTTGCCACTGGAGTCCTCTTCCACCCCTCTATGACGACATCTCGAGCTAGTGGATGTTAGAGACCTTGTGCTCCCCCACCTTCCGTTTGAGGATGCCCCACAGATGCTCAATAGGGTTTAGGTCTGGAGACATGCTTGGCCAGTCCATCACCTTTACCTTCAACTTCTTTAGAAAGGTAGTGGTCGTCTTGGAGGTGTGTTTGGAATCGTTATCATGTTGGAATATTGCCCTGCGGCCCAGTCTCCGAAGGGGGGGGATTATGCTCTGTTTCAGTATGTCACAGTACATGTTGGCATTCATGGTTCCCTCAATGAACTATAGCTCCCCAGTGCCGGCAGCACTTATGCAGGCCCAGACCATGACACTGACTGTAGGTAAGACACACTTGTTTTTGTACTCCTCACCTGGTTGCCGCCACACACGCTTGACACCATCTGAACTAAATAAGTTTATCTTGGTCTCATCGGACCACAGGACATGGTTCCAGTAAGCCATGTCCTTAGTCTGCTTGTCGTCAACAAACTGTTTGCGGGCTTTCTTGTGCATCATCTTTAGAAGAGGCTTCCTTCTAGGATGACAGCCATGTAGATCAATTTGATGCAGTGTGCGGCATATGGTCTGAGCACTGACAGACTGACCCCCCCACCCCTTCAACCTCTGCAGCAATGCTGGCAGCACTCATACGTCTATTTCCCAAAGATAACCTCTGGATATGACGCTGAGCACGTCACTCAACTTTTTTAGTTGACCATGGCGAGGCCTGTTCTGAGTGGAACCTGTCCTTTGAAACAGCTGTATGGTCTTGACCACTGTGCTGCAGCTCAGTTTTAGGGTCTTGGCAATCTTCTGATAGCCTAGGCCATCTTTATGTAGAGCAACAATATATTTTTTTAGATCCTCAGAGAGTTCTTTGCCATGAGGTGCCATGTTGAACTTCCAGTGACCAGTATGAGAGAGTGTGAGAGCGATTACACCAAATGTAACACATCTGCTCCCCATTTACACCTGAGACCATGTACCACTAACGAGTCACATGACACCGGGGAGGCTAATTGGGCCCACTTTGGACATTTCCACTAAGGGGTGTACTCACTTTTGTTGCCAATGGTTTAGACATTAAAGGACCACTCTAGGCACCCAGACCACTTCAGCTTAATGAAGTTGCCGCGCGTGCGCATTCAGCCGACGGGGAGGAGAAGAGGAGGATCGGAGGAGGAGAGCTCTCCGCCCAGCGCTGGAAAAAGGTAAGTTTTACCCCCTTCCCGCCTTCCAGAGCCGGGCCAGAGGGGGTCCCTCAGGGTGGGGGCACCCTCAGGGCACTATAGTGCCAGGAAAACGAGTATGTTTTCCTGGCACTATAGTGGTCCTTTAATGGCTGTGTGTTGAGTTATTTTGAGGGGACAGCACATTTACACTGTTATACGGGCTGTACACTTACTGCTTTACATTGTAGCAGAGTGTTATTTCTTGACACATGAAAAGATATAATTTATTATTTACAAAAATGTGAAGCGTGTACTCACTTTTGTGAGATACTGTATCCATGACTGCTGCTTTGCCCCGGTCAGCCTATTATGAAAATATACATCCGACAGAGCCTATTATTGTTTATTTTACTGTTGAAAACTTGAGAAATAGCGAGATGAATAAAATACTACTCTATAAAACATTACAAAATAGCAATTCACAACGCCTCAGCTGAGAAATTTATTGTACAGCTTTATGTAAGAAAGGTGTTTCCATTGCCATTTCAGTCAATATACAGAAAACACATTATCTGGATAGCTGCCATTGTACAACTCTGGGGTTTTCTCACACATTTATTGGAACTAAACTTTGTTTCCTTCCTTGAGAGGGAATTATTTTATTTGGAGTGAAGGTTAAGACGTTACGATAGTGCAGTGTTATAAATGGGAACCTACTCTGCCTGTCATCTTACAATCTGAATTATTTAGAAAAGGATAACATTTGTGATGGGTATGCCCCAGAATGTTGTAGCTGGTTATAAAATTGAATTATAATACTGTCTCAGGCAGTCCAGATTTTCAATAAATGTCTTGTTACAGTCCTTGTATGAAAGGTCACTCCAGCCCTAAGGCGTTGTGTTGCATAAAAGTTTTCAGTAAGAGATTTGTTTAGATTGAGGGTCATCAAACTTACATGGTTATAGTGACAGCTTAACAATTTCAGCCTAAATTTAGCAATTCAGATTTTCATTGACAAACAAGTTTAGTGAATACACCTTTCTGTTTGCCAGTGTTTCTTGATGTAAAACTCCAGTTCTAGATTATATCGAACATAGAGTGCACTCATAGGATTTAATAATAAACAAAATAACGTATTTATTTTTTTATCAGGCATGCAACAGTATATAGTCAAGTACAAAAAACAATCCAAAGTTCAGATTTCAATAGAAACTGGTATTTTTATAAATCAACCTTTTTTACAACCGCATAGCTGCCAATGACACAGGTGGTCCTGTTACTTCCTGGTTTGGTTATCTCAGTGGAGGTAAACTCAAGAGGCAGCAATTGCTCAGAGTACCTGCCTTGCAGAAAATTAATTGGGAAGTCTGTGATTGGACAGCCACAGAAAGTCTGGGCGGGGTTAGTAGTAGAGGGCTTGCAAAAACTGCAGACAAGAGATCTGCAGAGTTTGCAAGCTGTTTTAAGATATATATCCCCGGTGGAAAAAGGCATCATTAAAGGCATGTTTTAATTGGGTTATATCTACTACGCAGAGAAGTATTTATTTATGTTCGGGCAGTGTAGTGTCCCTTTAAGATAAGGGCGTCATGTTCTTAACCTATATAGGATGCAGATCACTTTAAGAGCTCCCTAGCGGTTCTGCCATGCTTTTCAATCACTCAGAGTGCCCTTAGTCATTGACAGAGTGCTAGAACTGCGAGAGGGGCTCTGAGCAGGGAGACCAGGCTGGAACTCTGGTAACATTATTAGCAACTATAACAAAGACACACATTCTTATTTAGGGTGAGACTTCTTAGAGCAAGCCATAGATTTTCATTCCAAACAATTCCTGTGGATGTGGCTTCTGCTGCCTGAATTCTGAACTCTTCTTTTAGTCTGAGAACACAACTGTACTTTCCTTCACTTGTAGTATGGTGTAACAGAGGGATCGGTTTCCTGTTCAATTGGTTAGAGGAAGTTCAAAAGCAAGTGTTTTTTAGATAAAAGGTACAATAGTGAGGTGTCCGTTCAGTTTTACAATGTTTCCTGGTCTAATGCTGCATTAATTATTGTGTAAGAATATTCTGCACCCAGTTAGCTCACCAATTACCTGACCACTTTACCAATTATCTCAGTCAGCGTTGATTTGGTTGAGCGTGATGAGAGTTGTAGTATACCTTGGCAGCTGCCTGAAGGCTGTCTAGTATATAAGACGGAAAAGGGCAGAAAAATTGTGTGTTTCGCTGTAACTGATGCAAATAGCATAATTAAAATCATGTATGTTTAACATGTTCCTTATACCTGTGGAGGTACCAGGTTACCACATAAGGCATGGGTACAGGAAGCATCCCCCAAGATAATCAGATGGTGTAGGGAGGGGGGGGAAAGGTGGGAGATGGGTAAGGTCACACCCATTCATGATCGTATACGTTTAAAAATCATTAAGAAATATATGAAAAACTAAACATAGAAGGACTTTGATATCTTCTCCACATAAATAAAACAATAACTTTTTCAAAAAAGGTGCCAAAATATCAGCAAAAACACTAAAATATACAACATATACATTTACATTTATTGAATAATTGATTATATAAAAGCCCTGTGTAATGGTGAGGTCAGGTAGTTCAAATAGGTCTATATTCAACTCAGCTAATAGCCTCCCCAGTAGTAATGTTTCATTTTAACTTTATAAAATCTAAGAACATTAGTCCTGTTCTAACAGACAGAACCCTAGGCCGTCACATATCAAACTAATCCCACCCACAAGCGCAGTCCAGATACCAAAATACCAACAGGCTCCTTTTAAATTAGAGATACAACAACCCCAATTGATTGTTTCGGCCTTTATTTTTACCTCATCAGTGAGGTGTATCTGATACCTCTGGGCTCAGTGACAAAGAAGTCTAAGTCTGGATTAAGCTTTTATTTTATAGAGACCCTATTCATGTACAAATTACCCAAAAACAAGAGTTTATTACAACACTGAGGACAATTCAAATAGCATTCACTGTGACTAGTCTTTGTGACATCTTTGCTCAAGAAGGGTGTGATTTCATGTGTTTTAGATTTAAAAAAAGTATAAAGCTTCAGTAGTCAAATTGAATCTTTGGCACATACACACCAAAAAATGCCCTTATGTTCTATCTAAGATGCCATCACTTAGCAGAAAGGTTAATCGCTCAATGAATAATTAATTAGCCAGTGCACCAATGCCCTTCCTCCGACACAAAAGATTACTTTGCAGATAGTGCAGTTCACGTTAGAGCTAGCGTTTGTGACAGAACAAGTTTTGTCTGCCTATTCAAAAAACAGCAGATTTGAATTCCCAAAACCAAGAATGTAGCCGAAAGAAAAAAATAAAATGATATACGGTACATTTTTAAAAGAAAAAATTCTATCGCCAAAATACATGTCCCTGCTCGTTATTCTTTCACCTGTAGGATGCTGCCTACTCTTCTGTACTGTTAAAGCCTTGCAAAGTACATAAGTCATACTATGAGCCAGGTAAATACTAACAGGTATACAGTACAACTTAGCCTTTATTAAAGGGACACTATAGGTACTCAGTCCACTTCAGCTCATTGAAGTCCCTGCCCCCCTTAGTGGTGTTTATATTGCAGGATTAAGACAACCACTAGAGGCGATTTTACCAGACCCCACCATACTGACGCTGGACGTTCTCACGCTCTGCATTAAGGACATCCACCATCAGTGAAAACCCCTATGGGGAGGGCCTAATGTTCTACTTAGGTCCCCCTGTCGGAGGAGGCTGGGCACCGAACCAACACAGAAGGACAGAAGGCGCTGGAATCGGATGAGTAAAGTTTTTTTTTAAAACCATTTAGCTGCTGGAGGGGGGTAATCCTGTGGGAGGGGGCAACCAGAGGGCACTATATTGTTAAGAATACAATTTTGCATTCCTTACACTGTAGAATTTCTTTAAGTCAAATGGAACATGGATCACCCCAAATTATGACTATTAATCTGGGATAATATTTAACATTTCATCTCATGTTCTTTTCTTAAAGGAACACTATAGTGGCAGGAATAGAAACAAGTATTGCTGATATTATAATGCTGAAATAAATAATTAGGTTCCCAGTTCCCCTCTCTGTTGAAATTAAAGGTAATTATTCTCCCATGCTGTGCTGGCCCCGCTTCCATGGCTGAGATCATCATTGGGAGGCTATTGAGCATTTGCGGCAAAATGCTGAACGGCGTCAAACAGCATCTCCTCCCTACTCAGAGTCTGAGTAACTGTCACTAGGGGTATTCCTAGGTAGCAATATAATCAATGTAACGTGTAAAGTGTTTACAGTGCTAATACTGCACATTAAGCTATAGTGGATCTGGTGGCTATAGTGTCCCTTTAACCCCTTAAGGACACAACTTCTGAAATAAAAGGGAATCATGACGGAATATTTCCGTCATGTGTGTTTAAGGGGTTAAAAGAGAGACACTACGTGAGAATTCAAAGTAAATTTCTAATTCAAGGAAGAAATAGCCGAACTGCAAAGGTTCTCAAAGTCAGTTATTCTACCAGTTTGGTAACTTTGGCCTTGCATTTTAAATTCAAATTTAATTCACTTTGAATTCTCAGTTTAGCGAATAACCCTTTATGTCTGAGAATAAATTGCAATATGTTAGTCAATATAAATTCCATTGTGTTTACTGTATGAGAGCCACACTAAAGCATCCTGGCTGATTGGGTCAGAGAGACACACCCACTGCTAGTGATGTCACCAGCAGTGCTACTCGCTAACGTATAAAGTCTCATGATGTAAAGTGAATTTAAACAAGATTATTCACTAATTGGGGATTGACAGTGAATTTGAAATTCTAGCTGAATTGAAAATATAGCGGAATTCTTCCAATCCAGCTGTTTTAGCCTAACATGTCAAAATATTCAAATTGGAAAAAAGTTTCCCTTCCAACCTACAGTGTTTCAGTTCTGTAGAGATTAACTACTTAGGGTCCCTTCTCAGTGGTGTATCCTGGTTTTGTGCTGCCCTAGGCAACCCTTCCCCCCCACCCCACCTTCTAAATACACACACACACACACAGTCAGACACAAACACACACACACAGTCAGACACACACACACAGTCAGACACACACACACACAGTCAGACACACATACACACAGTCAGACACAAACACACACACATAGTCAGACACAAACACACACACAGTCAGACACAAACACACACACATAGTCAGACACACACACACAATCACTCACATTAACACTTTTTTTTATTTTTTATTAATTAACCCCACCCCCCCAGCCTCCTTACCTTTGGGAATGCTGGGGCGGGGGGGTTCTCTATCTCCCTGGGGGTCCAGTGGCTGCCGGTCGGGCTGCTGGGCAGGCGGCTGGCGAGGGAGCACTCTGCTCAGCTCCCTCGCGCACAGCAGAGTGAGGCTGGGAGCCGGAATGTGACGTCATATCCCGGCTCCCAGCCTCACTCTGCGGCGCGCGAGGGAGCTGAGCAGACCACTCAGGGGAAGTGCTCCCTCGCCAGCTGCCCGCCCAGCGCTCGGCATGTCAGTTAGCCGCGAGGCTAACTAGGCATTTGCCTTGGGCATTTGAGGGTGGCGTTTTTTGCCGCCCCATGAAAAATGCCGCCCAAGGCAAATGCCTTGTTTGCCTCGTGGCTAATACATCCCTGTCCCTTCTATTGATTCCCTCTCCAAAAGTGTGAATTGTCATGAATTCAAAGGGATTTTATTTATTTTTGGCTAATAATTCAGTGCTTTTAAAAGGAAAGCAATCTTTTAAAACGCTAGATAATACAATCTTACATAAAATTATTTACTTGCACTTTCCTCTAATTTAGTGTATCATGCCATGGTTACTGTTGCTTAAGAAACGCACCAATGGTATCTTTTATATTCCATGCAAAATTTCGAATTTAGCTAATATTAAAAAAATCTTAACCATTCAGCAACTATCCTTTGGACTAGTGACCACTAGATGGCAGCATATGAACAGTATACATATAATAACATTATTATTCGTAATATTCCAACATGTTCCTCGGCTCTGTGCTATGGATAATTACAAACTATTTTAGAAAAAAGGTTGCAAGACGTGAAGCATACTCAGCTCATATAAACTGACCTTCCTAAAATCTCTAAATATTGTCTGCTTATACATGTTTCAACTACACCCTCTTTTACTTTGTTGGTAGTTACATCTGTTTTTTGCTGTTGATCCAAAAGAAGGCAAAAAAAAAAAAAACCAGTTTGAAGCACTTTAATTTTGCAACAAACTAGGGGGGAAAAAAATCCTTCTTGGTAGCTTTTATATTGTTTTACCTGTAATAATAGAGGACGATCTCTCAACCTGAAATAACTATTAGACCAAAGGTAGGCAACTGTCGGCACTCCAGGCATTGTAGACTACATCTCCCATGATGCTTTGACAGCATTATGTCTATAAAAGCGTTAAGAGAGATGGATGGAGTACCAAAGATTACCTATCCCTGTTTTAGACGTCGTCAAAACTCACTTTTAAAAAAAATATATCTTATTAAAGTCATAAAGTCACCCAGAACACTTCGCCTCAATGATTCTGTCTGGAGTCTGGTCCTGCCATTTTTACCTTGCAATGCAGAGCTTCCTCCTCCAGAAACATTTGGCTGTGCATGCCCATTTCCAATCAACTGCTTCTCTAAAAACATTGGATTGGAACAGATCCAATCCAAGCATGCTGACGTCTTTGAAGACGAATCGGGTGACTGCAGCACAGGAATACTCATGCTTGAAATAGGGTCAAGTAATCATTCCTTAATTTTTTTATTACAAAAGGGAAGCTATTTTTATTTTTACCCTTTAATCAATCAGATAAAGTGTTTGCCTATCAATGTCCTGGGTTTGGCAGAACAGTCATAGTTTCAGGGTTCTGTCCTGACATCCTGAGTTTGTTCCCTGGTGTCTTTCATCTGGGGACATAAGAGGATTGTCCGCAACAAGAGTGCATCATTCAATCATCACCTTAAAGGAATACTCCACAGACATAATGCGAATCAGTTTGCTGAAGTGCTTTATGTGTCTGGAGTCCATCACATTTGTGACAGTTTATAAAGGTGCCAAATTCAATAGAATAGAAATACTTGGGGACATAAACACCTCAACTGGAAAACCAGGTCCGGTGCTAGCAAGCATCTGCCTTCGTAATTTCTCAGTGAATGTATTCCAGCTCATTTAGAAGCATTGGAAAACAGTGATTGCGTGCAAGTTTGTGGCTTCTGCACAGAGGTTTCTTAATGAGAAGCCCTTGCTTGGAGTATTCCACAAATAAATGGAGGGTTTACAAAGGCTGCAGACAAGAAATCTATTTAAATATACCTCCAATGAAAAGAAAATTGGGGGGGCAATTGAGTGTTCCATGTACAGATCTCTTCCTATGTACAGATCCGGGTGCTGCAACAGTGCATTTGGGTATCAGTAGTGCTGCAATCCTATGCCTCAGGTTGTGAAACTTTCCTTAAAGGACCTCTGAAGTGGCCAGGATGCTCTGGTCCTGTAGGTTTAACCCTATAATAGAAAGAAAACCTACAGCTTTGTTTTTTAAACCTGCAATATTTACATTGCAGTGTTAACTCCACCACTAGTGGCTGCCATGCTGATAGCCACCAGAGCCGCTTCCTTCTGCAGACAATGTGTAAAATTTGTCACATGAGTGCACCCACCATGGGAAAGCATTGACTGAAGTCTGCTGTGCTTTCAGTTTGGCCATTCTGGCCTTCAATTTTAAATTCACTTTTAATTATCACTTAAGTAAATAACAATGTGAGTAGCAGTCCTAAAGAAAATTAAATCTGTGTATGATTATTAGGTTATAATCTAAATTCTTTATGAATCTAAATGAATCAATAAATTATGAAACTGCAATTCCAGAGTATATGTTACGTCTCATAAAATCTTTATGTATTCGTTGACATTCTGCCTCTTCTTTTTCAAGGAAAAATACATGGACATTAGAAACTAAACTGCCTTGTGTTGGACCCTTACTGATTCCAAGTTTACTACTGGGACTTTATAGAAGTTTTCCTTAATGCTGACAGACTTTTTGAAGTGACTGCACCATGCTGAACAGTTGATATTGTTCTGATGGACCCGGACTGATCTCAGGTTACTCTCGTCGGAAAACTGTAACCACGAACCCAGAGATCCAACCAACGCTTTATACAATGATGTTACGTCCTGTGGGTAACCCTTTTACCTAAAGAAGACTATCAACAAGTGAATTCTGAAGTAACCTTTGTGGCCTGCATTTTTTTCCTATCTACTATCCGTTAGCTCTGACATTAAACTGACCAAGGTTGATCTTTCATTGTGACAAAGCAGGATATGGACAGACTCCATCGAATTAGTGGATGGGAGGGATTCTAATATATTGTAGACTAAGCACAAAGCATAGTGGAGGACTGCAGGATCAACACCGAAGAAATGCACTGGCAATCTATCTTGCAACCCTTTAATTATAATAGTATATTATATACATACACACACACACACACACACACACATACTACTCCTTCCTCCCTCCTCCATTAGGTAAGAGTTTTATCTCGGTCTAAATGCACTCTTTCCTATTTCTGAATGTAATATAGCATCTTACAAGTTAAGCCGTACCCAGCTATTAAAAAAGAGTTGGCATTTTGTCTCTTTAGCTAATGGCCAGAGACTACTTACAGCACACATGCCTCCCTTCTAACCGCACATCCTGAAGAAATTTCTCTATAAAGTATGTACTTACATAAATATATATATTTGAGTTGGATTGTGTAAATTTAAGGTATCGAATTATGCTTTGCCTACTTTTTTTTTTTAAAGTATGTGATAGTAAAGAAATTCAAATCTAATATTTTTTTTATTAGTGTGCAAGTCTCATATTTTAGGGTTCTTACTGTGTAATCTAAACATATACATTTATTTCTATAGGAGAAACAATGCTTAAAAAAAAAAAAAAAAGATGTACAATTGTGTTACGGTTAATTAAAAAGTGAAAAAATGGCTCTTAAGTATTTATCTTCAGTAAACAAAAATAAATATTTATTCAACATACAGATCATATACCAGATATATGAGATGTATTATAAGGAAACAAAGTGATAACAGGAGTTCGGAGAGAGGAACTGACAGTTTACTTGAAATGAAAGAATTTTGTTACTGGAAAAAAATCTTTTTAAATCATCATTTTACTGTTTCCACGTGTTCACAAAATTATTCAAACGTATACATCTGTCGGCACTGTTGTGTAGGACAAAGGTCTAAAGTGTAATGAAAGTGGGAGAGCAGTGAAAGAGGCACAGTTGTGTATTAGATGGGTAGATGAAACATAGACGTAACTGAAACAAAGCGTGTTTGCTAGACAGAAGTAACACATGCGATAGCTCTGCTCAAAGGAATTATTTGGATTTAAGTTACATCCTTGTAATTCATTTAACTTTTTTAGAACTGATCATTTAGCCTAAAAATGTAAATAATAGGATGACACACAGATATAGCCCCCCCAGTCACCCTAAACTATACTTTGAACACTTTTCCTCCTGGTTACCCCACTTTCTTTCCTCTAGCACTCCCTCTCTCATACTTGGGGACTTCAATATCCCTATCAACAAGCTCAACTGCCCTGATGCCTCTTGTTTGCTCTCTGTAACCTCCTCCTTTGGACTCACACAGATTTCTTCCTCAGCAACTCACACTGCAGGAAACACTCTTGACCTCATCTTCACCAATCTCTGTACCACCTCTGATCTCGCCACTGTTCCATTTCCTTTGTCTGACCACCATCTGCTAACATTTAACATCTGCATACCCCATACCAAAATCTCACCACCATCCACTCTCCAACCTTGCAGAAACCTCAACTCCCTCGATCTCCAGCACTTCTCCACTAAACTCCAAACACTCCTTTTACCCATCTCAAATCACAACTGCCCTAACTCTGCAACCTCACTCTACAACTCCATTCTCTCCTCTCAACTTGACATCATGGCACCTCCTACAGTTAAACGCAGCAAGCGCCCCCAACTACAACCCTGGCACACCAAGCTGACCCGTTACCTCCAAAAATGTTCCAGAACTGCTGAACGCTGCTGGAGAAAGTCTCACTTTGCATCTGACTTTGTCCACTATAAATTTATGCTGCGCTCCTACAGCATGGCTCTTTCCTCTGCAAAAGTAAGCTACTTCAACACCCTCATAAGCACACTGTCCCACCAACCCAAACACCTGTTTCACACTTTTGATGCACTTCTTCGCCCTGTGACTCCCCCTCCTTCCACCACCTTGTCCGCCACAAACTTTGCATCTCATTTCACTCAGAAGATCTCTACAATCAGGAAAGAGATCTCTAATCTTTCTTCAACCAGTATCAGTACATCACCCATCCCCACTCCCCCTGCCATCCTAAGCTCATCTGCACCTGCTACAGCACAAGAGGTTTCTGCTCTGCTCCTGTTTCTGCACCTGCTCCCTCGATCCTATTCTCTTGCATCTCATCCGCACATTGTCTCCCTCTCTTGCTCTTCCTCTCGCTAACATTTTCAATCTCTCACTTTCCTCTGGCACATTTCCCTCTGCCTTCAAACATGCAACCGTAACCCCAATTCTGAAAAAGCCCAACCTTGATCCCAACTCCCCATCCAACTACCGCCCTATCTCGCTACTGCCATTTGCCTCCCAAGATCCTCGAGAGAGTTGTCTACGCCAGATTGACAGACTTTCTTGAATCCAACTCTCTGCTTGACCCCCTTCAGTCTGGATTCCGCGCTGGTCACTCTGTCGAAACTGCTGTGACCAAAGTATCCAACGATTTAATTGCTGCTAAATCTCGCGGCCAATACTCTATCCTAATCCTCCTTGATCTTTCTGCCGCCTTTGACACTGTTGATCATCAACAGCTTCTTCACATTCTCCGTAACTTTGGTCTACGGGATACTGCTCTCTCCTGGTGCTCCTCCTACCTCTCCTAGCGCTCTTTCAGAGTTTCTTTCTCTGGCTCTGCCTCTTCTCCCCAACCCCTCCCTATCGGTGTCCCCCTACTGTTCTCTATCTATACTGCCTCCCTTGGTAAACTCATCAGCTCCTTTGGCGTCCAATACCATTTATATGCAGATGACACGCAAATCTACCTGTCCTCCCCGATCTCTCTCCGCCCACCTTTACTCGTGTTTCTGACTGCCTCTCTGCTATTTCCAACTGGTTGGCTGCTCACTTCCTTAAACTCAACCTGTCCAAAACAGAACTTCTAGTTTTCCTCCCTCAAGTGCTGCTACTCCTGTGTCTGTCTCCATCCAAGTCAACGGCGCTTCTATCACCTCTACCTCCCAGGCTCGCTGCCTAGGGGTTCTTTTTGATTCTGATCTCTCTTTTACTCCCCATGTTCAATTGATAGCCAAATCCTGTCGCTTCCAACTCAAGAACATAGCGCGCATCCGCCTATATCTAACGCCGGACGCGGCTAAGGTACTGCGCTCAGCCCAAGACCTACGCCTATCCTCTGCCCGGATCCCCACCTCTGATGCTCGCCTTCAAGACTCCCCCAGGGCTGCAAGTATTCTGTGGAACTCCCTTCCCTCCTCAATCAGACTTTCACCCAGCCTCCACTCCTTCAAAAAATCTTTGAAAACTCACTTCTTCATTAAAGTGTATCAATTAAACTGTCAGCAGGTTTCTCATCCCCCACCCCATGACTCCATTCCTGCACCAGTCAAAAATGACCTACCAAGCACTCAATAAACCCTTCTGTAACAAACTATTTAATTCCCCTACTTTAACCCTTTGTGTCACTATACCCCACTCCCTCTAGCATGGAAGCTCATCGAGGGTCCTCAACTCCCTCTGTTCCTGTAAGTCAGTGGTCTAATCTCAATTATGTGTCTGTTAGTCCACCCATTGTACAGCGCTACGGAATTTGTTGGCGCTATATAAATAATAAAATAATAATAATATAAAATTGCACTTTTTTCTCTGTTTTACTCTGCAATGTGTCTCACTGTTCTGATGGCGGATGCTTTAATGTACTAAAACAAGCAACTTGTGTCTGATACAATGAATAATCCAGCTGGCTCCTAACACATTTATAAATACTATCCTCATGTAAGCACAGTTATATATACCCCATGCAAAGCAATGTGCATTCTATCATACCATGACTATGCTTAATGCATGCACTCTCTTAGATTCCCAAATGCTGGGAAGATCATGTGCATTAGCACCCGATAGCACTAATAGGGTTTAGAACTGAAATTGGGATTGTTGGCCTGTATATTGCTGACTTCACATCTCTTGGGTAGCCTATAAGCTACTGAGTGCACCACATCGCTAGGTAAGTAAATATCTAAACGTCAATCCAAGGAGAGAAGACTGCAAAATACATCCCTAGGTAAGTAGAATAGATTTTCAATTTTTACTCTGTGAAATGTTGACAAAAATATTAATGATCATTTTAAAATAAGACGGTGGCTTGTTACTTTTTTTTTTTTTAGAAGAAGAAGAGGGAAAAATCATTAACATTAAACATTAAATTAAAAAGGTTTTAATTTTGTATTTACCTGGAATTTTATAGGGAGATGAATATACTACAAAAAAAAATTCAGAGTCTCCTCTGTTCTCTTTTAACTACCCCTTGCTTTACATGGCTTTTCTTCTACTTTCTACCTTATTTTCTTTTCATCCGTCATGGATAAATTCATCGACAATCCACCTCTAACAAGTAAACCTCCTCTGGAAAAAAAACACCACCAGAGGGAGTCTTTTCCACCGGCGAATATGGTTGACTCTGATGTGGATGAGGGTCCCTAACAACAATCTTCTGTCTTACCTTACATATCTCAGGCCTCTGAGATTGCTCATGAAATCTCCAATCTTCTCAGCTCCATCTTCGAATCTCAATGAAAGAATCTATTGACAGTGCTTTACAACTTATCCAGGTTTACTCATCGCATTACAAATGTATATGATCTTAACTCTATGGCTGTCCCATTCTATGCAAAGCGATTTCTGTTATTGTCTCGAAGTGAAGTATTGAAAGGCAACTTTAAGACAGACCTTGACCCTTCTCGTGACAGATCCCTGATAGTACAGACCACTGGCCCACTTTGCCACCTTCAGGACCCTGTGAGAATTTTGCATAGGAGGGAAGGATGAAAATGTTGCGTGTTGCCATGCATGACTCTTTCTCCAGACTAGACATGTTCCTGATGTCACCGACAATTCTGCATTAGCTTGCCACTTCCACAATTGACTTATTTAACATTTCAGACTTCACCTCAATAACCCTAGAAATAGCAAACTCCCCCTCTCACCAGGCATTGGCATTTCATAGGGCACTTGTCTACTCTTCCATCCTTTTAAACTCACAATCTGGACAAATTGTATTGATGATAATTTACAACATGCTTCTGACCCCAAACTGCCCTGAGAGTTGTCCAAGGTGGTCATAATTTCTTATACAGCCTATGCTTGGCAAAAATGGCTTTGAGATTCCATACTCTAGAGCTAGACCTCAAACACTCCTACACATACTTCTCAGACCTTGTGTCATGCTCCTGAGCAGGTCAGAGAGGAGACGATTGCAAGGGTTATTGGTTAAAACTTTGTCGTATTAGACATAACAATTTTACTGAAAATAAAGAATTAAGGGCAGTCTGCCACAATTAGGATACTTTGTGAGAAAAACAGGGTTTAGGCGATATGCCACAAACAAGATCTTTAGAAAGTAAATGAATAAAGTATTTTGTATACAAGCAGGCTTGAAGTTATACCAAGTAGTTAAGGATTCCCAGGATACTTTGCAATGTAGCTAGTTATAGGTAAATACCTTTTAGGATAAAGCAATACAGGATCATGCAGAGTTGTAGAGGATGAAACAGGTAGGTATATTCCAAAATAATATAATGCAAGTTGCTTATGAGATCATGCAGTGATGCAGCAATTGAAGCAGTTAAGATTCTTCAATGAAGGCAATATGCCACAAATCAGGATTCTTGGAAGCTGATAAGGAAAGTCTTTCAGGCAAGTTCAGGATGAAGTAATGCAGGTTAGTGCCTTTCAGGAAAATGCATATGAGTACAGGATGAGGCACTGCAGGTAAGTTCTCTACAGAATGAAATCATGTAGATAAAATACAGGATATTACCAGGAACAGAGATTCTTTATCAGAGCAGACTTCATCTTTATCAGAGCATAGACTTCAATATCAAGGCACTGTTGTGTGCTGGGAGTAGACTTATCAAGCCTCCTCATTAGTTAATCCAGGTAAGGATATTAAGGTGAGTGAATAGATTAGTGGCTATGGAGGCCACTAGAGGAGGAAATCAAGTTCACTTAAAGGGCCAGTAATAAACAAAAAAATCTTACATGTCAGTTTTGAAACCTGACACCCTGCTCTGCTCCCAAAACACGACACACTTACTTAGAAGCAAAACACATGCTTACAACATTTAGTGCTAAACATGCACAATCCAAACTTGATTTTCAGACACAAACTTCTTTAGGTGCAGTATTAGGTCCGGGAAACTATATAGTCAACACCAGTGAAAGAAATAAAAGGTAGGAATGAAAGAGTATAAAATTATAAATTACCCTAGTTTCTTCCTTTAAAATGGTACACAAAAGACTCCTCTTAGTCTTCTCAAATCATATAAATATACACCAGTACCTATAAGTATAAAATATTAAACATAGTGTAGTTCAGTAAAAACTCAAAATAAAAGGGATGGGTTAAAACTGAACTCTCAAACGGACAATTGATAGTAGACATTTAAAAAAATCAATCAATGTATATTCCTCTCTTCTTGAATCTCAGTAGGTGTTAAATCATATAAAGAAAGAAAGAAAATAGACACATAGTAGATCTTCACTTTAAAAAAAAAAAAAGACACTCCATATTTTTTGCACTTACAACATTAAAAATATATAAAGCATATTGTAGCAGAGCTCCCTGTACCCTGGGTACCTCCGCCAAGGATCACTTCTTAGCTGGAACCGGGGAAAAACTCAGCGCTTCGGCCCCAGTTGAGTTGGTCTTCCTGGAGCCAACAGAAGAAGGTCACTGGCAGAGCAGAGAAACCGACAAGGGTCATACCTACGAATCAGTTTAGAAATGTAACAAGGGCTAGAGTTGTTTAGAGCTTTATAGGTAAGGGTCAGTATTTGGAATTGACACCTATAGGACAGGTGTTATGTGGCAGGAGTGAGTTTGATTGGTCAGTAGTCTGGTTCCTGTATTTTGTACTGTCTGAAGGCAATGGAGTTCTTTTTCTGGGAGGCCCAAGTAAAGTACATTGCAGTTATCTAGCTGAGAGGATACAAATACATGGATTAATGTTGGCATATCATCCGATGTATCCTGGCTATGTTTTTCAGATAGGAAATCTGCTGTTTGAATGATAGTCCAGAGCAGTGGCGTACACATGACCCATGGGGCCCGGTGCGAAAATTGATCCGTGGGCCCCCCCGCACGCGCAAGCCGGGCCGCAACACTTGGCGGTGGGCACCTGGTCGCAGGGGTTACAGGGCTGCGACCCCTGCGACCGCGGTATGTACGCCAGTGCATGCAGATGCACACACACTTAAAGGGCCACTACAGACACCCAGATCACTTTAGCTCAATGAAGTTGTCTGGGTGTCAGGTCCCTCTAGTTTTAACCCTGCAGCTGAAAACATAGCAGTTTCAGAGAAACTGCTATGTTTCACTGAGGGTTAATCCAGCCTCTAGTGGCTGTCTCACTGACAGCCGCTAGAGGAGCACACTGAACGTCCATAGGAAAGCATTGAGTAATGCTTTCCTATGGGCGGTTTGAATGCGTGCGCGGTTGCATTTGGAGCTGAGAGGCTGAGGGATCCCCAGCGCCAAGGGACTCCGGCGCTGGAGAAAGGTAAGTGCTGAAGACACACACACACTTACAGACACATACACACTAGCTAACAGAGAGACACATTTACTGACAGAGACACACTCAGTGACAGACATACACACTCACAAAACATACACTCTCATTGACAAACACGCACTCACTAACAGACATCAAACAGACTCACTAACACACACACTCAGTAAGACACACACAGTAACACACTCACTGACACTCACTAGCAGACACACACACTAACACTCACACACTCTAATACTCACACTAACAATCACTAGCAGACACACACACTAACACTCACTCTAACGCACACTCACTCACACACTAACACACTAACACTCACTCTAACACACACTCACTCTAACACACTCACACACTAACACTCACACACTAACACTCACTCTAACACACACTCACTAACACTCACTCACTAACACTCACTCTAAGACGTGTGTTTTTTTTTTAAATGTAATCCCCCCAGCCTCCTTACCTTTTGGAGTGCTGGGAGGATTCCCTGGGGTCCAGTGGTGCTGCTGCTGGGCTCCTGGGCGGATGGCCGGTCGGGCAGGCGGGCGCGCGAGGGAGCACTCTGCACTCAGTGCTTCCTCTTCAGCTCCCTCGCGCACCGCGTAGGGATGCCGGAGCCGGAAGATGACGTCATCTTCCGGCTCCGGTATCAGTGCGGTGCGCGAGGGAGCTGAAGAGGAAGCACTGAGTGCAGAGTGCTCCCTCGCGCGCCCGCCTGCCCGACCGGCCATCCGCCTGCCTGGGGTCAGCAGGGCCAGCCTCGGGGGGCCCTGGGGTGGTCGGCTCCTGGGCCCCCCAGGGGAAGAGGCTGGCCCTGTGGCTACATACCGGGTCGCAGGGGCGGCCGGGCCCCCTGGTGGGCCGGGCCCGGTCGCAGCCGCGACCCCTGCGACCCTGGTATGTACGCCACTGGTCCAGAGTCAATCAGCACTCCAAGGTTTCGTACCTTTGATGAACTAACGATTTCACAGCCTCCAAGCTCCAGGCCAGTTAGTTGATAGGATACAGGAAGCCAGTGTAGGGATTGACCGATGGGTGAGATATGAGAGGAGCGACAGGCTAGAAAGATCAGCCTGATGGCAGCACTCTTTGCAGGTTTTAGCGGGGTAGTACGGCTTCTGAAGATCAAAGATAACACTAAGACAGCAATCTTGCAATGACGTGCTGATGCAGGTGCCATCAACTTGCAGTGAAAGCAAAAGATAAGGAGCAGAATTATGAGGAGGAAAAATAAGAAGCTCAGTTTTAGAGAGATTGAGTTTCAGAAAGCAAGAGGATATCCAGTCAGAGATTGAAGAAAGGCAAGCAGTGACACGTAAGACAGCGATGAGGGGAGGAGAGATAGATCTGAATGTCATCAGTATCCAGGTGGTAGTAGAAGCCATAGGAATTAATTTGTTTGTCAAGAGGAGGTAGTATACAGAGAGAAAAAAAACAGAGCCTTGGGAACAAACCGAGACAGGACGAGTGGAGGAGGTATCACGGGACACAGACACTGAACGAACGTTGGGAGAGAGAGGAGGAGAACCACGAGAGGACAGTGTTGCAGTGACCGAGGGAATAAAGAGTTTGGAGGAGGACATGATCAACAGTGTCAAAGGAAGCAGAAAGGTCAAGAAGAATTATTATGGAGAATTGGCCTTTGGATTTAGCTGCGATTCGATCATCTGTAACTTTAATCAGAACAGTCTCAGTAGAGTGGAGGGAGCAGAAGCCATATTAAAGAGGTTTGAGGAGAGAGAGTTGGAATTGAGGAAATAAGCCAGACAAGTAAAGATAGCCTACATCATGCTACTGCCATGCCACTTTATTCCACCTCTAGACTTAACTCACTAATATGTAAAGTTCTGGACTGAACACCTGGCTGCATCACCTTTCAGGCCTGACTCCCATAGACATACTAAATGCCCATTCTTTTCAAGCTAAACTACTCTCAATGGTCTTGTACAAAGAAATTATTTTAAATACCACACACTATTCTTACTACTCTCTCTATTGCCATTGTGTCATGGGCAAGAGGAACATATGCTTTAAATGCCCACATCCTTTGCTCCAGATACCACAGACCAAACATGCCGCATCAACAGTTGCTTAGCAGACCTCATAGAATGGATGAATGCTAGTTGGCTTAAAGTGAAACTGAACAAAACAGAGTTATACTTGGTGAGGGGAACCCGGGCAACAAAAATATCCCATGATCACTTAACTTGCCTGAAACTTGGAGGCTCTGAAATCGTTACTTCATCAAAGGTACGAAACCTCTGAGTGCTGATTGACTCTGGACTATCATTTAAACAGCAGATTTCCTCTGTAATAAAATCTGCGTACTTTCATCTGAAAAACATAGCCAGGATACAACACTTAATTCCACCGGATGATATGCTAATATTAGTCCATGTATTTGTATCCTCTCGGCCAATTACTGCAATGTACTTTACTTGGGCCTCCCAGAAAAAGAACTCCATCGCCTTCAGACGGTACAAAATGCAGCAGCCAGACTACTGACCAATCAAACTTGCTCCTGCCACTTAATACCTGTTCTCCACTTCCTGCATTGACTTCCAATTAAATGGCAAACATATTTTAAAATTGAGAAAGACAAAACAAAACAGAGCATGCAGGTTCACCACAAAGGAACCTACAATGCTTCCTGGAGATTTAGATAGTAGTATTGCTAAATATAAATATAAAGTAATTAACCTGTAGCTAAGTAAATGTCCCCTGAGATTCTGCAGTACTGTATTAAAAGAAAAAATAAATACACTACAATAAACACCTTGTACGGTAAACCTATCTCAAACTGAGTATTGTACAAAGTCTCACAAGGCTGGTATCACAATAAAAAGGAGCTTTATTAAATATGGCTCTACATACATACACACGTCAGAACAATTGATTGCTGCAAGGAAAGAGAGGCTACGTAGTCAACTAGTATACATAGCACCAAATGGACGTGAGAGTCGGGGTAATGTCAGTCTGTATGAGACATGAAGGGCTATTTAAATGAGTCAAATAAAGTGATAAAAGAAAAGGCAAGATTTAGCAATACTACTATCTATATCTCCAGGAAACATTGTATGTTCCCTTGTGGTGAACCTGCATGCTCTGTTTTGTTTTGTCTTTCTTGATTATCTACGGTTATGCCCTGAGAGACCCCTGGAGTGTCTCTTTGGTGCGCAGGAGCATTGGGAACACTCTGACAGATTTCACTTAGAGTTGTGTCTATAGTTGTTTCTCTTTGGTTTCCTATCACTACACTTTTTATATTTTAAAGTTGGCCTGCTAACCTTCAAAGCCTTAAACAATCAAGACACCCTACATTCCATCCCATTCACTGCGGTCAGCCAGCAAATCTCTCCCATTAGTGCCAAGAATAAAGACAGACTCAGGTTCCAGGACATTCAGCCAAGCTGCCCCTACCTCGTGGAAATCTTTATAAAGATTTCATAAATTGCTATGGTACCCTACTGCCCAAGAATGCATTAGTCTCCTGGATCCTTCCTGTGACTTCCACCGTCAACTCTAATTTCACCTTAAGTGCTGAACCAACCCACTTGTGTGGAAGGGGGTGGGGAGATTTATCCGGGTGGACTTGGGTACTTTGTTTTGGTTATGTTTTATTCTTTTATGTTACCTCATAACCTTTACTAACTTCCTATTACAAGTAACTTGCCATCTACACCTGTGTACCAACAATTGTATGGTTTGTTAGATGGTAGAAATTGTAGACTGTTATTGCATTCTTGAATCTGGTCTTCTTACTCTATCTTGTATTACTGCATATTTGAGGCACTCTCAATAATAAAAAAAAAATGTAAATTCACACACACAAAAAAAAAAGTGTATTCCAGTTTTAATTAAATCCGTAATAAAGAACAAAAACATTTCAACACATTTATTACATGTAACACTAAGAATGTTTAACTTGTCCCTCCGGTTGGTTTGCAGTATATTGGTAAATCCACTCACCTAATAAAAGTTTGGGTAGGTGAGCATGTTAAATACAAACAGAAAAATTTATAATTTGCACTTTATGGGTTAGCATTAAAAGGGATTTTGAAATCAATAGTTTGATATTTTATCAAGCATGTCAAACTCGCGGCCCACAATGCACATCTTTGCGGCCCAGCGAGCCGCGAGTACATGCTTAGTGTTAAAGCAGAGTAGGCCCCTGGTTTCTCCACATTGCAGGTGCCTACTCTGCTAAAATTTACCCAGTGAGGGAGGAGAGTCTTCCTGCTCCTCACTAATCCCGCGCGCGCACTGTCTGTAGGCAGTGGCGTACACATGACCCATGGGGCCCCGGTGCGAAAATTGATCCGTGGGCCCCGGCCCCCCCCCCCGCGCGGGCCGGGCCGCAACACATGGCGGTGGGCGCCTGGTCGCAGGGATTACAGGGCTGTGACCCCTGCGACCGCGGTATGTACGCCAGTGCATGCAGATGCACACACACTTAAAGGACCACTACAGACACCCAGATCACATCAGCTCAATTAAGTTGTCTGGCTGTCAGGTCCCTCTAGTTTTAACCCTGCAGCTGAAAACATAGCAGTTTCATAGAAACTGCTATGTTTCACTGAGGGTTAATCCAGCCTCTAGTGGCTGTCTCACTGACAGCCGCTAGAGGAGCACACTGAATGTCCATAGGAAAGCATTGAGTAATGCTTTCCTATGGGCGGTTTGAATGCGTGCGTGGTCGCATTTGGAGCTGAGAGGCTGAGGGATCCCCAGCGCCAAGGGAGTCCGGCGCTGGAGAAAGGTAAGTGCTGAAGACACACACACTCTCACAGACGCATATACACTAGCTAACAGACACACACATTTACTGACAGAGACACACTCAGCGACAGACATACATACACACTCACTTACAAAACATACACTCTCATTGACAAACACAAACTCACTAACAGACATCAAACAGACTCACTAACACACACACACTCAGTAAGACACACACACAGTAACACAATCACTGACACTCTCTAGCAGACACACACACTAACACTCACTCTAACACTCACACTCACACACACTCTAACACATTTTTTAAAAAAAATTTTTTATTTAATCCCCCCAGCCTCCTTACCTTTTGGAGAGCTGAGGGGATTCCCTGGGGTCCAGTGGTGCTGCTGGGCTGGCTGGCTGGCGCGCGAGGGAGCACTCTGCTCTGAGTGCTTCCTCTTCAGCTCCCTCGCGCGCCGCGTAGGGATGCCGGCGCCGGAAGATGACGTCATCTTCCGGCTCCGGTATCAGTGCGGTGCGCAAGGGAGCTGAAGAGGAAGCACTGAGTGCTCCCTCGCGCGCCCGCCTGCCGGGTGACAGCAGGGCAAGCCTTGGGGGGCCCTGGGGTGGTCGGCTCCTGGGCCCCCAAGGGGAAGAGGCTGGCCCAGTGGGTATACACCGGGTCGCAGGGGCGGCCGGGCCCCCTGGTGGGCCGGGCCCGGTTGCAGCCGCGACCCCTGCGACCCTGGTATGTACGCCACTGTCTGTAGGGATGCCTGAATATGACGTCATGACTGCACCCGGCATCACTAAACTCCGCACGAGGAAGCAGTTAGCTGCAGGAAGGAGATCTCCAGATAGAAGATCCCCACTGGACCCCAGGGATAAATACAATGATGTGTGTGTGTGCCTGTCTGTGTGTGTGTTAGTCAGTGTTGTGATGGCCGTGGCTGGACAGTGGAGGACCTGGAGGTACACAGAGGCACGCAACGCCGCGTCACATTCCAACGTGACATCAACGTGCTCCACCTTCACAAGGTTTCAAGTAGCGGTGGGATTCGCTTTGGCACAGGGTGAGGATTGCGCCATTTAGGGTATAGCAGAGGCCGGACTCGAGTCGCAAACTGGCAGCGGCAATGTGAGTGAAGTTTGTTTGTTGGCTAGAGGGGAGAGCTGGAATTAGTAGATGGGGGGTGGAAGGGAGGGAGGCTGGGATTTAGTAGAGGGGGATGCTGTGGTTTAGGAGAGGGGGGGATGCATTTTTTTTTTTTATGCTGTACTTTTCAAAATAAACCTACGTTCCTATGAAAATTGAAGTGATTTTTTTTTTTTGCGGCCAACAAACTTAAACCTTGTTTATTTGGACCGTGCTAGACTTTGACATACTTGTTTTATATTTATATGCATTTTTTTTATATACATGTACATATTTTGTAAATTATATATGGTATTATTTATTAGCAATGGTTACACTTCCTCTATTTGTGATCTCCAATAATGAACTTTATTATTATCCCTTTACGAAGTTTTAGAAATGGTGATTTTAATGCTTACACTATATTTATTAAGAGGTGCTGCTGTATAGGAACTGATCGATATACCAAGATAGCAATTTAATACATATGGTCCAACCCAATTTCTGCTCATGAAGGAGTGATGGTGCATTGTATTGGAAATGAAAACTCAAAATGATGCATCAACAGAAAGAAAGACCACATGCATCACTGAAGTGGTGTATCGGAAAACGAATGCAGAAGTGATGAACGCGGGAAGTCAGAACCGAGATGCTATTTAAATGGAGTAAATAAATACATTTTAAAAAGCCCCCTCCCCCTCCCCCCAAAGACAAATTGGAGAGGAAAACACATTTTGCTCTTCAGACAATATGACTCAATTATAAAACTTAGTGCAACGGTGATCAAGTGTTTCGAAATTTCTAAAAACTCTATCCAGTCTCAACACTATTGGAAGATATCATCAAACCAAGTGTTTCCTGCGACTAGCCACATAGTAGCTCATCACCTCGCCGCTTGTAACATGTTTCCCGTGTAGATAATAACAAAGGGAACGTATGTAAGTTAAATGGAGTTGGAAACAGTTTACCCAGATACTTGCGGAAGTGCTTTTAATCAAAACAAATTGTGCTAAGCCAGCAGTGAGTGAACCTGGAATTTCAGACCATTTTTTGTTTTTAATTGTGTATTGCTTTTATTTTATTCAACCTGTGTTTTGGATACTTATCCCTGCATGCTACTTACTGAAGGAATAAGAAGCACAGTCCCAATGTGCCACAAAGGGGACACCCATATGCCTTATTAACAGAGCCTGGATACGGCTCTGCTTCATGTGAGTGGTTCTCAGTAAAGGTAGTGTGCTATAATAAATGTAGAGAGAGTCCAAATAAACGGTCGTATATTGGTGTACGGGGGTCTCTTGAGAAATGGAATATAAAAGGAATGTAGCCATCGAGTATTGGTGTGGCATATAGTGTTACAATAATGTTCCAATGCTGCAATAATCAGGCCTCCTTGCTGAATAATATAGTACTCCATATTGATTTCGGAGTGTACAAAACCCAGAGTAGAATCTTATAAGAGAATATGAGAGGTACAATGGGTGGCAGATTTCAACATCAGGGTCCATTGAATCCATTTTATTAATAAATAATCGTTTGCACACTTTGCACTGTGAATCTTTTTGATTTTGCAGATCCATGAAAAAAATAAAAATATTCCCCCCTCCACTGATGCCCCTGTTCTGTGTTATAAATTAGATATCTACACCAAAGGTTAAAATGTAAAGTCCTACGCTTCTATCCAAGCCAGACCACTGCAAACTTGCAGAGTAAAGGGTAAAGTTCACAGGGTGAATTTCTACTCACTAGAGCTCCACTTTATTTTACCAATAGATAATGAAGAGTTGAAATTTCGGGTCCTAAACTACACTGAAATCAAGGAGTAAAGCATGTTTGTGTAATGGAATAAAGAGACAATCATACATTTAAAATGTATCTAAACATGAACTGAAAAAAGGCCTACAATTTTCTAATTAGAAAGGGTGATCAATTTTGATGTTGGAATAAGGGGGGCCAGGGGCCTAATCTATGTTTTTACAGCTGTAGTGTCAGGAATACATGATTGTATTCGTGACACTATAGTGTTCCTTTAAGTCACGGCTGCTTGTAACACCTTGCACCCAAAATAAACTTCCGCTGAGGGCGATATGTCAAGCCTGTAGTGATTGATGAATGTATTAAAGGAGAAGCAGATGGCAGACTTCCAGCTGTCCTCTGGAGTGGACATGGCTTTCTCCACCTAGGAAGTGGCTATAGCTTTGGTAGAATGAGCTTTAATTTTGGATAGAAAGGATTTTGGATGGTCTGGGAATGAAAACAAATTTGTCTTGGTATAAGATTGAATTCAGGTGCTGCAGGAAGCACTTGAATTTCTTTAACTCTTTTAGCTGAAATAATAGCAACTAAAAATGCAGTTTTGAGAGTGAAAGTTTTAATCAATGTTTTCTTATAAATTATTTGAAGATCAGAGTGAAGACATCCAGGGTAGTTTCTCAGAGTTAAACTCCATGTAACAGCAGGAAATGCCTCTAGTGATTGGTATAAAGTCACTAGAGGCAGTCTTAACCCTGCAATATAATATTTGGAGTTGCTCTGTGGCTGCAATGTTTCAGATTGTAGGGTTAAGGGGACAGGGACACTGCACCCAGGCCATTTCATTTCCCCAGAGGTTCAAAGGAACTTTCACATAACACATCCAAAACCAAGGATAAATTCCAAGTGGAAAATGAGAATGATCCACAGGAGCCTTGAATATTCTAGTTAAAGCATCAGAAGCGAAATACTGAAGGAGAGAAAAAAAAAAACTAGGAACAGATACTTAGACTTTAAGAGCAGAAGGACAAATCCCTCCTCTAAATCCTTTTGGAACAAATTCTAACACCACTGGAACAGAAGGATTGATACGCAAGTAGATTTTTAAGGTGGATTTTCTTGCAGCCTATAACAGAATGTCCATCCACTATGTTTTCTTTAATTCCTTTGTCCAAAAGTGTCAGCCTTGCAACTTCCATGCCCTTGACGTGAAAGCTTTCAGTGTTTCAATTTTTCAATGGCCTCCTCTGAGCAAACATTGCATACTTTTTGTTCCTGCAACCGCCAGCAAGTGTCATAGCTCATACTTTAAGTTTCGTTTTGCTAGACACTTTCAATTTAGTTTTTCTCCCTTATCCAGATTATCTGGAGATGTTGGGCTACACATCAGTAATATAATATTCTATTTTTAGTTCTATTACAGTTTTATTTTCATCTAGGAGGCTATTTGTCATCCCCTACCTTTGTACAGAACATACGCAAAAGCCTAAATTGACACTTGTTTATATAAAGTTATGTAGTAGGAATTACTGGTATCTGTGCGTTTCATACACATATAGACTTCTTTCAATTGATAAATTACTTGTTTTAGACACTTGAGTGCAATCAGCATACAAGTCCAAATAAACTCTCTGTGTGAGCTCGTGTGAAGACACAGCCTCATATGAGACAATTATAGTCTCTCTTAGAGGAAAAATATACTCATTTCACTGCTTCAGAGCTTCAACTTTGGTAATCACCATTTCCCCCTTGGCATTAAGATATGTATCTAAAGGGCTCCAACACAGCCTGTTCAAAGTGTAATTCAGGGAATTGTTGGATGAGGATTCCAGAGACCAAGAGTGTAACTAGGCAGCCCTCCTGGTGACTGTTGAAAAGACCAGCAATTCTAGCTGTCAACTTGAGAGCCTCATAAGTTAATACTTTTTAAGCCCAATTTGAGAAATGGGAATATTGACCTGAAGAATCTGCTCTAGTTATTTATCTTCTCATGCACAGAAAAGAATTGAATGCACTTGGAGATAAATGGCCTATATGCTATGGATTTTTTCTATTCCCTCTGCATTGCCTGGAGGAGTTCAAGTTTAAACAGAAAAGAACAGTATTCATTTTTAGTACACCTAAGGCTCACCTCACTGACACGGCCATCTTACCTTCTCTGGACACGGCCATCTTAACTGTTTAATACTTAAGTTCTCAGTCTATCAGCATCCAATGGCTAAACCTTCCTATCAAAGTGGTGACAGAGAGAAAGGAAACTAGGGATAAGCAGTGTGGGAAATCAGATCTTCAACTGAAGTGTTAAACCACTGCTACAATAGTTTAAGCCAGAAGTTAAGATGGTGCCCAGACATTCCCACCCAACTAAAATCAAAGTTGTGTATAATATCCAGAGTATTTACACAATTATCTCTCAGGTAACCATTTGATGACACAAATGCAATAAAGAAACAGACAAAAAAAAAATTTATTTTAAAAATAATCTTTCCCAAACAACTGGTACAGAAAAACAAAATGAAAATAAAAGAAAAGCTCTTTAGTCAAAAGAAGAAAAGTCATTAAATAAATAACTTTTTTTTTTTTAGTATAATCTACAATCGTTAAAAGAACACAGGCTTAAAATACAAAACAAAACCAGAGCGAGGGCATTTCACAAAGGCCCCTCGCTTGTAAGAATATTTACCTTTGCTGTCCTGATTAAATACTAAGATGATAAAAAATAGTTAGGTTTATTGACCACAAACCTTCAAGCTTTTAACACTGGTAAAAAGTGGGGCATGTAATATGTCACAACTCCCCTAACTCATAAAGAGTTCCTATAAAAGGCATGTATGACAGTAAGGGGAACTATTAACCCTTTTGAAGTCAGATGCAATAGGAAATGAAGAGGGGATTAACAGGATTGTGTGCATGAAGATGCCCCTTATCCTCAAACATAATCGAAAGATAACACTTAAAACAGACTCATCCTCACATGATTTCTTAAATACCCCTTTTCATTTCTGGACCCACAATTCTGCTGAAGAACTTGGCAAGTTAATAGTGGTGTGTGTTCTATTATACACACGCAAATTTGCACATACACATTCACACACTCCATAGATGTATATATTTTTCTAAAATTATAACATGCATTCCTCAATACATAAATCTGTAAAAAAATGGTTTACTCCGTTGATCCACAGCAGCCTTTGCTTGAGTCAGTGCTGAATTAAGAGCCTATTGGGTCTGGTGCTGATTATTATGAGCCTAATTACAGAATCTTAGACAGAAGAAACTAAAACCGTTATACCTCGCACACGTATTGTATCTGGTGAAGGCTGACAGAGAAAGAGGTGGATGTAATGTGTGTGGCAGAAAAGGGGGTATGCCACAGTCACATGATGACAGAACAATGTTGGGCTGTTAGAGAGAGAAGCAGCAAGAGTATCTGCATGGGGCACAAAGTCAGCTTTTAATTTTAGAATTAGCCAACCCACAAGTGTTTTGCCTCTCTGCATTCTTCCTTAGTCCCCATTCTCCATGCCTTCTGTACAACATTTTACTGCAAGAGCATGTAAGTAATGATTATATGTACTACTCCCAACATGCTCTTGCTATAAAATGTTGTGTAGAGGGAATGAAGAATGGGGGAACTTGGGAAGGGCGCACGCAACCTGGGGCTGCAGCTCCATTAGCCCCTATGCAAATATGGTCCTGGCTTGCAGGGTGGCTACAAAAAGCATAAACAGGTCAAGTGCAGTAAAGATTATAGTTATCAAGTTCTATTGCAGGCACTCTCTGCACATACATACACAAGCAGCCATGAGCACATGAAAGAACAAACATAAGTGCAAAGCATGAGGTTCGTGCAGCTGACTTAGAATAAAATATGTAAGGTCTTAAATTAGTAAAAAAAAAAAGAGCATTTTTTATTTATATGATTATCTCTACTATACCACCTGAAATAGAACAAGTGGTTTAAAGTCAGAGAGAACATTAAAAGGAACACTCCAATCACCTGAACCTCTACAGTCTGCTGTGGTGGTTATAGTACCAGTAGTGCCCTAAGCTCTCCCAGAGTAGTAGTCAAACCATTTAATAATGGTTTGACAACTTAGCTGGGGTCTGCCAGGAGCCTGCTACCGCCTCCTCTGGAGCTGGATGCGCTCCCTGCACCATCAGGCTTAGCTCAGGGCAGGAGATTAGGGGGTCAGATGAGGGTGCGATGGGCACCTAACAGAACCCAGTTAAATTGTCAATTTATCTACTTACTGTGGGAAAGTGCCAGGTCACTCCTAGCACCATAACAAGTACTACAGGTGCTAGTGGTTATGGTACTTGAACTGTTCCTTTAATATGATAGACACACCAAGTTCTCAATGTTCAGCAGAAGGAACCACGAGCACAGAAGTGTTGTGTACACAACTTTTAGCTCATATGCTTTGCCACAGATTTTAGTTTTACTTTTTCAGGGGAAATATTGGCCACATACCCATGCACTGATACACAGAGGAATGGTTAACATTGCAAATGCTACAATCTAAACAGCATTCAAGACTTTCTCCCCCTAGCCCGCAAAAAAAACAATGGTTGTGATTAAAGATGTAGTAAATCACCAGCACAGAATCTATGTGTGTAACGGAACTTTCTAGGTCTGCATAGAGTAAAATTATTCTATCATTGTTATTCACTAAAGCGAGAGTTGATGGAATTTCCAAGTGAATTTTAAAATTAAGTGCAAAATTTCCAAATCTGAAATATAATTTATATCAGCTATGCTTCCAGTTCTGCTACTGCCGTCTTAAATTTTAAATTCACTTGGGACTGCCAACAAGTCTCACTTTACTAAATAACCCTGTGTGTCTACACATATATTCCGAAACAATATATACACACACACACACACACACAGACACACACTCTCTACAAAATGAATACTAACCAAAAAAATAAAAGAAAAGCTTAAAAGCAAAAGCTGTTCTTTGCCAAAAAGCACATTCACAAGTTAACATATGGATAGAAAATGATGGTACTTAACATAAGAATGAAAATGAACACTTATTTTTGAATAGGCAGTTTACATGCTATAGCTGGCAGTGAATAGTCATTGGTTTCATTCTACCCTGCAAACTTTTATAGAGAATGAGAATACGAATTAAGCAATACATTATTGGATCAAAACATCAGAACACTGAAAACACAGCATATGAGCAAGCCATGCACTGCAGGGTTTAGCTCAGGAGAGCTAACGGAGGCTATTAACAGGAGCGTATAGCTCTCACTTTCTGGCAGACATCAGGTAAGAAGTCAAACAATGTACATACACCATAACCACTACAGCAGGGGTGCCCAAAAAGTAGTTCCCCAGATGATGTAGAACTACAACTCAAGCATTAAGAATGACAAAGCATCATGGAAGCTGTAGTCTTAAAACATCTGGAGATCTACCTTTTGGGCACCTCTGCACTACAGTGTGCTGTAGTGGTGATGGTGCTTGAAGTCTCCCAGACTGGCAATGTCCATGACTTTTCATATTTCAACCTCTATTGTGCCATCTAACAGAACAGGTATATAGAGCGTGGTGCAATAAAGTTTGGGCCACCCTATACTTGGCAGAAATGTTTTCTTGATAGATAAATCGCTATATAAAAAAAAACAAAAAAAAACAAAACACATTTCTGATAAATACATCCACACACTACAGGACACAATATACAAGAAAAAAAAAAAAAAAAAAGCTTCTTTTTTTTTTAAGCCACTTAACTAGTTAAGCTGGGTCCCAATCTAAAGGGCATCACAATTAATATGTGTTGAAACAACATTTGTACGTTTTCATGTTTTTTCTATTATTCTATTTCCACTCCATTAATCTTTGCATTATATAGTTATAGAGGGTTTATTTCTCCAAACACTTCCTGTTTGGAGACATGGCTTTAATTTGAATTGTTCGTTGTGGTCCAAGACTTATCCACAGTGTGTGTAGGCATACAAATGTACACACTTATTAATGCACAAACACACCAAAACAAAGCACATAGTTGGGATTAGCAATAAAGCCATAATGAGAATACATTCAGCATACGCTTTGTTTTAATATTAGAATTGAAATGTCTGTTATGCATAATTTATTCCAAAACTGCAGAGTGTGCGACTAACTTTTTCCTGCAGGTGTTAGTTTTTTTAGCACCAACAGAATACTGAGGAAATTGAGAGAGATATATATATGAGTTTGCATGGCTGCACATAATTTATATATATTTATTTGTATTTTATATACACATACACCCACACATACAGACACACACAAATACATACGTGAAGAATATATATACACACACGCATGTACATATGCAACATAGAGCTAGACATAAATGCAAAAATAAAATTATTTAGGTTACACATAACGCATACTGTGAATTCATTCTTTCTGTACATGTAATTTGCTGAATGTTGCATGGAGACAGTGAGACAGACAGAATGCAGCATGAAGATGATGCAGCAGTATGTGTGGGTCCTTAGCAAGGCACTCTAAGCACAATCACAGCAGCTCCTGGTCGTAGTTAACACCATGGGGTGCTTTCCCCCACACTTCTTGACTACTGCATTGCCCTTTGTTTACGGAGTGAGAATATGTTAGCCCAGTACTCGCAGTCCATTACGACCAAACAATTTGATAGGCTAATCCACATCTACATTAACAGAAGACAAAGCCGTGGTCTTTACCAAAAACCTTAAATGGTTTGAAATAAACATGGAAGCGGTCAGACTGTTTGACTCGTAACCAATACAGTGAGCTGCACGGATTATGGTGCTTAGACTGCCCCTTTAAATATGATCCAATATAAACTGCCACATCTCCTCCTCTCCAGATCTTCACAGCAAGAGGCGCCCTTCCCAAAGAGGTGCATTCACTGAGAGTGGATTAAACTGGCCAATTTGGATAATTTTGCAGATACTGGGTGTGTTTTACGGTTCTAAAGGCAAATTTGAATTTAATGCATTGAATGTTAACGAAATTAAATTGTTATTTAAATATGTTCACATAAAATAGGGATGTTAAACTGAATTTCCCTAGATGATGTTGAATTCGACTCTCCAACTCTCTACCAGCCAAAAGCTCAGAAATCATTGCAGAAGTTGTCGTTAAGAGCTGGATTCGGCAGTGTGACACTCCTGACTTAAAAGTGCTGCAGTGTTCAAAAGAACCCAGTTAACAGCAAATGAAAAAACTAATCAGAGACTATACATATAATATTTAACTCTCTGCCAATTGTATGCACTCATATATGTAAGTCAGCATTCTATTTTTTAGTATGGACTTGTTCGGTTTCATTTTCAGAAAGCAACACAACCAAATTTGTTTGCCCAATATAAGCGGCTTTGAATACACCTCATTCTTGTCCCCTTGATTCCACATCAAGACAGAACAACCCCATACTTCCCCTTTTGCCCTGAGTTTTGTTGCAATAATGCACAAAAAAAGGGTAACAGACACCCAAACCCCTGGAGTGCTTTATTGCCTCGAGTCACACGTTAACTCAAAAAAAATAAAAAAATAAAAAATAAAAAAGCAGGTAAAACTGAAAAGGGTTAGGAGATCCTGCTAATAATGCCTTTCAAACAATCCAGAAATGCCTGTTCCAATGGGATAAGCTGGCATTTTACACCACAGGCAATGTTATTCAGTCAGTGATATCATCTACTACTGCACCCGAGCAGGGCTGTCCAGATTACAATTGTCCTAGCTGTACTTGGACCCCAGTGGGATGTTCTGTGGGTCCTACACTGCCTATGAACTCCATAATGCTTGCTAGCATATAGTAAATAGCTTCTGTCCCATCAGTACAGGAATATAACAGAGCTACAGCCCACTATATGAAAATGTTGGACATGGCTACACTAGAAGAAGGTACTTACTAAATCCCATTAAATTCTATAACGGGGATTTTAATAAAAATATTTCAATGAAAGAAAAAAAATGTGTGAGAAACCTAATGAGCTCATCTCCCACACCTCACCCTGGAACAGGCAAAAAGAACATTCCTACAACTTATTCAGACAGGCAGAGAAAGAGGAGGCATGTGGGCTCAATATATCCATGAATATAGCCCAAACCAAATCCAAGCCCTGCAAGCCTGAACATTGCGCAAGTTAGGCAGCAGATTACAGGTAGGGGAAAGATGGAGGGAATCTGAGTAGCAATCAGATTGTTTGCAGATCACCTGACTTATTAATGCTGATTGACAAAAGGTAGGCTAGCACCCGTACCCTGTATGCGTCCAGTTAAGGGTCCGGCTGTGGGCTGATCTCTCAATTTCCCTGTACCCACACCTACCCCCACTGGTTGCGGTTGCCCTTCTGTTGCCTATGTACTCAAGGAACAGAGGTACACTCTCCCTGTTCATCTCTCCTTGAACTGGGTAAGGAGTTAATTTGGACCTCAGCTGCTATGAGGCCACATGAGGGGGAGTAGGAATGGCCACAAACTCACGAAGGATGTTGCGGGCCATCTCAATATTGTTATGGGCAATAAGCAGGGCCTTGTTAACGTCCTGTTGGGAATAACCTTGGCTTAACAAACTTTCAATCTCGCTGGAGAGCGGTGCTGGCAAGGTATCACCAGCTGCAGCAGATCTGCGTTCGGAATTCATCCGTCTGGGGAAGGGCTTCGGTGGACGTTCAGGGACCTGAGAAGACTCCAGGAGCCCTAAAAAGAAATAATATTTTACTAAACCACTATATTATGTGGTATGTTAAAATGGATTACAAATGTAAGTTTTTCATACAACAAGTTAGGAAAGGTGATTAAACTTTGCGGTGCATATCCCATGTGTGTACTGAATGACTTATAGATCATGGTAAAAATTCCAGAGGATGAAAATTTGAATTCTTACTTATGGCTGGTTGAGGTTTAACAGGGGGGTAGAAAGACTAAAATGAATCTTGAAGGACAACTGTAATAAAAAATTCACTTCACATTTAAAGTTTATTGCATTTAAAGGGACACTATAGGCACCCAGACCACTTCATCTCACTCAACTAGCCTGGGTGCTGTGTCCCTAGCTCCCCTTAGGCCTGCAATGTAAAACATTGCAGTACTTAGATTGCCTCTAGTGGCAAGCAAAGGGGGACGCTGGAGGGTACTATAGTGCTAGGAATACCGCTTTGTCTGACTTTAATTATGTAGATTTCTTAAAAATGATGTGTTTTGAGAAAATAATCACTTTATCTGGCTGAGCATCTATATTGGTTCAGACTCTACTGTTAAATGACCAACTGCTGCAGTTTCACACAGAGCAATTCGTTCTGCCGGATGGTAAATGAGAGGGGCATATGGAGGCACGTTACCTTCATTACACATTTTAATTAACCCAGACAAGGTTTTGCAAAAGGCAAGTAAATGATAATTTACAAACAAGCATCCTGCAAGATGCATTTAGTTTATCATCGGCCACCATGCGGTCGCAATAAATCGGATTTCAGTGCTGTAAATTGGTTTGGATGAGGATATTGGTGATTTTCCAAACTAATGTTACAGAATCGGTCCGATGAACCAAATACTGACAGCATTTGGCTTTAATAAATTTGAGAATTGCCAAAGCGGATGCAATTCAATTTTATTCACCGAATATTGTCCCTTTGGACAAAATCCAGTGTTTAGTGAATAATTCTGTATATACACCAACATTGCGGAGGCTCATCTTTGCTCAAGAATAATTATCAATTTTCTGAAGTTGGCACCTATGCAACAATCACATGGTGACATACAAAATGTAAGTATTTCACAATTTTGTGTTAAACTATACAGTAAATATCTAGAAAATGTTTTTCTGTTTGCAGCTATAAATACTACTGCATTATGATACATTACATTGTTCCCACTATACTCATTCACCTGCTCCAGGATCCCTAACCACTGTTGATTGACTGAAGGCAGGAGAGGCATCAGAAATATCTGAGACTGTGCGGCGGGCAGGAGCCATAGGCACATGGGGCTTTGGTATGTCATATCCATCATCATCGTCGTCATCATCTTTAGGCCCATTTGTAGAAGCTGTAAGACATTCGTCTGCTGTGTGAAACACAAAGACATCACAAAATGTTATTCTGTTTTCGGTTTGTATATGGACTGAAACACATGGGAAACTTCTAAATGAACAAACCACATGACATGAACCCTTAAAAATCTTAGATTTTACATGATAACTCACTATATGAGGGACATGACTGTATTCACTTGCTGCCAATTCCTATTCTGGAAACCTGGTTGCTCATAACCAATGATGAACAAATCTACAGACTTAACCCTAATGGAATCTACTCTTCATGCTGGATTTCATACACGGCATTAGCAACTTTCTTACCTTCCTCTTTCCCAGGCTCCACAAAGATGGGTGCAGCTTGGGATTGGATGTTGTACATTGTCTCATAGGACTCCCTTTCAATCTGGTGCTCAGGTGGACTGTTTGTGAAGAAACAAATAAAATTATATAAACATCTTCTGTTAACATGATCCTTCTCTAAAGTCAGCATGACATCAAGCTCTTATTAATCTCACACAAATATATACCAATGCACTGCTGACCATGTGTTCTCCACTATAACAGACATAATTTGACAAAGATTCTACTACCCCACTTACCAGAAAGCAGGCAATGCGTCTAATGGCCTTCTTGTTTCAGATTTTGGTAGTACAGATGGATTTACCGGCCGTGATGAAGGACACATATATTCAGAATCTTCACCACTGTCTGAATGATTCCCTGCTGAAGGCTTTGGCACCATAAATGGCCTGAGAGAATTAGAAAGGTCAATTAAAAACAGCAAGATGTCAGCCAAATCAATTCCTATAACAATTTACTATGGATCTTTATATACAATTTTTCAAAGATAAAGCACTTCCTTTCTACTGAAGAGGAAGTAACAGTACTTGTGTAAGGGTATGATGGTGCCAGAAACAGGAAACTGCAATAAAATAAAAGAAAATATAAATAGTACAAGCTGAACAGTTCGAGAGGAAGGAGAGTGATAGCATAATAATTTTACTACCTATATCCTACCTGCTGGTAAAACAAACTATATTGATCATGGGTAAGGCCTGTTTTTGCACCTTGTGAAAGAATGTTTACATTCTACTACAACTGTGTGATTCTTTAATTTCTAGATTACTCATACCAATTTTCTAATGGGATATTATCTACACACACACACACACACACACACACACACACACAACGTATATCTACACACACACACAACGTATATCTACACACACACAACGTATATCTACACACACAGTATATCTATCTACACACACACACACACGTATATCTACACACACACACAACATATCTATCTACACACACACACACAACGTATATCTATCTACACACACAACGTATATCTATCTACACACACACACAACGTATATCTATCTACACACACACACAACGTATATCTATCTACACACACACACAACGTATATCTACTACACACACACACACAACGTATATCTACACACACACACACACACACACACCGTATATCTATCTACACACACACATATCTACATACACACACACACACACACACACACAGTATATCTATCTACACACACACATACACACACACACACACACACACACCCCGTATATCTACACACACCCCGTTACATTTCTAGTTAAAAGTACTGGAGGTGAAATTCTACAGATTATGGCAGACATTCTGCAAAGTCACTGCACCAGGCTCAATCAAACCTAAACAGATCACTATGGCCAATAAAATTACCAGAAAACCCAGCAAAAGCTAGAGATGCAAAATTTCCAGAACTTTTAAAGCCTTGGGAAAAACATGTTCTTTTCCGGAAGAAATGGAAATTTTAAAACCTTTTTTCTTTTTTTAAATGCAGAGTGGAGTAGTTTTACAAACTGAAAATCAATTTGTTACACTGGGAAGAAGAAATGTAGTGCAAAATTCTGGAACTGGGAGTTTAGAAAGCTGCTGGTCCCTGGCAAAAAGTGGGCTCCAGAGGCTTCCAATGGTCACCATATTCCTTTCTCTACACACTTTAACAAGGAGGTTACATGCAGAGATCTTTCAGGATTTACTACATGAAGAGGATACTCAACAACACAACCACACAAAATATAACATGTGGCCTTGTTTGTTCACCAATGCATGCACACGTCCAAAATATTCCAATAACGGATTTTATTGTTATTAGGAAGGTTGGGAAACCATGCTTGTGGATGATCCCAGGTATGTAACTAAGGAACGCATTACAATCAGCAAACTATGGAAGTTAAAAATGGCAGATATTGCACTCTCCTCACATCCAGGACCATTAGTGTTTACTGACCTCACCACTGTAAATTCCATATTTTATCATCTTAAATCACTATACATTCATTTTTGACTTTCACAATTCAATATTTAAAAAAAAGCAAAAAACAAACATTAATCTGCCTTGCCTACTGTATTTTACTTATTCCCACAGTTACCATGTTCAAAAGAGTTGATCAATTTAGGTTTTCCATATTTTGTATCTTTAGCCAACTCTGTGACCTTTGGTGACATCACACGGGAACCCAGATGGTCACATCGCAAGTCTGTGTTTATGGTTATTATATTTACAATGGTTATTGTTTAAGACGTATGTTCCTGTTTTTTGCTGAAGCTAAGAGAATATTTGAATAAATAAAAGCTACCCCACAAAAACAAACGAAAACAGACGACAACAAAAACATAGCATTACCTGTTCTGAAACAGTTTTTACAAAAAAAATTTTAAGAATGGGCTTGTGGGAAGCTCAAAAAATCATCGATTTATATAGTACATAGCAAAATTATGATCATACATTATTCCAATGCAAATGTGGACAAGACATTTATAACTACACGAAAGAAGGTTCTTTCTCAGTTTGTCCCATCAGTCAGCTTATGGTGATCTCTCACGGCACATAATGACAGCATCACAACTTCCACACAATCTTAACACATAAGACCAGATTTTTATTATATAGTGCATTGTTTTATTATAAAATCATGGACTGAATAAAAAGGATGACAAGCAGAGGTAACCATGCAGAAGTTGCAAATAGAATATAGCAAAGTTATTTATTTATAAGTAAAGACAACATGTACCTGGAGGCCAGGGAGTAGATAGCATTGGCAGAGGACGACTGCTTCACTTTGGGATCATCCAGATCTATTCCAGCCAACAAATCAACACATGAATTCTAGAGAAGAATTGCAAAGAGTGAGAAAGACAGAAAACACAAATTATTGTCAGTGAAAGACAAAAGTAAGTAAAGATTGGGATTAAACAGTGAGAAAAATAGAAGAAAAAAAAAAAAATATCGAACTGCATGGGTATCGACAGCGGTACAGAAGAAAATGGACAGTGCAGAATGCAGAAAAAAAATAAAAATTATATATTTTATCATTGGTTAGGGAAAACACACATTTTGTGCACATTTCATCCCTTTGCTGGTTTCAAGGCTGATACTTTAATCTGAAAACGTCACAGCCTTATCTTTTTTTGCATATGAGGTAAACTATCTCTCACTGCCTCATTCTTTGTAAATCCCTTCAAATTTATCTTTGTAATAGAGCACTTTGTATGCCCTACAATGTAAGCTGCAAAAGAATACAAGGCATTCCATTCATCTCAATTTGTACCCTTCTTTGCCATACACCTTACTCACTATGCCAGTGTTGTCCAAACTCTGAGTGCTGCCATGTCGGTCCCTCCTCTCATCCACATGTGAGGGCAGTGTAAAAGGCAGGGAGTGGCGGTTGGTTAATTCCTTCCCTCCTGTCCATGAATCGGCCCCTGAAGTAAGACTGGGTGTGGGAGCCTTGGGCACAGAGCGGGGATTCCAGGGATCTGCTGGACGGGCTGATTGAAATGATGGAGGCTTGTCTGCAGGGGTGGAAGGCAGAGGTCTTCTTTGTGGTCTGCTGTCACCCACCATAGAGTGAGGTCTGTCTGGAGGTGGAGGAGGTGGTAGGTCTCGAAGTGTTGGGGGGACGGGCAGTGGTTTATCCTTGTGATGTATGCTGCTTGGAACCTGCAACATAAATATAAAAAATGCAGTCAATTGCAAAACTAGGTGCTACTAAATATGGTCTTGCTTCTGGCCACACAATAAGCAAGAACACGTCAGGTGGCTAGCCAAATAGTGTATTTATATAGAGAATCCTAGTCTAGTTTAAGTGTATGAAGTGTATGAGGAACATATTCTAACCTTTGAGCTTGTTGAAGGACTGCAGGCCCCAGTGGAACTGGCAGGTCTCGGCGGTAGCAGGTCTAGACGTGGTGGTACAGGAGGCAATGAGGCTTGTGGAGCAAGAGAAAGAGGAGATGGGGGCCTCTCCACCTAAGGACAAAAATAAGTAAACTTTAAATATACTGAAGGCAAAAAAAAAAATCTGCACTTTTGTGACAATTTTTATTTTACTTGAATATCACAAACTTTAAAAAACAAAAACAAAATAGGTCTACTTTTTTCACATTTTAAAACGTTATAGAAGTACAAAAGATGTTCAAATTCAAATCCCTGAGCAATTAACAAGCCATGATTTCCATATATCACTGAATGAATATTTGACAAAATGACATTGAATTATTAACTTTAGGAACCTTTTTAGAAATGTACCCAAGTAGAAGCTTTTCTAAAAATGATGCAATAATCCCAAATTCACCTTTGCTCCTGCAAGCATGAAAAGAGAATCATTGCTACAATCATCATCATCGTCTTCGTAACATGGAGAGGGTGCACCATCTAGACAGTGTCTTAACATTTCAGCCATGCCACCTCCTCTTGGATCAAAAGGATCAACCACGATTGGCTCAGTTCCTTTGATTTCACAGCGGCAAAATGGGCAGCCCTGGCCCTCGGATTCCTAAAATAAGAAAGATAAATTGCTGTAAGCATCAGGTATCCATTCCTAATGAATAGAGAAGAAAAATGGGGACTTGGGTTCTAAAAAGAGGAGGGATGTTATGTATAAAAAAACAAACAAACAAAAAAAACAATATCCTTGTGGTATAGGACTGCCAGTTTTATTTTCTCGAGGCCTTATTCAGACTCCTCTTTGATGTCACTGGGACTTTGAATTATACATATGGTGGGAAGTCTAGATCCATCTACCTACTATAACCATTGCCAAAGCGCTTACTCTCATTCTCAGTACAAGCTGTGGAAGACATATGTAAGGTTAAAGGTTTGAATTCATGTGAAACCGAGACCAAAGACGCCAACCCCCTATGGTTTCACTGGCTTCATCCTTTGCTTTGTAAGTTTTCAAACCTTACTTGGAGAGAGACTGCCATGACATGACTGAAGATGCTTCTTTTAATCCTTGAACTCCTCTATCTCCCTTTCCCCTACACCATCAGTTTCAAGTACCTCTTTTCCTCGCTGTACATTATTAAAGGTGCCCAGTGATGCTGGCCAACTCCTTTCTAGGTCTGACAACATCTACTGAATTTTGTGGCATCACATTACAGATTATGTTTATTGAGGATCCCTTCCTCAGCTGCTAGAGTCATTACTCGTGTATAATTCTTACTATGCTATGTTTTTATAATGTATTGCTTTGTGTTTTATGTGTAATCTTCTCAAATAATAAAACTTCAATTTAGAAATAAAGCTTAATTTTCTATCCGCATTCGGTCTCACGCTTTGTTTTTACCTGCCAGGATGTGAGGCACGAAGTGCACATAAGATGCCCACAGGGCTCAATCTTGATATCCTTGTCGTTCTCCGCACATATCTTGCAGAGCTGGAAAGTTGAGCCCATCTCACAGTAGAGCTCATACTGCTCCTAGACAAGGGAAGTCACAATAGTAAATATACAAACGTTTATGAATTCACAATTCAGGATTTTAATGGACACAAAGCACTAGAGAAAATAAGACAACTGTACTTTATGTACACAGTAAGGTAAGGGAGAACCAACAAGCGAGCGCCAACCTTTGGTCTTGAAGGGTGACTGTCTCATCGTTTTTGTAAGGTTTCTGTTGGTTGCTCCATATAGATGTTTTTACTAAGATTCTATGCAGAGCAGGTCAGTTAAACTTGATGCAAAAAAAATGCAGATATGGCAAATTATGTGCTCTGGTAATTTGTTAAACACTTGTGATCTTTCATCTTCAAATCACTCACAACCCAAATGTAATTCAATGTTTGTGAGTTGAATTCGCCATTAACAGAGTGCAGACAATTATGGATATATTCATAACTTACATAGATATGCTTCAAATGACTTTATGGAGGTCTGCGTTTGATTAATTCTATTTGCCCAATGGGTTTTGAAATCTAAATTAAAAACAAGTTAAACGGGGAACCACCACTGAATCAAACATTTAAGGTCAACTATCACTTGTGTTAACTTTATGTTGTGCTGCTCTGTTTCCGATTTAATTTATATTAAAGATTTAGCCAAGCATATCACAAACCTGTTCAGCCCAGACACACATTGCAAAAAGAGAATAAGAAACTGGAATATAATTTCATGTCTCCTTTACTCTGTATGCTCTCTGGCAGTTGTAAATGACCGAGCTTATAACGATGATTGACAGGGAGATAAAACAGAGTGTCCAGCTGCAAGACAGAGGTGTGAGGATTACTATATTTAATGTTCACACCTCACAAATATAGATTTGCTTCACTCAGATGGGTGCATCACAAGTGTTAAAGAAAGCCCAATCTAATATCTTACACAACCTGCTGGGAACAAATACATAATCAGGTTTGAGGAACACCTCAATTACAACTGTTGTCCCATGACAACAGAAAGTACATTGTCTGGGTCATGCACGAAACCGTTACCCGTTGGGAATTTAGAGATGGCAAATTTGAGACAAAAAGTGACAAATCTGATATTGGTGCATATTTGTAATTGTCATGTGAATGCGTGAAAATGTAAGGTATAGTGAATAACCTGAAATCCTAAGAGTATAAACAGACTGCAGTGCAAAATTTAAACAATCCCCAGGATGATCTATCCATATTAAGATACCTGAGTGACTTTGATGTGATCCTGAGGTGTGGGCTCACAAAGGCCCGTCAAATCTGGATTCTGGTTGCGACCGTCAGGAAAAAGGTAGCTGTGTAAAGAGGAAGTGCCAAAAGTAAAAAACAAAACAAAAAAAAAACCCTACTGATCACATGCTCTCTTTATCCATAACTTGATGGCTGCCATACACTCTTAGTGCTGTTGATCGCATGACAACATCCACTAAAATAAATCCTTTCTTCATCCATCAGCTGTAGCATATGAAGAAACATGACAACATACTCGAGCTTAAAACACAAAACAATACCACAAACTAAAAAAATAAAAAATAAAAAATATGGAGCTACAAACCCAAATTACACAGAAATTACAATAAAATATATTTAGACTTTACACAATTCATGTTCAAGACATAAGGTAAAAGACAGGAAATGAATATAGTCTTACAATCCTTCCCGGAATCCATCGATCAGAGCCTGGAAAAGTGGTTTGTTGTGAGGGATGGTCTGCAAAATGTTTCCGTCACCTGTAACATATCCAATTGCCCACTGACCAAGCCGCGTGCAACTCAGGCGGAAAATATAGCTGTGCGGGAGAAAAGAAAGAAAATAAATGTTTCTACAACCCAAACAAAGCATTCCTAGGAACTCGCTGTATATATATCCCTGTCACAGGTGCCTCATCCCAGGGCCCTATTTAGCCTTGGACTGCAGAGAGCCCCAGATGGAATTTTTTTCCTCAAGTAAGTGGTTAATCTCATAAGAGCAGACATTAGGCTGTTAGTGTAGGACCTGCCAAAGATGGGGTATATTGACGATGTGGCAGGCTTATGCAATGTATGATCATATAATGTAACTAAACCCCCATTATTTTTGCCTAGATTAGGTGTTTTTAAAAAAACTAATAAAATCTTTCAACTTTGAAGTTGCTGTTTAGTGGATAGGTGAGTGCGCTGGATCTTGTATTATATATATATATATATATATATATATATATATATATATATATATATATATATATATATATATATATATTTATTTTTTTAATAAATTTATAACTGGGAGAAATCCCCCAATACAAATGCCTGAACAGTATACGACCGAATTCAGAGCATCTTTCTGTATTTGCGTTACGGCTTTAGCTACTCACTACTTGCAAAAAATTGTGAAAATGCTCACCTCCCAGGTTTATGGATGAACTTTTGAAGCCGAGCTTTAACCTCATCATAGGTCAGGAAAGCCATGTAACCAGGATGTGTAACAGCCAAACTATTCCAGTTCCTGAGGAGGGAAGACCACGGCTGCCAGAGAAAATACAGAAAAATTTGACACACTGACTAAATGGTACAAAACATCAATTTACAATAGCATGTGCCCATCTGTGCAACAAGGTCAGACTTCAACTCTGTCTTGAGATGAGGGTATGAGCATTAAGGCATCATAATATAGGTTTGTCTCAATTTCTTTACCACAGTTTAACCTGTATTCAGTCTGATCAGGTTTTCTATAAACTCATTCTAATTAAAGCTTTACTTCATGACACCGTGTCCATACTGCCCACTTAGAATCTTCTTCTAAGAGAATATCTCATTTTATTAGTTTGCCCTTTAAACTTCCATGTAATTCAACCATTCTTTCCTCACCAGTATGTCGTGCCATCGTATACGCAGGAAATGGGTCACTGTTCAAACCAGCTTTTACTAACTGTGTTACTCCAATGTATGGTTTCCTCACTCAGAATAGATATGACAACAGCACCTACTTCAAGTGTACATTATCCGGTTTCCTGAAATATAGCCAGTCTGTTTCATACCCTGTAAATTAGATATTGGGATTTCCTGTACAATTGTGTTGGCAAACCCAAGCAACAGCCTATCTGGGTACTATGCTTTGACCCCAATCTCAATGAAGCCATGTTAAGATAAATATGGTATTGCCATTATTCATTCCATGGGGACGGTCAATGAGATGATTTCCTTTACCAATCTTTTTGCAAGCACCATACCACACAGACTCATATTAAACAAATACAAATCTTTCAAGAATACTCACCTGGAAAAGCCGTGTAAAAATATCAAATTCAAACACAGAGATATAATCGTTACATGTGAGGTCAATAGTGGATTTCAGAGCCATAGCTTCCAGTCCAGAGGAAATGGGGTGAACATCATGCAAGGCATGACGGAAAATCTTCCAAGGGACAATTGTTCTTAGGAGAGAAGATACAATAAATCACTATAATAAGAAGCATGTATAACAAAATGACTGCTGTTAATTAATATACTTCCCCAAAGTAAGCTTGCAAATGTTCTTTAAAAGTGAACTGTCACAAACAAAAAGGAAGATGATACTTCCTCTGTAAACAGTGCTGTCATTTAGGCCTACAGCTTTAAGTGCAGATGTGAGTGTGTAGTACACACACACACACACACACACACACACACACACACACACAAACAGTTGTGCTCAAAAGTTTGGATAACCTTGGAGAATTGGTAATATATGTACCATTTTTAAAGAAAACATGAGTGAGCTGGCAAAACACATTTATTTTATTTCTTATGGGATGCACATTCAACTGTAGGTTATAACAGGATCGCACAATCAAAACAAAACATGGCAAGAAAGGAAAAAAAAATAATTAAATGACCCCTGTTCAAAAGTCTGCATACCCTTAATCTTTATACTGTGTATTGCCCCCTTTAGCATCAATGACAGCATGCAGTCTTTTGTCTATGACATCCCGGATTCTTGCAGGTGGTATAGCTGCCTATTAATCTTGGCAAAATGCCTCCAGGTCATTTAAAGTCTTTGGTCGTCTTGCATAAACTGCACGTTTGAGATCTCCCCAGAGTGGCTCGATGATATTAAGGTCAGGAGACTGTGATGGCCACTCCAGAACCTTCACCTTTTCCTGGTGTATCCACAGGAGGGTCGACTTGGGCTTGTGCTTGGTGTCATTGTCATGCTGGAATGTCCAAGACCGTCCCATGAGTAGCCTTCATGCAGAAGAATACAAATTGTCTGCCAGTATTTTCTGATAACATGCTGCATTCATCTTGCCATCAATTTTCACAAAAAATACCCATGTCCTTTAAAGCTCACACCACCACCACGTTTCACAGTGGGGATGGTATTTTTCACTATAGACCTTGTTGACCCCTCTCCAAAATAGCCCTTATGGTTGTGACCATAAAGCTCTATTTTGGTCGTCACTCCAAATTACAGCGTGCCAGAAACTGTGAGGCGTGTCAAGGTGTTGTCATGCATATTGTTACCGGGCTTTTTTGTAGCATTGGCGCAGTAAAGGCTTCTTTATGGCAACTCGACCACGCAGCTAATTTTTGTTCAAGTATCATCATATTGTTCTACTTGAAACAACCACACCGTCTTTTTCCAGAGCAACCTCTATTTCTCCTGAGGTTAGTCGTGGGTTTTTCTTTGTATCCCGAACAATTATTTTGGCAGTTGTGGCTGAAATCTTTCTTGGTCTACCTGACCTTGGCATCAAGAGATCCCTGAATTTTCCACTTCTTAATAAGTGATTGAACAATACTGACTGGCATTTTCAAGGTTTTGGATATCTTTTTATATCCTATTCCATCTTCAAAATGTTTTGTTACGTAGGTCTTTTGACAGTTCTTTACTGCTCCCCATGGCTCAGTATCTAGCCTGCTCAGTGCATCCACGTGAGAGCTAACAAACTCATTGACTATTTATACAAACACTAATTGCAATTTAAAGAGCCACAGGTGTGGAAAATTAACCTTTAATTGCCATTTTAACCTGTGTGTGTTCCCTTGTGTGTCTGTAACAAGGCCAAACATTAAAGGGTTTGTAGACTTTTGATCAGGGCAACTTGGGTGATTTCTGTTATCATTATGATTTCAATAGGAGTCAAACAACTATGTAATATATGGCTTCATATGAAAACTATCCTTCAATAAAAATAATATTTTTTGTATGATCGGTCAATATGATTCAAAATCCATGCCACAATTTCACAATTTCTGCCAGGGAATGCAAACTTGAGCACAACTGTACATACACACATACATAAACATGTGAGAATTCAGAGTGAATTTCAAACTTATTAAAACAGCTGAACTGGAAAAAATGATCTAAATCAGCTATGCTGCCAGGTCTGCTACTTTGGCCTAAAATTTTTTTATTCACTTTGGATTCTCACTTCAGTGAATAACCACTACAATGATAAACTGTGATTTATGAGAAAATAATGCCACCTGGAAACATACCAATAAACTACAATATTTAAAGACAAGAGGTTTATAAATGTCTCCAGAACATGGTGATGGCATTATATTCTCCTTATACATGCATTGATATTAGGAAGATTTTACACTGCATCATATTTTCAGGTTAGGGTTAATGGTTCAGCTGCAGTCATTCCAATTGTGGCAGCTGACCGTGTGGAGTGCATGCCTTGGTTCTGCTCAAGATTAGGGCCCAGAGGTGGATCAATGTATTATTCCATCTTCATCATCCCCATACCATACTTGGTTCGAAATCATTAACTGCCCAATGAAGAACACAATAGTGTAGTGTAATCTAATACAACATATTCCTATAGAGGAAAAAACTGTAAGTGGTTCAGCACATATCAATTTTCTTTATAATTGAAATGTGAATTCTTGCTCAACCGGCCTCTTTAAAGACCAGCTTTAATGACAGTTTTTTTTGTTTGTTTTTTGGCTTACATGTTATGATATGTAGCGCACAGCTCACTTCAGTGACACATCATCATAGGTAACATCACATAGAAGGGAAAATGTTTTTATGGTTCCAATAAACAACCAAAATAAATTAATAAAATCCACCACAGAAACTTTGACTTTGCTGTGCTTACCACCAGTGCAACAGTTTTTACAGACAAAAAATAAATACACAGTAGACCACAAATAATCTTAATCTCCTAATATGGACCAGAAATAAGTGCCATGGCCAAGCAGCTACGGATATAGTATGGGTCAACCTGATTCTAGAAACATCACTAGACATTATTTCAATGTAATATATTTCCAAAATTCTCCATCAGATTTCAACTGACAAAACTGGTTCTCTAAGGTAGGAGTAGTAAGACCTTGATACAGCGATCAGGCTACATAGTCTTAAAACATGTAAAGGTGAAGAAAATGGAATGAAAACACGACAAGTATGTTATTTTTGGATGACAAAGGATCTAGAGAGAGAGAAAAAAATACAAATAAAAGAAAAAGGAGGTTCTGACATCTAATATGCCCAATAATCCTTTATATCTGGAAAGAAAGAATCTCAAGCAGTTCACGAGGACTAGAGACCTTGGTTGCACATTATGTATAGGTATAATATCCATTAAAACATAACCAGAAGAGTCAAACGAACCAAGCTTCTGCAACTAGCCATTTTCAACTACCTGGTTGACTTATCCACATATCTCAGTTTAAGTTGCTAGATTATGATCCATCTCTGAGAACACTGCCACCAGTTCATCAACATTTGACTTTGTGTTTAAACATGGACTCTCTTCTGCCAATACCATCAATCATTGCACAAGCTTCCAGTGAACCAATATCACTACACTTCATAGTGCTAGAAGGGAAAGTGGGTTTGATCCCTAAAGATTCACATTTTGGCCAGTTTTGTATACCTACTAAGGTCATCACATTCAAAACTTTTTATCCCACAAAAGGAAACAAGATCAGACCCCATTGACCACAATGCGAGGCTCTTGATGGGTTAGCTTCTTACTAGTCTGGTAAATGCATATGTTGCATAGCTGAAAATAGACTTGTGTCCATCAAATTTAGCCTTCCTCACATATGTTTTTTGCTGTGGATCCAAAAGAAGGCAAAAAAAAAAAAAACCTGTTTGAAGCACTTGCAATTTTGCAACAAACTAGGAAAAAAAAATCCTTCTTGACCCCAGAATGGCAGTCAGATTAATCCTTGGATCAAGAAGCCATTACCCTACATTGAAAGATTATAGCCTTAAATATTCTGTTTTTGCAAGTATGCATCTAGTTGCGGTTTGAACATCTGTATGGACTCTGATAAAACCACTTCTTCAGGCAGAGAATTCCACGTCTTTATTGTTATTACCGTAAAAAAAACCTTTTCTTTGCCTTAGATTAAATCTTTTTTCTTCCAGTCTAAAAGCATGACCTCGTGTCCTATGTAATGTCCAGTTTATGAAAAAATATTTCCACACAATGGTTTGTATGGGCTCTGGATATATTTGTATAATGTTATCATAGCCCCTCTCACAGTATATTGCACAGCATATTCAATATGTGGTCTTACCAGCGATTTATAAAGAGGTAAAATGATATTCTCATCCAGAGAATTAATGTCCTTTTTCATGCATGACAATACCTTACTGGCCGTAGCCACTGCTGATTGACATTGCACATTGTTGCATAGTTTGTGGTCTATAACAATTCCCAAGTCCTTTTCGTGTGCTGTTCTCCCTAATTCATTTCCATTAAGGATATAAGTTGCTTGTGCATTCTTTACGCCGAAGTGCATAACTTTGCATTTTTCAACATTAAATTTCATCTGCCATTTGAGAGCCCAGCCCCCGGTCTACTTAAATCCTTCTGCAGCAAATTAATATCTTGCTCACGTTGCACTACTTTACAGAGTTTTGTGTGATCTGCAAACACTGAAACATGACTTTCAATGCTTTTTTCCAAGAATATTTATAAAAACATGTTAAATAGAAGAGGTCACAGAACAGAACCCTGAGGAACACCACTTGGCACCTCTGTCAAGCTTGAAAATTTACCATTAAGGTCAACTCTTTGTACTATATTTTTAAGCCAATGTTCTAACCAAGAACAAGAATTTTCATCTAGACCGATTTCTTTGAGTTTGAACACTAATCTATTGTGTGGAACTGTTTAAAATGTCTTTGCAAAATCCAAATAGATCACATCCACTGCAACACCCTGATCTACACTTCTACTTACTCAGCTGAAGTTGCATTTCAACTGAAGCTATTTCTTTTAATACATTTATATAATGCACAAAAACATGTCATGTTATGACCACTGCTTCCCCTTTAACCACTGCCCCAGACATGTACAGCAATTCACGATTCTAATTATTTTCTTCCATGTCCATCTATATTGGAGTTGGGTCACTCACTTGTCTTGAGTGATAAGTCCAGTACGGAGTTTTGTTCCAGGTTTATATGTCAAAAACATTTAAACAAAGAGAAAAGATGCTGATGTCCATGGTTCCTAAATTTGGATCTACTTACTTTTCCCCAAAAGCTTTCCTCCAGAATTCTGCAGCATCAGCCTTTGTTATCCGGAAATTATCTCCCTGGAACATTCCACTGGGGAAGATCCCCTTTAATTCTGCAAGCATGTGGCTAAATATGAGGGACAGTTTTGTCAGGTTCCTCCTGCGGGTAAGAAAAGAGAACAGAAAATTAAAACTTTTTTTTTTTTTTAAATTAAATAAATGTGAGTAAGGGACACAGCAGGAAGTGTTAAAGTTTGTTTTCCCCTTATGACACAGTCAAGATAAAAAGTCATAATGACCCATGTAAAAAAATATGGAGTAGATTAATAACATCTCCCTTCCTGACGAAGTTTCCTTCTAGCTGCTGAACCATGGCAATGATCCCAAAATCCCTGCAGCAAATTTAAACATCAGCGTCCAAAAGTCAAGATTGCCTCCTCAGGCAAAACCATGCTCAGAAAAAACCCATTGTATGCATTGGTATTTTTGTGATAAAACAGGACTGAATCAAGGATGTGGGAACACGGATCAAAATGGAGAGAAGCAAGAACACAGCATGGGGGAGTGAATAAAGAAGAGCGAAAGACTAAAAAGAGTAAGGAAATGTCAACTGTGCAAGCCGCAAACAAAGTTATATTGGTAGATCTGAAAACAGACAAAGTTAGTCTTTTACCCTAGTGATGACAAGTCTGTTGTGTATTTTGCATAATCAGTAAAACAGTTATTTTACCACAATCCACAGTTACAGAGTAACATAGGCTTGAAAAGCACCAGGTAATTAATTTACTGTAAACAATGCAGATTCTCCAAAAAAAAAAAAAAAAAAGTGTTTACTGCAAAAAGCCTGCAGGGAATGATTATACTCACCATAGCAACTATATTGAGCTGTAGTTGTTCTGGTGACTATATTGTCCATTTAATAGTTTTATTTTGTCGGTTTGCACATCTCTATTTCCATAATTGTATTTGTACTATAAATGCATTTTTAAAATATGCATTCCCAAAAGGAGCAGACCAGGAAGATTCAAAGTTTACGGACTTTTACAGTTTCTAACTTTCAAGTTAGCATCTGAGTGACTGTCTTGTAACAAAACATCACATTAAAGAGTGTGTGAGGACATTAACAGTTGTTAATTTTGTGCACCAATACTTTCCTTTGTCATCAGTTCATGTGTAAGCAAACATGTTGGGGTTGTCCCTGTGCGCTTTATACACAAAAATAAAACCAAAGCATTAATATGTCTTCAGATCTGCATATTGCTGTTCAGACTTCCAAGCCATTAAATGTTTTATATTAACAGTATCAGTATGAGGACATTACATAAGTGAGCCTGTCACGACAGATCTAGTAATAACTGTATTATGTCCATTATTGCCAGCATCAATCATGTTTCAACGGCGGTCACCCTTGTTGTAAGACGCATCTCTCCTGCATATTCCTGTCTGTTCTCTCTCTATTCACAGATTGACGGTCCAAAGCTGCGGCAATAAAACATTGACTTTCTTTCCTGTCTCCATGCTGCTGCTGGTGACTCTCTCACACAGAGCCTGCAGCTCCGCTCTACTTCCCATTGCAGCCATTGCTTTTCATTAGACTGAATTTTTGCAGGAGAGAAGCCCAGTTGAGGGTTTTTCCTAAAACAGACATGCTGAGCACAGCTTTCTTATCTTTGTGGTGATCATCTCTGATTTAACTCAGACTGAACTGGCTGAAATTCATCTCTAATTTGGGGGAAATCTAGACATTTACAAGCAACTTTGCAATTACAATGTAGAGATGAAAATCAGATTCTCTATCATTTAAGATTACGTTTTATTTGACAGGTACCGTTGAAGGGTGTGACAAGGGAAGCAGTCCAGTTTGAAATCTTGTGAACAGGTGGCCAAATTAACAGAAAAGAACGTACAGCCAGCAAGGTACTCTCTCATCTGAAAATATGTTGGTCATTTGGAAGTCAAACTTACAGTGTTTTTGAAGAAGATAACCATTACAATACCTTAGTACTGTAAACCATTCTTGGATTATAAGGTCCATGCTACAACATGTATTCCTAACAATATACTACTAGAGTACCAATTTAAGTGCCTCTAAGGAGTTGGAAGGATATTGTGAATCCGCAGCAAAACTAAGCACTGCACCAATCAGCATCTCCTCACAGATGCACTGCATCTCTATGGCGAGCGCGCCAAGTCTCCATGTAGTGTGTGTGGACATGCTAAACGTAGGTGCTGCACACAGTGCAGAACTGAAATATAAAGCACCTTTAATGGCTGTCTGAGTGACAGCCACTAGAGGTGCTACTTGGCAGCAATGTGAAAACCGCCTTTTCTCTGAAAAGGCAGTGTTTTCACTGCCTAGCCGGCAGGGACACACTATAGACCCACAATCACTACATCAAAGGACTACTAAAGGTAACCAGACCACATCCTCAATGAAGTGGCCAGGGTGCAGTGGTCCTGTAGTTTTAACTCTGCAATGTGCAGGGTTAAACACAACTCTCGTGGCTATGTTCCAGACAGCAATTAGAGGCGTTTCTTCAGCAACGACAATTGGACTGTCATGTGACATTCAACATCCTATGAGAAGCATTTGATTTGCCATTCATGTGCATCTCGTTCCAAAGCTTCTCTATGAGGGGCATTGGATTGGACAAGAAGCCTAGAATACAGTTCCCAACACTTTGGATAAAGCCATGTAATTGTCGAAACACGTTAAGTGTATTTTGAAAAAGTTTTATACAGCTGCTTGCTGCTGAACGCGAACAACTACATCCTTGGTGGGGATAAATCCACCTATACCTGTTGGATAGAGCAATCCTTATTTGCTCTACTAAATGTGAGTAGCTTTTTACATCAACCTCTTAATTTTCACTCCATACGGTGTACAATATTTTGGTTTTGTTTTCCCCCTATTTATATCATCGGAGAGAAAACACCAACCACCGATATCCAAGAGTGGGGGGATTATACCACTTCACGTTTAATCTGCAAAGCAGCTTTCCAGGCTCCGGGACATGCAAGTGCATACATTCATATGCTTTTATTTGATGTACTGCACTATAAAGTTTATTTCCCATATATCTACGAGAGTCACCACCACTACAAGAATCTACTGTAAGAGTCTACACTCCACCATATCCGCAGAGATTATCCCGCCCAGGAGCTTAAGTTAGAGCTACATCTAAGCTCCTAAAATGTGTGAGTGGGCTTACTTCTATTTAATATTTATTGGAACTGTTACATAATTCACTATTATTGTTCCATTTTCCCTTGTTTTTATTATATATACACACTTCAAGGACACCCTGGGCACTACACCTTCTCCTGTATTTTTATAAGCCACCACCTATACAGAGCAGAAGGAATTTCCTAATAATATATCAAAGCCTAGTAGATACAAAGCTTATTACCATATAACAGTACAAAAAAGCACCCAGTTGAGACCATAATTATTGTTATATATTGTTATGTATTTGGAAGCAAATGACCCACATTGAATTATCAATGACTAAAAAACCCACACTAAACCAGAAACATATTGCAATTAAATATTGGAAAGTTTTTGAAGCCAGTTAGAATACCATCTTTTTTTTTTTATTATTTATTTTTTTTTAAACAGTCGTATTTGTTATAATATCTTTTTCCATTGTTAATTGAAATGTAATTTGGTCAATCAAACAGGATTTCTGGAATAAATTAGAGGTCTTCCATTGTCTAGCAATAATGATTTTAACTGCAACAAAGCAGTGAATGGCAAAACAAATATATTTTTGTGACTAATTGCCAATTCAAGTGTAAAAGGACAGTGGCTGGATTTTTGTTGAGTTTAATAAGTAACTATATGAAAGATATTAAATGCCCATACCCAAAGTGAATTAATACCCAAAGTGAATTAACTAGTGGGCAGTTCCACCATATATGAATATATGTGCCAGGGTAGGAGCCACATCTACAGAAAGTAGAAGCGTATGTTTCATACATTCTTGTCAATCTTGTTGGACTAAAATACCATCTGTGTGCAACCTTAAAGTGGCATTCAGTCAGATTAAAACAGTGTATATGTTTGTTTATATTAAGGAGACTAGCCAATCATTAAGGGGTGTGACGAAGTGCCCTTCGCCACTTGGTCCTGGAGAGGCCTACTTGCCAGCCTCCTCCCCTGTGACTATGACTCTTTCATGTATCTGGCTTTAAAGCCCCTAGTCTACCTTCAGACAGACTATTTATGTAGGCTGCGTTATTTATCTTATGTTTTAGTCACCCTGTACCCATTATAGGTGCAGGGTGTGTGTAATGCAATTGTTTATGGTGTGTGTGTGTGTACTGTGTAATGTATTGCCTGCTCTCTTGTATTGCTGAGGTTTGCTACCAACTAGGTGGGTTTGGCTATGGAGCTTGTCTAGTGCCCTCTGTTGGTAGCAACAGCAATATGAACTACCTGAATTGCAAGACTGGTTCATTTGCATATTCGGGTAGATTTGCATATTGCTAATTCTGCAGGCAGGTGAGATATTTACTGTTAAATATTGTCTCCCCCCACCCCTTTAAAAATGTGCCATTGTGTTGTGATAAGTCACTGTGTGTTGCTTGATATGGTTTGACTGTTTGTGATTTTATTGAGGTTTCACAACAATGTTATTGTGGTGACCCTATTGGCTGGTCCCAAGTGAAATAAAGGTTTTGACAGTTCTTCTTGATCCCTCTAAATGTAGCCTTGTCTCGTTATTGGAGGGAGCTGTTATAATCACACTGGGGATTGCTATGCTCTGCATGCTCCCCTGAGCTTGAGTCACTTAGCTCTTTTAAGAGCTTGTTCCTGACAGTTGGAGGAGGGGTCTTCACCACACAGTCCTGGATGCTGGAGGTTCATACAGGGTGGAAGGGAGAGTTCTTTCCCACACAGTCCTGGAGGACAGAAGCTGATCCAGGGTGGAAGGAAGACGGCGAGACTCCAGTCAAGATACGGCGGTTGCGGAGTCTGTGGTGGTTGTGGTGTCTGCTGCAGTACTTGGGAGCCCTCAGGAAGCGCTAGGAGCATCCGTCAACGGAGGGTACTCGGTCGGAGTACAGGGAGCTCCGTTACAAGGGGTATCACTAAATTTAATTCCCTCTCCCAGGTATTGATCAGTTTATGGGGGATGATCCTAGATTCATCAAGTAAGGAGATGGCAACAGAAGTAACCTTAGAAACCGTTCGATAGCAAAATAAAGTTTCCAATTTCTTAGCCAATGGGAAAGAGGTTAGAATAACATTTTTGTATAAAATGTTTAATTCGAAGGTAAGTAAATATCTCTCTAGGAGAGATATGTATGTTATCGACAATCTGTTGAAAGGACAAAATAATATCTCCTTGCATAATGTCTGAAATACTTAATGAATCAATATTTCCCCAGGAAGTCAATGAGAAATCATTCATTGATTCAACATACTTTGCCTCATTGATGTGCATTGTAGTCACCATCACAAAAAAAATAATATCTACAATTTAAATATCTACACAGGAAATTTGTTACTTTTCAATCATTCCATTAATTTCGCATTTGAATCAAACACTTCTCTTTTGCCCTCATATATCAAACTTAATTTTAAAGGGAAGAGCCACCTATATCTTATATTTTGAGTTCGTAGAATTTGGGTGGCAGAGCTGAACATTTTCCGTTTAGATCTAGTTTCAAATGATAAGTCCTGGAACACCTTGACATTCTGGAAAGGGCCCAAAGAAAATGGATTTAGTCTGGCAGCTTTTAAAATCGATTCCTTAAAGTCAAATGAAAAGAAGGATACCATGAGGTCACGAGGTAAATCATTCTGGATTGATTGCGGTTTGAATAGCCTGGGACACCTTTCTATAGGTTGTTCTGATGAATTATATGTAATTCCCAACGCAGATATATATTCGGTCACAATTTTTTTAACGTCGTCCTGGGTTCCCTTCTCTGGTAAGTTTCTAAAGCGCAGGGTTTTCCGCCTAGAACGGTCTTCTAAATCGCTCACTTTAAGTTCAAGGTCTGAAATTTTGCGGAGTGCCTTTTGGCAATCATCATTCAGGTGATTTACTTGGAGGTCCATATCTTTTAATTTAACCTCAAAACCATCCATTTTCGCTGCAAGCATATTTATTTCCAATTTTATATTGGATTTTATTTCTATGGCTATTACAGCCTATTCAGATGTTATCTCGTCTAAATTGGCCTTTAAATTAGTACGTTTCCTTATCAGGATTTTGTATACCTTCTGACTCTCTACTCTCTGAGCTGAGGTCCATATCAATCATCCTCTGCTTAAAGGACCACTCTAGGCACCCAGAGCACTTCAGCTTAATGAAGTGGTCTGGGTGCCAGGTCCCTCTAGGATAAACCTTTTTTTTTTTTTTTAGAAACATAGCAGTTTCAGAGAAACTGCTATGTTTATAAATAGGGTAATCCAGCCTCTAAAGCCTCTATTGGCTGTTTCATTGACAGCCGCTAGAGGCGTTTGCGTGCTTCTCACTGTGAAAATCACAGTGAGAAGACGCCAATGTCCATAGGGAAGCATTATGAATGCTTTCCTATGAGACCGGCTGAATGTGCGCGCAGCTCCTGCCGCGAATGCGCATTCAGCCGAAGAGGAGGATCGGAGGCGGAGAGGAGGAGGAGAGCTCCATGCCCGGCGCTGGAAAAAAGGTAAGTTTAACCCCTTTCCTCTCTCCAGAGCCCGGCTGGAGTGGGACCCTGGCCCTGGAGTAGGTTTTCCTGGCACTATAGAGACTGAGCACTGGGAGTGCAGAAGGAAGCAGTCAAGGCTGGCTTGGAGCACTGGGAGTGCAGAAAGGAAAGCAGCACGCTAGCTGAGAGCATTGGAGTGCAGAAAGGAGAGCAGAGTGTTGCTACCTAATAAGGTTGGTGCAACCTAACGATATGGTTTGTTAGTTTAACCCTGATAGAGAGGGATATTAAAAGTGAGTCAGTGCTCAGACGAGCTAGGTTTTTGTTTAACCCCTTAAGGACCAAACTTCTGTAATAAAAGGGAATCATGACATGTCATGTGTCCTTAAGGGGTTAAAGGGGAATCCTGTTATATTTATGTTTTAGTTGTGTTGCTGTGTGGACTTGCCAATAAAATAGCCTGGATTATATGAAAACCAAAGGACTGTGCTATCTGCAAACAAGGATTATAATATAACTGCTGATGCTTGCGTCAAAATTGACGTACTATGCCATTTGGGTAACTTTGGACTTGCACGTTCTGGCCTCGCCCATGTGATGCTAGCCAAGAGCATAGCCCCTGTGCCTACTTAAGGCTCTCCTCTTGATCCAGTCTTTGCCCTGTCGTGGTTTCCTTGTGGTTCACAGTTAGCATATTTATTGTCTTTGGCAATTTAGCCTTTGCACGTTTTCTTACAGTGTATTTTTGTAATCCTGACCTTGCCTTGTTTATGATTTCCACATTGCGTTCAGCCTGGCCGCTTCTATGGACCAATAATATTCTCTGTCTTGTGGTGAGATATAGTGAATACTGATAATACTATATTTGTGTGTGCAACCTTATGTAGGATATTTTGAAAACTGCCAATTATATTGCATGTATAATATTAAAGTTATATTTGAAGGGCAGTGGAATAAGCTTAATTAGCAATACACATCCTCAAATGTCTCAAAACCCCAAAAAATGTTTACAGTAAAAACAGTTGAACCATGTGTGGTTTAGCACAATCGCACTTTCCATGTCAATTAATACGCAACTCCCACCTCATAGTAAGGCCACAGAACACTTTGCGTCAATTTTTTTTAACTCCTGTCAGCCCGTGTCACAATTATGCTTAATCAGACCACTTCTTATCTACAATGTTTAGAGAGGTGTTACATTTCCGAGGTAAACTGCAAATTAAGCATAAACAATTTGTGAAAAAAACAAACCATAAAACATTGTAATGCCGAAACAATGGATGCATACTAAGCTCATGCAGCTAGAAAATGGTGTAGTTTTTACAAGCTATTAATTTGTTAATTTTTTCAAAAGTATTTAGGGTATGATGTAGAACATCACACACCTGCTGACAATACTACAGACACACAGAAAATGTAGTGTAAAAGCTTACTATTCTTATAACAGACGTTTTAAAAAGGAAAAACAAAATGTTGAAAAAATAGAAATGCAAGTGACCTACTTATGAAAATAGGAAAGTAGCCTATCGAAATACAGGCTGGTTTAGAGAATACAGACTCTCCAAACACAGCAGAATGTAAACAGCCTGACTACGTGTACTTTTAACAAATATAATTGAGAAAAAAAAAAAAAAAAGCACAAACAAAAATAGCAGATATTTTAAATGAAAGATGATGCGGCATAATATTTTCATTATAATGTGCCCTGAACAGCAAGCCTGCTTTTTTTTTTATTTATTTTTTTACCGTTTCCTCTTTTTTCTGCATGATGTGCATCGAATATGGCACAACACTTACAAAAAGTAATTGGTCATTTCCTTGTGAGTTAGAACATATCTTTCCATTTGTCTTTCTTTGTGAAACATGCAAACTTAATAAAAAAAAAAAATTTATTCGCCGGGTTCTTACGGACATCCTAAACTTGCAGGAAATGGTACATTTATTTCACAACAGTTCATTATCATTGGCTGCCTCTTACTGTGGTTAAACACTTCCTCTTTTCTGTGACTTGCTACTCTCCTAACGAAATAAACTTCCTATTTTTAAACAGGCCTGGTGTATTTCTCCTTATATTGATATGTCCCATTTATAGCACTGCCTAATTTGTATTTTTATCAATATTTTCCTTTGATTCTTTGTGTGCACTTGGACATTGCATATTTTCTTTGTTTCTTTATATAAAATAGACTTTTTCTTGTTTCAGCCAGTGTTTAGCATTGCGCTCTCAGCAAAGGCTTAAAGGGAAATGTCACTTCTCTGTAAATGACACCATTTAATAAAAATCTGAACATGACCTATAACTTTTTCAGGTGATGCACAGTTCTCTTTAATGTATATAAAAGATTATATAACAATCAGGTTTATTCCAAGCACCGCCAAAATACACTTTGAAAATGTGGAGGAAAAAAACAAAACATTTGTGCCGTTTCTCCTCCTTTCTAAGTGCTAACTCTCGGCTGACTGCCAGGTGCAAAGGACAGAATCTTATACCAGTGTTTACAGTCTCTTTTTTCAGTATATAATCTTTATCAAATACGGACTAAAACTGCGATGGAATTGCACTGAAATTCCAACAAAATCCAACAATCATCCAAAAAGATAAAATAGGGACTACTATGATAAAGCCTGAAGTTGTCAAAGTTGACAAAGGGAGGAGCTCCTCTGTCAACTTCTGTCCAATCCAAGCAGTCGGCACAAATGATGGCTGCAGGATTGAGGCTCTCTCTATAAAGGTTTTTTTTTAAGGTCTCCTCCATAGACCTCAGAGTTGAGCAAGAATACAGCACTCTCCCCCAAAGACCTCACAAATGCGTGAGAGTACAGCACTGACATGACTTCTGACAGCTCAAGTGCATGGAGCCAAAAGAGATCTGCAGCATTAATATGGCAGCAGTCATGAGAGTCGTGTAAAACCCACCTCCCTGCACTCTGCTTCCAACGGACCTGTCCATTTCGGGGGTCTTTGGGTAATATGCAAAGACCTCTGAAATTGGCAGATCTGCTTTAACAGGGAGCCCAGATAGAAGAGCTCAATTGCAAGAGGTGTGGACCTCTACAATGTTATTTTTCGCACCGCACACATACACACACACACACATATTTGTTAAATGTAGTAAATAAACAAAATATTAAGGACTAAGTGAAGGGACAGCAGAGTATCAGGTTTTATTTATAGATTTATGAAACAGGAAAGATTTTGTGGTAAATTGTTACGAAGACACTCACAGATCAGACCAACGTTAAAAAAAATTTATTGAAATTTTGAGGAGAGAAAAAAAAAAACAAAAAAAACTCGGGAGCAAAGGAATGGGTACGTTCATATACAAATGCATGACAAAACAAACTGGTGAAAATATGTAACAAAACTGAAGCATTCAAGACATGCTACATAATATATCTCAGTGTGGAATTACTAAACCATTGGTCTCCAAGTGCGAGGCCTTGAGGTAAGAGACAGAGGAGAGGCATACACAGCAGACTGACCTGGGTTGGGAATTTTCCTCATACATACGTTCCTTTCCCTCTTTGAACAAGCTGATAGTTTGCTTTGTTTTCTTTAAAAGGTTTTCCATGAATACCCGGAAATATTCATTTTCTCCCAGTGTTTCCATTTTCCCCTCATAACGAGACATAATAGTACGAAGGTGCTGGTAGGTGTCTGGAAGCAGGTCCAGTATATATGGTGGACTGTTCTTTAAGGCCAGCCGCTGGTTCTGGCATAAACGGACTACCTACATGTGACAATAGGAGGTTTGAAAAGTTAGTTTTGGGATATTCGATATGTTTTACATTATTGAAATTTTACCAACAACGAAATTGTTACATCCAAAACTTAGAATAAATAAATTAATTCTTATGATGCACTGCAATAAAAAAATAAATAAAAAAAAAAAAAGGTGTTTCAATATATACCTATATAATATGTAATCAATATCTTATTAAACTGTATTAGCAAGGCATGATACTATTTGACAAAATAAAAATTAGCCAATGTAAAAACTGTTAAAATAATTTTGAGAGGCAAGTAAACAAACATGTATTTAATAAAACCAATATCTCCCAGCGCAGAGCAGTCTCATCAGTACAGGAAATCTAGGTGATAAAACAGTGATTCTGCAGATGCAAAGAGGGATGATCTCCATTAAAGAGACACTAGGCACCATCTCACTGTAGGTATTTTCCCCATGATAAATTATGTCCAAAACCAGGACTATAAAAAGGAGAAAAGGTTTTTTCACACCAGGATTCCTTAAGAAGTCAAGAAGGTGCTTAAAAGTATTTTTTGATGCAATTAGGAATAACTAGCAGCGGATATAGAATATTTGATCAATGAAAATATCACACTCACTCAAATTGCAATTCGCTAGAGAAAAGGGATACCTTGGAGTAATTACCAGGTTTTCAAAACATTAAATGTGCATTAAAAAATAAAAAAGTGTTTTTCAAAGTTCAGATATGAAAGAGAATGTAAAAATGTACCTACATATAAAGGTTAGCCTACATCTCTTGCTTGCAAGTAGTACACCTAGATGAGGTCCAATTAAAAGCTAAAAGTTCAGTCTAAGCACCGTAGGCACTTCTGAAAGTGGGCCATAGCAGCAGTGATGTACACAAAGTCAGTCCACTAGGGCTTTCAACCAGCCCTTTTAGATCAATCCTGTCTGAACGGTCTGTGTGAAGTGTGCATGCTGAATAAACAATAGCAAAAGCTTGATTGCTAAAATGCCACAAATGACCAGAATTTGATAGATATGATTTTTTGAAAGTTATAGGGCAAACATTGCAAGGAGAGGATTGCAGTTTTAAATGGATAAGTTAAGCACCAAAGTCAGTTGATCTTATTGAAGCAGTTTTAGTGTATAGATCGTCCCCTGTAGTCTTATCTCCATATAGTTTTTAAAACAATGACATTTGGACACGCAGATAAGAAAATGGAGAGACAAATAAAAAACTATTTATTTTTAACAGCCTGGGTAGCCGAAATGTTCAATTCTACTTGTAGTTACACCAATGAGAGTGCATCACTTTTTCTATATAAAAGTATGTGATGTAAAGTATCCTCCTCGAGGGATACCAGATTGGTTATGAAAGGTTGTCCCCTCACAGGTTTACTTCAGTTCCTAGATGAGACAGATGAGCAAAGTGACCACATAAACAGATTAAAGTGCCACCGCCTGGGGACTTTGCAGAACTTGCGTGACAGTACAGCATTTGAGGTTTATGGAGGAACCAGTGAGAGCGTGGGATTCTCCATAGATGAAGCCAATTTCCGGCGGGGGGAATTGACACTTCGAGACAATAGTAGCTACCCTCAGTATCTAGAAGTATCAGGCATTGGAAATATACAGAGACAAAGTAGTCCCTACTTTGTCTCAGTATTTCAGTGACATTCCAACAGTCAATATGAGTATTTCATAAAGACTACTTTTATAAAATACTCATCTGGCAAAAATAGAATATAGATTTTACATTGCACTTCTAGGAATAAAGGGAAAGTATGTGTTTCAACATATTCTTTTAAAATTACTTCAGCAGAGAACAGCCCCACGGCAACAAATACACATACTGTGCAAGAGTTTCAGGCAGGCGTGAAAAACACTGTAAAGTAAGAATGCTTTTAAACATAGAAATGCCAATCGTTTGGTTTTATCACTTAACAAAATTACCATCCTTCTACATCAAAATAACCAATTTTTATAGGTTCATTTGCACACAGATGTTTTTTGGGGAACTTGGTTAGGTAGGTTGTTCCAAAAGACATTGGAGACCTAACCACCACTTTTTTTTGGATATAGGCAGCATCTGTGGCTTTTGTCCCTTCGTGTAATCCTAGACAGACTGTTGAAATCAGGGCTTTGTGGGGGTCTTTCCCTTGGGCAACTACATGTAATTCTTTAAAAGGTACACTCTAGTCACAAGAACAAGCACAGCTTAATGTAGTTGTTCTGGTGTGTACAGTCTTTCCCTGCAGGCATTTTAATGTAAACACTGTCTTTTCAGGCAAAGGCAGCATTTACATTTCTGCCTAGTATCACCTCTAGTGGCAGTCACTCAGATGGCCAATAGATGTGCTTCCTCGGTCAGTGCTGCACAATGTACAGCATTGACTTTTAGCGTCTCCCTACTCTCTATGAGAAAATACTGACTGGTGCACAGCGTTGTTTTGCTGCGCATTTGCATCAGCCTCCCAATGCTTTTCAATGAGAGAACATTGGATTGGCTGTTCTGAGATAGTCAATTCTGATGATCTAAGCCAAAGAGGTGGAGTAGGGGAAAAGCCAGTGCTGGGGGACTCACACGGCGGAATAAAGGGGACTTTTTCACCTTTTTAAGGGAGGGCAAAAGGGGGCCGGCACCGAACGCGTTTGTATTTCTGACCCTATAGTATTCCTTTAAGTTCAAATCCAAAAGGGTTACTCTATTTGAAAAACTGTGTTTTAATAAAACACTGTTCCAGGTTAGAGTATTTTTTAATCCTGCCTCCCCTACTTACAATATATAAATAATATTTTCCTTGGTAAGTACCCTCAGCCCGATTTTCTTTAGATGATGCCACTGCCCCTCGCTGGATAGGGAGGACGGACTGAGGAAAGAATATAGGAGGCACAGGAAAAGGGGCATGCAGCCAATGGACACCTGTAACTGGCATACTGTATGGGCTGACATCAGGTGTCCAATATGACACCACAATGAAGCTGCCGTAGGTGGCATTCTTTTTTATTTAACTACTTCTGTAATGTACACAGTGTTGTTAGCAATAATGTAATTACTAGTTTGAATGCAAATGCTGTCATTACTTACTAAAGAGGAAATGTCACTTCTCTGGATATTACACTAATGAAAAAATAATCAATGAAACTTGAGTTAACTTTTTTTTCCAGTGACACTCAGATTTTTTTTTATTGAATATTTTTCAAATTATATCAGAATCCAGCTCAGTCTACGCAATGTCAAGGTACTCGGCAGATTGTACCCAGGTAAATTGTCAAAATGTTTTAGTATGGTTTGGCATCTTACAGTAGAAGGGCGACAACACTACTGGCACCATAACACTAGAGGGCTATGGTGCTTGGAGTGCCCCTTCAATAATAAAGAATCCAAACAAAAGCCATATTAATATAACGTTCGATATTATATTAGGAAGTGCATGATATAATTTTGCATTCTTATATGTAGCACTGTTTTATGGGAAAAAAAAAAGAAAAAGAAAAAAAAAAAGTGTATGCAAACCCTTTTTTACATATTTATGTAGCAGTGAAAGGATTAATCAAATATTAAATGCAGATTAGGGTACTGGGACTAGACAGACAGATGATGGAGATTAGTATACACCAACTGCTTCCTACTGGACATATTTAAAAGTGTGCAGTGCAAACTGACAGCAAAGCATCCAAGTTACCTTGTTTTTTTTATTTTTAACATGTGCTTGCTCCTATAGGTCCTAGAATAGCAGTAAAATTCATTGTTTCCACTTAAGACAGTTTTGGGTTTTCTCTAGAACCAGAGACTTTATGTAAAGCCACAGTTAACACAGAAGTGTTAGTTTCACAGATCACCTATGTAGTTGTAAAACATCAACTTCACATTAAATGGACCACTATAGGCACCCAGACCACTTCAGCTTAAATGACCACTATAGGCACCCAGGCCACTTCTGCTTAATGAAGTGGTCTGGGTGCCAGGTCCAGCTAAGATTAACCCTTTTTGCTGTAAACAGTTTCAGAGAAACTGCTATGTTTCCCTATGGGTTAATCCAGCCTCTAGTGGATGTCTCATTGACAGCCGCTAGAGGCGCTTCTCACTGTGATTTTCACAGTGAGAAAAGACGCCAGCATCCATAGGAAAGCATTGAGAATGCTTTCCTATGGACTGGCTGAAAGTGCGCACGGCTCTTGCCGCGCATGCGCATTCAGCCGATGACGGAAGAAGAGGCAGAGGGAGCCCGGCGCTGGAAAAAAGGTAAAATTTAACCCCCTCCCTGCCCCTTCAGCGCCACGGGAGTGGGACCCTGAGTGTGTTTTCCTGGCACTATAGTGGTCCTTTAATGAAGTGGTCTGGGTGCTAGGTCCATCTAGGATTAACCCTTTCTGCTGTAAACCTCACAGGAACCTCTCAGACACTGGAAACTATACCCCGAGGCTCTGCGGCCTAGCAGCGACCAGGCGGGGGAGAGGTGGCCGCTCTCCTACTGCTTTGCCTGGCGGTGAGACTCTCATACGAGGTCCCCCCACGGTGGAGGTCATCCCGGTCCCTACTGGCTGGTGCAGCAAACACACGCTATACCCAAAAGACCGACATCTACCACATGGAGACTAATGCACCGAAAATGGCGGACGAGTTCCCTGAGCAGAGGCAATTGCTGCACGGACAGGAGCTGTTACAGCCCAACTCCACAGTTGACATACTGCAACGCATAGACAGGGCATTTGAGAGATTTTGGCGGCAACTTGAAGTTAAAACGCTGACCTCACAGCCCACGCTGCATCGGAGACAACGCATCGACGGGGACCTTGGAAACCCTGACCTCCCAGTGGGGAAATCAACCCAGAACATACCTGAAAATAACCCACGAGAGAGAAGGGCCACAACCGCTGCTGCTGCAATGCCCAGGCTACAGCAAAGGAAACCAGATACCCGCATCAAGCGCAAGGCAACCCGAGCTCCTCTCGGCACTAGGACGAAGATGATGCCAACCTCATATTTGGCTCTGACCCACAGAACCCAGCGACAGATCTCCAAACAGGCCAAAAATAAAATAGATGGGGCTCCGAGACACATACTGCGTGCCACAAGATGCAGGGACTCTCCCGCGATCCCGAACAGGGGCAGGGACTGTAGATGCTACACCCCACTGCAGCCCAGTGGACATGTTACAGATCCAGAATATGTACAGCCACAGATGGGCATTGGTTAGACATGATAACCTTACCTAGCATATACCATGCTCCAAGCAATACCTTACGCTCCTATAAATTTGTAGTTACTCAGATCTTCCATTTAGATCCAAAGTTCAGCCTGTCTTATTATACCTTAAAAAGTGCAGAATACTCACATGCCATGACACGATATTTTGATGTATGTAACTATTGTGATTACCACTGCCGTCATGGCATCATATGCATGTAGGTCAATCGATGCACAATAAAAATAAAGAATAAAAAAAAAGAAAAGAAAAAAAAAAAAAAAAACATTAAAAAAAATTACAATCTATTTCAGTACAGGCACAGCCAAAGCACACATTACAATGGAAGAAAATAAATACATTTGACTTGTTTTCAAACATGGCAAACCTGTATTCCCAACACTAGTTCCCCTGTCCCTAGTAGCATCCAGCCCCCTCCCCCACCCCTTTAACAGTATAAAGATTAAAAAATATAAAAAACTTTTTACACACCCCTCTTCCAGCACAGCTTCCCATGACCTTCTCCAGCAATGGTCAAATCCAAATCACCACCATCAGGGACCTGATGTGCATATCAAATACTTCTTATAGAAAAGCATAGATTTCAATGATTTCCTACAAGCTTCCACATCAAGTGAGTTCTACTCAGTCAGTGCGGTGGAAGCCCCTCTACTGGCTGGCTGGAAGACTAATATTTTACATTGCAGGGTTACAATGACAGGACCACCCAAACCATTTTATTGAGAGGAAGAGGGCTGGGTGATTATAGTAGCAACACCTGACATACAGTAGCAGCATCTGTTATTTACCTACAGGTTTCTAACCTTGTTGCCATTATTTACTGGCTGTGCCAAGATTGCAAAAATTCTGACCATTCACAGATTAGCCACTGGCTGATGAAGCAGAGAAACACATGCGATGTAAGCCGTCACTATAGCAACCACACCTAGGTTTAAAAAATAAAAATGGCTCAAGTGCATGCATACTTCACCATGTGATTGGGTACAGCAGGGCATGACAAATTTGCTTTGAATCTAGGAGAGTTTTTTTAAAATTTGTTTTATTTACAAAGCTTTTTTCCCCCGATGACAAAATAAAATTCTTAAAAAGGAACACTATAATAACCACGACCACTACAGCTTAAAGGGACACTCCAGGCACCCAGACCACTTCTGCCCATTGGAGTGGTCTGGGTGCCAACTCCCACTACCCTTAAGCTTGCAACTGTAAATAGTGTAGTTTTCATAAACTGCAATATTTACCTTGCAGGGTTAACTCCTCCTCTAGTGGCTGTCTACTGGACAGCCACTAGAGTGCATTTCCAGGTTTCTAGCACAGATTTTCTGTGCTATAGCGTCGCTGGACGTCCTCACGCTATGTGAGAACCTCCAGCGTCGCTAAATTCCCCACAGGGAAGCATTGAAAGCATTTTTCAATGCTTTCCTATGGGGAGGTCTAATGCACGTGCGCGGCATTGCCGTGCATGCACATTAGGTCTCACCCCGCCAGTCAGATACACATCTATGTGGGGTTCATTGCTATTGGTTATTGCTAACCAGGAATTTTTTTATTTAAATGAAAAAATATATATAGAAAGAATAATTGCATCATGTGTCTGGCCTTTTGATTTATTTTATTGCTCTTTAAAAAGATATGCTCAGGTAAGTGCTTTTGAGTTTCAATGTAGTGCCATACAGTGATTGTGAATTTGTCCTATAAAATGTCCACCAGGCCAGAGGTTGGTGGAAAGTTTCTTTGTTTAGCGGCAGGGATGGAAACCGCTTGCTAAGTAGGTTTGCAGCTCCGACAGAGAATAATGCGAGGTGCAAACCTCTATTTGACAACTGGCTTTCAATAATGACGGCTGGCAACTTCTTGTTGCTAGTTACATTTTGTCAGTAAGCAGCAGATAAAAGTAGAGACAGGAATTTTGGCGAGTAACGGCTGGCCAATTAACAGTAGTGACAACATTAGAAACTAGTTATTACTTGTCTTTCCTCTTCTCCAAATGGTGACACGAGCAAACGGTCAAGTTAATAATGGGTAGAGAACCACGATGGAGACACAAGGTTTCAGAGATGAAGTAGTAAAATGCAGCAGTGGATTGATATATTTGACAAAGACATTTATTAAAGGAACACACCAAGCACCATACCCATGCATGTTGCAGCCCCCTAATGTAGGTAATGAAAGCATTTTAAAATGGTTTGATTTCTTACCTGGGGACAGCCCGTGCCTCTACCAGGCCCCTCACAACTGAAACTTACTGCTAGGCGTGTATTAGCTCTTTAGAGCTATTCCCTGCTGTGGGGTACTGCTACTGCTTTTGCTAGCCAACCTGCGCGTGCAGACACCAAGCATGCATGGTCCTTAATCCACTTTAAAACAGCAGCTTGTTAAAACCAAACATTCTAACGCAGTAGAGGTGAAAAGATTCACATTTTCTACATTTCAATTCACTTTATTTCAGTATTTAATGAACCAACCCAATATCTTCTAAATTCACTGGGAATTCACTCCCACCTCCTACTCAATCACTGATATCACAGGGGAAAACTTGTGTTTCCTCTGCCTGGGCATCCTGGATATTAGGACTAAATTAACACTAAATAAATTATAGTTCTAAGTTATGATTTGGTTTTCTGTAAAATGACAACTGTGAATAAATATTGCTTCCTTTAGCAGAATGTGTTGTGCGAAAATGTTTGTAACGAACAAAGCAGGTAATGCAACACTAGTAAGAGCAGGATAAGTCTCCTCTACAAATGATTGGGATAAATTAGGTGACTGGGCACTCAAGCGGCTTACGAGACGTTGTAGATAATTGCAGAGTTATACAATATGGGGTGAGGAAAGTACAAGCAACTTATACCCTGAACAGCACCAAGTTAAAGGGACACAATAGGTACCAAGACCACTTCATCTCATTGAAGTTGTCTAGGTGCAGTGACCCTGTTCTCTGAGAGTTCACATTACATGGCTAAAACAGCCGCTAAGGTACTTCCTGGATTTTCACAGAGTTTAATGCATGAGGACATCCAGGGTCTTCAAAATCCCCATATGAAAGCAGTTTCCCTTGATGCCCTATTGTGTTTTTATACCCCACCTCCTCCGGATTGTAAACTCTACCTATTTTTCCTGTAACATATGGTAATTGTCTCATTTATTGTTAAATTCCCCCCTTTTATATTATTATAAAGTGCATCAGAATACGTTGGCACTATTTAAATGCCAAGAATATGTAAACTGCCTATATCGCATGCAGCACTTGCCTCGCGTGTGAATTTGGTTCACCTATTGCTGTGACATCAGAGGAGGAGATGGAGCCAGCACAGAGGTACCCCATCGATGGAAATATGGTAAGTGTTAAGTGTTTCAACCAGTGTTAATATTGTTGACTAATAAAATTAGTCAACTAAAACAATTCAGATGCGTAGACCAGCACCAAGACTCCCTCTGCCTTGGTTAGCTCTCCTTCAGCCTCCCTGATGGTCCAATTTAATGCACCTCATACAGGACCATTGGGGACCACACACACACGCATTCAAACTTTCGCACAAGAATGCTTTTCCAAGGTGCTTCCACATCACGTGGCCAATTTTTACACGGTCAGTGCAACGGAAACGTCTCTAGTGGCTGTCAGTGGGAGGACTTACCATGCAGAGTAAACATTGGAGTTTCTTAAAAAAAAATTTAAAAAAATGTTCTTGTTTTGAAATAGATTCTAGATGCATACATTGCCATAATATGTCACCTAAAATTTCTAAGAGCAGCCCCAGTACTTGCTACTCCAACAACTAACACTCCTAAAATTAAAGGGACACTATATAGTCACCTGAGCATTTGGTCAGTACTCTCGGCAAACCATAATAAACACACCCTGGCATTACTAGAACTCAGTGAGACAGCTGCTGCTCTTTGACTCATCCGTAAGTGCTGGATTGTGACTACTGTGGTCTGCACACACTCTGTTCAGACCCCTCCCCAGGAGTAGCCCTGTCCCCGTGTGTACTGTGTTTTCACGCTTTGCCCCACATAGCTTTCTGAAGTGAGCGGTATATTGTCCATTGGGGGTTAAAATACCTGATAGTCTAGTATGGAAGCATTTGGTCTGTATTTCTGGTGGGTGCAGACCACACTAACCCCTCCCTTGCATTACCAGCAACCAGCGAGTCAGAGTGCTTACTGACTCTTCAGTAAGTACTGCACCACAAGGGAGCAATTTCTGTGGCCTCACCAGCCAGCGGTGCAGACCCCACACTCCCTGCTTGGGCCCTGTCATCAACAGGAATACCAGGAGAAGCCCTTGCGCTTGCCCAGTACCCAGGCATGTCCTGAGTGTCAGGTGAAAGAATTCCTCACCCCTGATAATTATCACTAAAGTCGAGATGACTGGTTGAACGGTCACAGCCGATTAAATGCTCGATTTATTTCTTATTGACTGTATAAGAAATTAATGCAACACTTTGATGACCTAACATATACCAGTCATTCACCTTGTAAAAAGCACTTCTAACAGTACACTGTGAGCACGATAATTATACGTTTTCTGAAGGGCAAAGCTATGGGCCTGTAGACGTGAGAAACATGGTTTCTTTTCTGGGTAAAGACACTTCTTTTACATGTATATCTCTTCCTCTTCGAAGCGTGAGACCACAAATGGAGCTTACTTTTTTTTCACAAAAAACATGCATATATCATTATACAAAATAATCCTAACCTCTGTGCATACTGTTTTAAGCATATTTAGTCAAACGTCCTTTTCACCCCAGGAGTAAAAATGTAAGCCATTCATAGTGACCAAAGACACCAGTACAGTTGCACGCAGGTGTCATTCATTCCTATACAATAAGCACATGACAACTAGAATACTAAAATGTTTTACATATTCATCAAATGGCAACTAGTATTCACTCAGACATTTTAGCCACTTTCTAGTTGGACATTTAAATTATATATGCCCACACAGTTGCCTGGGGGGCGTGGGGGGAGAAGGGGAAAATTATAATGCAGCTACAAAAGTGCCAGTTTAACCCCTTAAGGACACATGTGACATGTCATGATTCCCTTTTATTCCAGAAGTTTGGTCCTTAAGGGGTTAAAGGAACACTCCAACCCTCATACCAACAGAAGTCCATGGGGCAGGAGTGTTTGGCCACCTTCTTACCATCAGGGGTTTTACAATGGTTTAACTCAAAGCTGGGGCTCGCCGCCCAATTCTTCAACCTTTGACCCATCAATGGACACCTACTGTGAGAAATAGTACGCATGGGCATTCTCTTACTGTCAAAGACTGCTCAGCTAACCCTTCCTCATACCGCAGTGCAGAGAGGAACATAAGCTCAATCCCAAACTTTGAGGTTAAACTGTTGTCAAACAGTGGGTACCACATTTGTTATACCAAGAAAGGACAATTTGTAGTGTTTTTTCTAAATAAAGAAATTCATCAGCATCGTGCAAATGTCACATGTAGCTAAAATTACTTACTAGTATTACGTCTTTGCCTGATAAGTCTTACAGTTTTAATGGCGACACTTATTAAAGAAGAAAAAAAAAAATTTAAAAAAATTAAATACAGAGCAACTATGTCACCCTATATGGTCTTTACATAATTTTCAAAGACCCCTGACTGTGACATAACCGGCTGGATGTTTGGTGGCTTGGAGATGCAGTGAAAGGCAAGTTATACTTACCTGAACCTGTCCCTTGCCTCCTCAGCCATCACTAGTGAAGGCTGGGGGCTTGACAAGCTTTTACAAAGCGCGACTGCCTTTTTGTCAAGTGAAGGAAAATTACTAAAACTAAGTAGTCCCTACTTTGACTTAGCATATCTCTTGACTAGATTGGAATTGCATTTAGTAGTGTGTGTGGAACTGCACTCATTCCCATAAATCAGAGCCAGGGTGCTTGCTGAACCGGAATCAAACACCAGATTTCCAAAAATTAACAAAGTAATAGAGGTCCAGGCACTCCTTGGTTAAAGACAGGTACTTTATTAGGAACCACAACAGCAACGTTTCGACCCCAAAAGGTCTTGACAAGACCTTTTGGGGTCGAAACGTTGCTGTTGTGGTTCCTAATAAAGTACCTGTCTTTAACCAAGGAGTGCCTGGACCACTATTACTTTTTTAGATTGGAATTGCGTTGAATGTATGTATCTTTACAAAATACTCACTTTGGAGAGAAAAGGGGGGGAGGGGAGTGAATTCACTCTATTAACACTCAAGTCAATTTGTTTGTGGCATACTGGTTGAAGACCACCGCACAAATATTTAACAAAAAGGAGGGTGGGGAGGGCAATGATTTTCTTTTTTGCATAAAATGTTAGGGTCTGCTGGTACAGACTTGCATTTGTTGCACATAACTAAAGCGCTACCATAAGTGAATTTAGAAAAGATGCCACCCGCACACTTTGCAGCAGAGATATGCATTTTTTTTTCAACTAACCTCTGCTACACACTTCCTCAAAGTAAGCTTGCAAAGGTGCATTAAAACTGAACTGTCACCAACAAAAAGGAAGGTGATACTTCCTCTGCAAATAGTGCTGTCATTTAGGTCACCAGCTTTAAGTGTAGATGTGAGTGTGTAATTTATATTTAAACTAGATATATACATATATCTCTACACACACGAGAATGTGAGCGCAAATACACACAAACAAATCAACCCATAATCCCTACACCCTGTATCATGTGCCAGCAGGTTGCAGTTAATATGAATGGGATATAAAGAAAGACGACACAAGAAACTTGGGTCTGGGCAGTCAAAAGTAACTGGAATTAAGCTATATTTAGTGGCCCAAAATAATCATTATGGTATAAGGAATCTTCAGGACATAGTGAAACTTGAGTATATACTTGTATCACAAGTATATATTCTGGTTTAACATTTAATGAAAACAAAGATCTAAAGAAATCTGCACAAAAAAAAAAAAATTAAAAAAAAGAAGACTTGGAAAAACGTTGCATAGAGTTTGTGCAATATGTGGTGCTGTTTGTAGGATATAGGTCTAACAAACATTAAGCATTGTGTACAATCAGCAAGGACTATAAAACACTGTCACTAAAGTTCAGAATACCATTGAGGCAGTAGGGCAGTGTTTACTATAATTATTTAACAATGGGAGCATATCCAACACAGTAATTAAAGTGCAAGGTACCAGACAACTGGTTAGTGACATAAGTATCAAAAATAAGTTTACTTATTTGATACCGTACTGAAGTAATGAAAAGTCAAAGCAAGGCAACTCATGTACACAGACTTCAATGTAAACACCTCTTTGATACTAAAAATGTTTCTATACAGCAATCTTTAAACTATGTATGAGATCGATCACTTTAGATATATAGATTCCGTTAGGCACTTGTGGAAACGGAATACGCAATGTTGTAATTCTGCAGGGAATGTGTGACATGGGCATACTAGTGTGTAATTTATATTTAAACTAGATATATACTGAATACGCAATGTTGTAATTCTGCAGGGAATGTGTGACATGGGAATACTAGCTAAACCGTAAAATGACAAAACAGTTATGTTTACGCCAACAAAACCTACCAGACAGCTTATGTTATTTGCACTATGTTTGCAATTAGTTTGTTGCTTCATTGTTTAGGCAATATACTCGAGTTCATGTGAGTACACACAGTGAGCTGCAAAATAGCTTTATGTACCAATGTACAGAACCCTTGATTAACATTAGACCTTACTTTAAAAAAAAAAAAAAAAAAAAGGAAAAATTCCAGGCTCCCAGTGATGTGATAAGGTCTGAGAGAGAGTTAACTGCACAAGTAAGGTCATTAAAGTGTGCATCTTGTACCACAACACCAATCCACTTAGCGAGGCAGGGCGTATGCTGGAGAGGATACTCTGTGGTCTCAATCAATAGGTACAATGTGACATCACTGTGGCTAATCTTCTACCACTCCAGCCAGTGTGGACTACAGTTCCCAACATGCTCAGCCAGCCAAAAAGTCAAATGGCTATGGGGGGTTGGGGGAGGGGGGGAGAAGAATTTTGGTGAACGTAGACCAAAACAGCTGAAGAGCCAAAAGTAAAAACTAAGCTTGTGTTAGCCTAAAGGAAGAGAACCCACTTCTCCTCTACTGTTGTAGAACTACCAATCCCACAATGCTTTTTTGCAGCCTTAAGCCTGACGAAGAATTATGGGAAGTGTAGTTCAGCAGCAGCTGGGGGACCCCTGGATTAGGAGACCCACAGGGGGTGAGGAGGATACGGATGTGTTGTTGCGACATCGCAAACAAAAGGCTGCTGTGTGTCGGTCAGGGATGCGCGTTAGCAGTCACAGATGTAGCGACCCCAAACTGAGCTCTGGGGGGCGACATGTGACGTCACAGAGTGCAGCTATGGCGTCACTGGGGCTCGCCTGGCGGGGAGGGTTTAAACGGTACCTTGTCCATCAGCTTCCAACATTTCTCCACGGTTTTCCGGTCCACGGTCCCAGGCTGGGCTGTCGGGTGATGGTGGTGAGGCTGGAAGGCGTCTTTCACCAAGCCGATGAGCCCACCGCCCTTCCGCAGATTGGTCGCCATGGTGACCGCGGTGCTGCTGCTGTTGCTGGAAGAGGAGGTATCGCTAATAACTGGGGGGGCCCCCCGGACACAGCCCTCCCTGTGTACCGCCAGGTAGGGAGAGATGGGTCTCCCGGGGCCGAGCACCGCGCCGCCGCTGCCGTCACTTCCGCCTTTCACCGGCCGTGAGCGCGCAGGGTGGTCGCTACAAGCCGACGAGCGTGAAGTCTCAGTGGACACGCCCACCAAAGGGGCGGGGCTACGGGACACAGCGGGACGCGATTGGGCGAATATTGACTCCTTAGCCCTGCAAGGGTTAAAGACTCGCGCATGCGCGGTGAGGGGGTCGGCTGGCGGATGTGGCCATATTGAGTGTGGGCGGTTATTGCCCTGTCGCTCTATTCTGTGGTTGTGAGAGCTCAGGAAAACAGGAGTCGGACAGTCATTCCGGAGAAAGACTCACTCTAACTCATCCGGAGGTGGACAGTGTCATCTAAGGCTAGCTCGTCACTGGAGAACAATACAATCCGAGGGAAATCCCTGGGAGCCAGCTCCAACTTTATTAATCACCAATGACTTGGGACTGAGTAGCAGATATGAGCTAACCCTCTCCTGTTACACTGTGTATTATCACTGTCAGACTGTGTATTATAACTGATAGACTGTGTATTATCACTGATAGACTGTGTATTATCACTGTCACACTGTGTATTATCACTGTTACACTGTGTATTATCACTGTCAGACTGTGTATTATAACTGATAGACTGTGTATTATAACTGATAGACTGTGTATTATCACTGTTACACTGTGTATTATCATTGTCACACTGTGTATTATCACTGTTAGACTGTGTATTATAACTGATAGACTGTGTATTATCACTGATAGACTGTGTATTATCACTGTTACACCGTGTATTATCACTGATAGACTGTGTATTATCACTGATAGACTGTGTATTATCACTGTCAGACTGTGTATTATCACTGTTACACTGTGTATTATCACTGTCAGACTGTGTATTATAACTGATAGACTGTGTATTATAACTGATAGACTGTGTATTATCACTGATAGACTGTGTATTATCACTGTCACACTGTGTATTATCACTGTCAGACTGTGTATTATAACTGATAGACTGTGTATTATAACTGATAGACTGTGTATTATCACTGTTACACTGTGTATTATCATTGTCACACTGTGTATTATCACTGATAGACTGTGTATTATCACTGATAGACTGTGTATTATCACTGTTACACTGTGTATTATAACTGATAGACTGTGTATTATCACTGTTACACCGTGTATTATCACTGATGGACTGTGTATTATCACTGTCAGGCTGTGTATTATCACTGTTACACTGTGTATTATCACTGTCAGACTGTGTATTATAACTGATAGACTGTGTATTATCACTGTCAGACTGTGTATTATAACTGATAGACTGTGTATTATCACTGATAGACTGTGTATTATAACTGTCACACTGTGTATTATCACTGTCAGACTGTGTATTATCACTGATAGACTGTGTATTATCACTGTTACACTGTGTATTATCACTGTCAGACTGTGTATTATCACTGATAGACTGTGTATTATCACTGTTACACCGTGTATTATCACTGTTACACTGTGTATTATCATTGTCACACTGTGTATTATAACTGATAGACTGTGTATTATCACTGTTACACCGTGTATTATCACTGATAGACTGTGTATTATAACTGTTACACTGTGTATTATCACTGTTACACCGTGTATTATCACTGTCAGACTGTGTATTATCACTGTTACACCGTGTATTATAACTGTCACACCGTGTATTATCACTGTTACACTGTGTATTATCACTGTTACACTGTGTATTATTACTGATAGACTGTGTATTATCACTGTTACACCGTGTATTATCACTGTCAGACTGTGTATTATAACTGATAGACTGTGTATTATCACTGATAGACTGTGTATTATCACTGTCAGACTGTGTATTAAAACTGATAGACTGTGTATTATCACTGTTACACCGTGTATTATCACTGTTACACTGTGTATTATCACTGTCAGACTGTGTATTATCACTGTTACACCGTGTATTATAACTGTTACACTGTGTATTATCACTGTCAGACTGTGTATTATCACTGTTACACCGTGTATTATCACTGTCAGACTGTGTATTATAACTGATAGACTGTGTATTATCACTGTTACACCGTGTATTATCACTGTTACACTGTGTATTATCACTGTTACACCGTGTATTATCACTGTTACACTGTGTATTATTACTGATAGACTGTGTATTATCACTTTTACACTGTGTATTATCACTGTCAGACTGTGTATTATAACTGATAGACTGTGTATTATAACTGATAAACTGTGTATTATCACTGATAGACTGTGTATTATCACTGTCAGACTGTGTATTAAAACTGATAGACTGTGTATTATCACTGTTACACTGTGTATTATCACTGTCAGACTGTGTATTATCACTGATAGACTGTGTATTATCACTGTTACACCGTGTATTATCACTGTTACACTGTGTATTATTACTGATAGACTGTGTATTATCACTGTTACACTATGTATTATCACTGTTACACTATGTATTATCACTGTCAGACTGTGTATTATAACTGATAGACTGTGTATTATAACTGATAAACTGTGTATTATCACTGATAGACTGTGTATTATCACTGTCAGACTGTGTATTAAAACTGATAGACTGTGTATTATCACTGTTACACTGTGTATTATCACTGTCAGACTGTGTATTATCACTGATAGACTGTGTATTATCACTGTCAGACTGTGTATTAAAACTGATAGACTGTGTATTATCACAGTCACACTGTGTATTATCACTGTCACACCGTGTATTATCACTGTCACACCGTGTATTATCACTGTCACACTGTGTATTATCACTGTTACACTGTGTTATCACTGTCACACCGTGTATTATCACTGTTACACCGTGTATTATCACTGTCACACTGTGTATTATCACTGTCAGACTGTGTATTAAAACTGATAGACTGTGTATTATCACTGTTACACTGTGTATTATCACTGTCAGACTGTGTATTATCACTGATAGACTGTGTATTATCACTGTTACACCGTGTATTATCACTGTTACACCGTGTATTATCACTGTTACACCGTGTATTATCACTGTTACACTGTGTATTATTACTGATAGACTGTGTATTATCACTGTTACACTGTGTATTATCACTGTCAGACTGTGTATTATAACTGATAGACTGTGTATTATAACTGATAGACTGTGTATTATCACTGTTACACCGTGTATTATCACTGTTACACTGTGTATTATCACTGTCAGACTGTGTATTATAACTGATAGACTGTGTATTATCACTGTCACACTGTGTATTATCACTGTCACACTGTGTATTATCACTGTTAGACTGTGTATTATCACTGTTACACTGTGTTATCACTGTCACACTGTGTATTATCACTGTCACACTGTGTATTATCACTGTCACACTGTGTATTATCACTGTTAGACTGTGTATTATCACTGTCACACTGTGTATTATCACTGTTAGACTGTGATAATACACAGTGTGGTGGTTCGAGTGCTCTTTATTAAGTGGTCCTCCTATCTCAAGAAATGCAACCAAAACACACGAACGGAGGCATACGCACAACTAGCCGAACTTAACACAAAAAACAAAGCCCAGCCCACACAAGAATATTTAATTAAAATAAACGAGATACACACAATTATCGCCAAGCTACAGGCGGAAAAAACAAATAGCCTCCTTTATAAGTTAAGGGCTATTACATACCATACATCTGGCAAGGCCACTAAGCACTTAGCAGCCAGACTCAGAGCACGACTGACCCAGACCAAGATATCCCATATTCTCGATGACGACGGGAACAAACACATAGACCCGCAAGTGATAAGTAAAGTGTTTGCTACTTTTTACTCCAAACTGTATAACCTCCATACGGACGTGTCAATACCACATCCCCAATCCTTAGACGCGGCACAATACTTAGCGGACATTACCCTGCCCAAGGTATCAGACGACCAATACTAAGCCCTGATACAACCTATCACAGTCCAGGAAATCACCCACACTATTAAACAGCTCCCCCTGGGGAAGTCCCCGGGTGCAGATGGCCTCTCTAACGCATACTACAAGGAGTTCGGTGATTTACTGGCGCCACAGCTCCTGAAGGTGTACCAGCAGACAGCTACTACAGGCATACTGCCCCTGGAGGTGTTGCTGGCTACAATAGTGACGATTCCCAAACCTGACAAACCCACAGACACTTGCAAAAACTACAGACCTATATCCTTACTTAACACGGACGCAAAAAACTACGCAAAACTACTTGCAAATAGACTGAATACAATCCTGCCATATTTGATCCATGACGACCAGGCGGGTTTCGTGAAGGGCAGACAGGGCCTGGATAACACCCGCAAACTAGCCCTTATCCAACGAGAGCTCGGGATATCGGACCGAGGGGGTCTTCTCCTAGCGCTGGACGCGGAGAAAGCTTTTGACCGCCTCGACTGGGCCTTCCTGGAGCAAGTACTGGCCAAGTTTGGATTTCCCCCACAGACAGTTCGACAGATTTTTGCGCTCTACTCCTCACCCTCAGCTCAAGTGAATCAGACAGGCTTCCTATCCCCCACTTTTAACATTACAAATAGGACGAGGCAGGGATGTCCCCTATCTCCACTGCTATACGTCCTAGCACTAGAACCCCTCCTGCACCTTATAAGACAGAATGACACAATTCAGGGAATACACCTGGGGGGCAAGCACATCAAGATTAGTGCGTTCGCGGACAACATATTACTGTATATAGAGAATCTCCTAGACTCCCTAGCCACACTATTACAATTGCTTAAAGACTACGGACGAGTATCATGCTACTCAGTCAACGCGGCTAAGACGCAGGCTCTACCTGTCGGTATTCCGGCCCAAGTGCTCCGCACCCTTACTCACACCTACGACTTTGATTGGAGGGTGGAATCCATAAAATATCTGGGGTTATATCACCGTGTGGAATAAATGTAATCAGTTGATGAAACAATGGTCGCCACTGTACTTGTCCTGGACAGACCGCTTAGCGACACTGAAAATGTCCATACTACCAAGACTGTTGTACCTGTTCCGTACCCACCACCTCCCTCCCTCATATTTTAAGACAATACACACCGACATGGGAAGATTCGTGTGGGCGGGTGGCAGGGTCAGGGTTTTGGCGGCTACTATACAAGCCCCCAAGAAAATTGGAGGTCTAGCAATGCCAAATGTCCAAACCTATTACCACGCAGCAATATTGGCAACAGCTATCCCTCACATTGTCTCCGAGCCCAGTCCACAATGGGTTTCACTGGAACGAGACCTATTGGGCACCCGCGACATCCTACACCTACTTTGGACACCCCTACGCTTCAGGCTTGCTCATCCCCTACTCCCTACACAAATGCTACTGTTCTTTCAGATATGGGATAAATACAGACCCAGATTGGGCAACACCCCCGGTCTTTCTCTGGCGACCCCCCGCAAAGCCTTGCCCTACATTATCCCCACATTTAATGCCGCACCGTGGTATCAAAGAGGGGCGACACACCTATGCCATCTCTTTTCTGCTGACAAACTCCTGGACTACCCCAGCCTAGTGGATACATTTGCACTCCCGCACTCCTCGCTTTACTCATATCTACAATTAAAATCCTACCGGTCCAGGGAAGCGACGCGCTGCCCAGGCACCCCCAGAGACACCAATAGGATTACCGTATGGGAACAAATGTGTTTATCTGCAAAATTACTACCACATTGTAAACCGATCTCCATGTGCCTCGGCTCCATAGCTAACTACAATCACTTCTCCACCACCAAATATGCCCGACAATGGGAGAGTGACCTAAATTGTCCAGGGCCACTTAAATCTTGGGATACAATCCTCACGACCCACTCAAATTACTAAAGTCGTCAGCCCACATAGAACAACACCGCAAAATATTATACCGATGGTACTTAGTGCCAACTAGGCTACAAAAAATCTTCCCCTCCACTTCCTCACATTGTTGGAGATGCCATACACAGGAGGGCTCGATGTACCATATCTGGTGGAGCTGTCCGCGGCTACTTAGCTACTGGACAGAGGTCCACGCATTAATCCAAGACGTTACCCAACACCCCCTCCCTTTCACCCCGCTAACATGCTTAATGCTTGATCTCCCCAGAGGGATGCCCCAACACGCCAAGAAAATTATGTTACACATTGCCTTAACGGCGCAACAATTGGAGGTGGCAAGGAGGTGGAAATCCACGACCCTTCCCAAAATGGAGACTCTGATAGAGGAATTATACAAGCAGTGGATCTATGAGACATCCTACAAGTCCTTGTTCCCCCCTTCCACACTCTACCAAAAAATCTGGCAAACATGGAGATCTGGTAATGTACCAGGCACTGTACCTAACTGACCCGAAAGGTCCCCCTTACATGGCGGCTACCAATACGTGCTACATACCAAGGCAGGACCGATGGGGAAACTGACCCTGCCTGACCTCACTTGGCTTAGTACAGGTTTAATCCTACCACAATTAACAACACTGCAATCTCAAACACAGCCTATGGGGTAGCCTTCCAGAAAGTGTGTCATCATGTTGATGTGATGATGTGTTGATCTGTAGACACAGCTATATGTGATACGGGATTATAGCTACTACGTTGCTAGAATGTCGATACAATGCTTGACTGTTTCTTATAGTGATGCTTTGAAGGGTCACTACAGGGAAAGGATTTTACTTACCTGGATACAGCGCCGGGATCCTCCTGATGCTGCGCCCCCTATTTTGTCAAAATAACGAAATAGGAGGGTGTGAGCAGGGAGCAATAAAACGCTTTTATTCAGAAGTTCTCTGGTGCGCATGCGCAGCTTTGCCGCACATGCGCAGATATTTCATAGGGCGGCATTCATGTCTCGACTAGGAAGCACCTCTAGTGGCCTACTGAGTGTCCACTGGAGGTATTCCTCATCAGTAATGTAAATACCGGCTTTTTTACGAAATGGCTGTGCTTACATTAAAAAGCCTGCAAAGACATGCTATAGACACCAGAACCACTAATACGTCTAGCGGTTGTGGTTCTGGTGACTATAGTGTCCCTTCAATATAGAGAGGAAAAAAGAATCATCACAAATGTAAGAAATAAAATGTCTGTATCATTATTCTAAAAATTATTTTAAAAAAATTTAAAAATATGCACATTCCTAGCTTAATTTTTAGCATGACATATGACACAAACATTTTGTACTTTGCAGATTACTTTTTATATTTTTTTTATACATATACAGATTGTGTAATACTGCCCCTGACTTAGGGTGACCACATTTCCTAACTGCCATTCAGTGACACTGTCAGAAATGCATTCCATACATTTTACTACCCGTCTCTACCCATTCCATTTATACTAGAACCCCTTTCCATGTAAATTAGAGATTAGTGCCACGAATAATATACTAGATTGCCTACTTACAACCAGATGAGGATGATGATGGGCTTTAGCTGCAGTCTGGCTCCACTGGTCTGGTGTAGAACAGGCTCTCTGGAGGCTGTTTGTAACTGTGGTCACAAAAATCAATGTTCTGGGAGAACGGGAAGCAGCTCCATTTTTTGGGGGCCCTTTACACAGCTCAAGGTCTGGGTCCCAAGGTCCACCTTCATGTTCCACCAATGAGTTTGTTCACAGGGGGTGGAGTGTGTAGGGGATGTCCTGATATGTGTGTAAGGAATGCATTGTGTGAATCTGTGTTTGTATGTGTAAGGGCTGCAAGGTGTGTTTCTCTGTATGTACGGGATGCAGTGTGTGCGTCTGCAAGGGGTGCATTGAGTGTGTGTACGGGGTGCATTTAGTGTGTGTAAGGAATGCATTGTGTGTTTGTGTGTGTAAGGTTTGCATGATTGTGCGATTGTGTGTGTGTGTGTGTGATGGATGTCAATCTCTCCCCCTCCCTTGTCACTCTCTTTCTCCCCCTCCCTTGTCACTCCCTTTCTCCCCCTCCCTCCCTTGTCACTCTCTTTCTCCCCCTGCCTCCCTCCCTTGTCACTCTCTTTCTCCCCCTTCCTCCCTCCCTCCCTCGTCACTCTGTCTCCCCCCCTCCCTTGTCCCTCTCCCCCTCCTCCCTCCCTTGTCCTCTTTCTCCCCTCCCCCTTGTCCTCTTTCTCCCCCTCCCTCCCTCCTTGTCCTCTGTCTCCCCTCCCTCCCTCCTTCCTTGTCACTCTGTCTCCCCCTCCCTCCTTGTCCTCTTTCCCTCCTCCTTGTCCTCTTTCTCCCCTCCTTCCTCCTTGTCTTTCTCCCCTCCCTCCCTTGTCACTCTTCCCTCCCTCCCTTGTCACTCTTTCTCCCCCTCCTTGTCCTTTCTCCCCTCCCTCCCTCCCTCGTCACTTTCTCCCCCTCCTCCCTTGTCACTTTTCCCCCCCTCCTGCCCCCCTACCTCAGTTGTAGCGTGGCCGAGCCCAGTATAGTCCGCGGGTACAGGTAGCTTTTGTTTCCTGTACCCGGCCGGACTAACAGGAAGTGCACACTCAGTGTGCACTTCCTGTTAGTCCAGCCGGGTACAGGAGACAGATGCTCCCTGTACCCGTGGACTATACTGGGCTCGGCCACGCTACAGAGAGGGAGTGACAGGAGGGAGCGCTGAGCGCTTCCCTCCTATCAGCCCCTCTCCTCAGGCTGCGCCCGGGCGGTGCGGTCCGCCCTCATGGACGCACCGCCTGGACAAAGCTGCAGCCACTTAAGGCTCTCTACCGCTTGGGCGGCTGCAGCATGGGGGGGCAGGCGGGATTTCCCCATAACCTGTCCCCCCCGCATGATTTGCTGGGGGGGATGCGTCCCCCCCACCCCCCCTGGTTCCTACGCCCATGCTTGCAAACCATAAAGCATCCATCACATAGCATATTAAGTGTCACACTTCCTCAATGGCATCTGCTGTGTTCCAGGAAATAGTTAACACGAGTGATGGGACGGATATTACTGGTCGACCAAGTCTCTGAGTTTCCTTTCCAGGGCTCCTAGCAACGCCTGTGCAAATGGACACTGCAGTTTCCTCCTCCACAATGCACTGTTGGCAATGTTTGCATCCATAAATCTCCTTAAGGGAAGGCAATCCCTTAATGGCAATCCATGCTGAGTCCTTGTGTCTATAGTTTAGCCTGCCGCATGCCATACAGTCTCTGCTGTGGCAGTGGGAAGCCCTGGAAAAGAGTCTGAAATGCCAAACCCCTTGCAGAAGGTGTCAGTGAATAATTTAGAATTGGATACAAACAGTAAGTTATTTTGCCACAAGGGATAGGCCCATGCCAAAGCTTTTACTGTGATCTGATTAATTATGTAGCCCACCGTGGTTCTATCCATAGGTTATGAAAACTCAAAATTTAAAAAGGAAACCCATACATCATTTGGAATCCCCTTTATATGGAGGGGGTTGGATAGATACTTTACTGCCACTTTCATTGGCAAACCAAAAGAAGATTGTCATTAGATGAATGAGCAGGTCAGTAGTGTCTGGGCAATCTCAACCATGCTGTGATCCTGCTCTTCTCACTTGACGTGAAATTAGATTAGTGACAAATTCTCAATTAAACAAAATTTGCAGTAAATGAAGTGCAAAGATTAGATGACTCTTTACAGGAAGTGTTTAGGAAGGCTGTACATGTGTGTTGCAGGAAGGTGTGGCTAGAACTGCATAAACAAAGCGATTTAATGCCTAAAGGGCAGAGAATTGAGCCGTGAGACTGCAAGGGCATGACCTATACACCAAAACTGCTTCATTAAGCTAAAGTTGATTTGGTGGCTATACTCTAATATTTGCAGGATCCATTGGTCCTTTTAATGTAAGAATGCTGTAAGATCCTCAGCAAGTTATAAGTCAGCAACCTTACCAAAAGAGGAAAAGGTTAGTCAAGCGAATGACTGGACCTTACAATGGCTAGACTTAACAATAGGCAGGAATAGGAAAGATCAGTGCTATTGTTAAACAGATAATCACACAAGTTAGGCAGAACAAAGTAAATGGGAGCCGAGTTAACGTATGAATGAATAGGCCTTCTTCTATGAGCAATTGAATAGGAGAGAGGATTACCTTCCTGCAAACACAACCCACTGGAACATCTGAAAAAGAACATAGGGGCCAGAGGCCGACAGAGAGCTGCAGGTGAACTGTTAAACATAGTTTGATACTGCTGCCTGGCCATGTGTGGAATTAATTTCCTCCTGATGTGATGCTATCCGCCAGTAAGTGATCTGAAAACATCCACAAACTTGACATATCTATAGTGAATTTTAACTTTTGCTTTAGAGACTGGAAGCAGCACAGGGGCCAGGTTACCCAGGTAAATGTCTCAAACAGTTTGACCATTACTGTGTGGCAGTGTCAGTGTACTCCTGGCACCATAACTACTGCAGTGAGCTGTAGTGCTATTGTGCTTAGAGTGCTACTTTAAATGATATCTCACCGGGTGCAGTTGTCAAAGTGAGTATAATCTAACATGCAAACCCAAGGCAAACAGTATACAGAACTATTAGAGCATTATGTATTACCGTGCCTTAATTGGACAATATATAGGATGCAGTCTGCAAGCAGGCAAACCATAAACAGAGACAAGATGAGCTCAGGATAACACAGAAACGAGAAATAGGCCAAGGTCAGGGATCACAGTGGTCAGGAAAACCAAGAAAACTAAGCCAAAAAAATTTAGATAATAATGTAAATTACGTGCCTGGCTGCTAGACAAAAGCAGGTCAAAGAACAAGTTGTGAATAGAATTTATGTAGTCCTAAAGTGAGTCTGATTGGTGTACATCAAACTTTGATGCTAGAATGTGTGCAACTTGTGTCTCAGCAATGACGCTGCCACCCACATCCGTGAAAATTACGCAAGTCAGGTTTACAGTAAGAAGTCGTATGGGTGGAATGGTCTGCGTCCACATGAATGCCAGAGTAACACACAGAAAAAACGCCAGTCCCATGCTGCCACCCAAACAGGGCAGGAGTCATGAGAGCAATATGGATTTTACATTACAACAATCAGCACTTTTAAATACTGCTGGAAAGAGATAAGCAGGGCATAAGCAGCATGATTTACTAAAACAGAGAAATTGATTTTTTTTTTTTTTTAATGTACAGATTTCAGTAAAATAAATATCAAAAGGTAAAATGATTCTACCCATATAGACCTCAATGTAATTCTTTTGTCCAAAAACAATTGATCGATAGCTATTGTTTTTGGACAATTTTTTTTTTCAATTTCGACTGGATTTTATTTTAGCCAGAATTTCAGAAGGCCAACCCAATAATCGCTTCGTAAGCACATTTATCAGCCAATATGACCCCCACATTAGTATAAGGGAGGTCTATGCCACGTTGCAGCTAGAGATATGTCTAGTGAACTGCAGTCAGCCAGGGGCTTCTCAATGTCAGGAAAGACTAGTGACTGGACCTCTATTGCTGCAATGTTGCTAATACAGGGTGAGCCAAAAATCAGAGTAGGATTTGACAGGTAAATAACTTATTTGTTAGTAGTTTTAAAACTAGTGTTTTTATTTTCAGGTCCATTATTTTGACGCAAACAGCTTACCGCCGCCACTTGAATGTAAGAAATGTGGTTTCATTTAACAGTCAGGGCCACAATAGACCTCCTGAGACAACTGTTTGGTGAGCGAATAATTTCATGGCTGCCACTTTCGCCTGACCTTTTAGCTCCCGATTACTTCCTGTTGGAATATCTGAAGGGTGTACGTAAACAAACCGCGGACACTTGAGCAGCTCAAGGAGAATATCCATGCAGTAATTTGAGCGCTAAAGCCTCAAACATTAACTAATGTTTTGAACAATGCAATCAAAAGAGCCTGAGTTTGCGAGGAAGTAAATGAGCTAAATTAAAAGATGTAATCTTTTGTACCTAGTCAAACAAATCTCCATACATTAAGGATCAATTGTATTTGGTTCATTAATAAAAATGTTATTGACTTCTCAAACGTTACTCTGATGTTTGGTCAATTCTGTACAATCAAGATGGGGACCTGGTACAGGTCCCCCGGTGAATGCTGGAGTAGCTAGTATACAGTGATCTCTAGTCAATGCTATCCATTCTACTCCTGCAAGGTGAGAGACTGTAAATGGGCAGAAGGGAAGTAATACATTTTTAGTTCCTTTCCAGCCTCACACAAAGACACTGGAGGAACTGGGACAGCATTGAGTTTTACATCCTCAATTTTTGTTCCTGCAGCTCTACTCTCAAGCATTGGAGGCTGATTAGACTACAGAGGACACTTGCCAAGACTCCTGGTACTTATGTCTCTTCATTAACTTTAGCTTCAAAACAGCACATTATACGCAGAACAGTATCCTGTAGACATGTGCCTAATGAGAAAAACATCCCCGGGTATCACCATTACTACAGTGTGAGCTGCCAGAGTTCAATGTGGCTCCTCTTCCATTCTTGGGCACATTATTTAATTTTTATTTTCAAGTCAGTAATGTGCAGGGGTTGGGTCATCCATTCTGCCTCCAAATCATCTATCAAATACCAACATTGCCTGATTTGAATCAGTAATGTATGCTCCCGCCGTTCTTATTTTCCTGACTCACCACTGCACTCATATGTCAGCCCTTTGTCACATCTTACATTGGATCCAGTTATAGCTGACAGTAACTTACAAAGTCTTAAACATTTCCATCCTTCAATACATTTCCTCCTTAATTAACAAAAACACACTGTCTCATTCCTTTCACTCTGCTATTGAACTTTTCTTTTCCTCTCTTCAGTCCCACACTGCTAATTATCCTGTACAGGATTTCTCAAGGGCTTCACCGATGCCCTACCTCATCCTTTTAGACTCCAACCTCCAACCCTTCACTGTATGAAAGCTACCTAAGAGTAGGTGGGTGTCTTGTCATTCATACTCTCTTCCCACCATACTTGTTTCTATAATTTATTCCACTCTCTATCGTTCCACATGTTTGGGTCCCACACATACCACTTTTACAAGCTTAACTAGGTACAAGTATCATATTTTTGAATATCTTTCAATCTCTCCTTTGACACATCATAGTGGTCAGGATAGGCAGTTACAGTTTGTAGTTGTAGGCCACAAAACACACAAACCAGGAAGTAAGGGAGTATTTTCAAGAAAGCCTACAACAAAACAAGATTTATAGGATCAAGGAGGGCTAGGTCAAGTTTAGGTGCAAGTTCAGACAAGAAACACTGGATACAAGAGCTAGGGCAAATTTAAAGTCAAGCATGGACTAGGGAGCTCTTTGAAATTTTGTAGTGGACACCCTGACAATGGTGTCTGTGTAGAGTGGAACTATGCCTTGTTTCTGTTATTCCTTTATGGCTCAGGCACAATTCAACGCAAAGATGTTAAGGGACCTGGGACACTGCACCCTGTCCACTCCAATACACACCTGCCTCAAAAATAAGTGCCTTGAATGGTATGCTTTCATGAAGGAAATGCTGATGGCATTTGTGGGACGTAAGATTAGCTTACTAATACCTATAAGCTAAGTTCTTGATCATTTCAATTTATTTTTTGTGGGACCCACTGCATTTGATATCTGTAAAATGTTTTACTGTCCAATGATTTCCTAAAGGGTGAACTGAAGGGGAAATAAAAATAACTGTGTAATTTAACATTATTTTAATTTTAAAGTACCAATGAGCAGCAGTCTATAAACCTTATTGCAACTGCCATATTCATCTCAGGTGTTACTCAAATTATTTCTTTTTTTAATGAAGAAAACTGGTACTGAATGGGGTAAGGGAAAAGAAAGAAATAAATATTGCGTACAAAATAGTTGATTTTACAACATGACAGGAGGCTTCATATTTTGCATTAACTTTCTTTACTAACTCCATAGCAGCAAAGAAAAAACTGTTTAAAGGAACACTATAGTCACCTAAATTACTTTAGCTAAATAAAGCAGTTTTAGTGTATAGATCATTCCCCTGCAATTTCACTGCTCAATTCACTGTCATTTAGGAGTTAAATCACTTTGTTTCTGTTTATGCAGCCCTAGCCACACCTCCCCTGGCTATGATTGACAGAGCCTGCATGAAAAAAAAACTGGTTTCACTTTCAAACAGATGTAATTTACCTTAAATAATTGTATCTCAATCTCTAAA